ATAGACAACACGTGGCAGGCACGCTTTCAGCCTGGGCCGCAGCTTCCCAAACTCCTCGCTTCTTCGACTTTCGCCTGCTATGTTTGGGAGTTTCGAAGGACATGATGTTGTATGGCGACTCAGGCGACGTCAAGCTAGCCTCATGAGTTCTTTCTGCCGAAATCGTTTGCCGCTGAGCTGCTCTGACCGTGGCTACGGATTTCCGGGGATGAAATCAAGGAAAAGACTTTCGAGACGCCATCGTCGACGTCTTTAAGGAAATTTGCTGGTTATAGATCAAAAAAAAGTTTGACCGCGTCTCGGTACGATTAACGTCGGTGTTTCTGTTGCGAAGCAGTTACGTTAGACGCTTAGACCGATGTAGTGAGCACCACTTTCAATCACATGGTTATTGGACTGAATGCGTCGCATAATATATCTTCCGATTTGCCACAATTGATGGCGAATTTGGACATACATTAGACAGCCGACCGTGTTCTTGACTCTAAGTTAGTTTCATCAAGTAAACACCACAGGTCGTTCAAAACCGAACACGACTATGCGGTAGATTTATCGAACTTGTCATGGTACTGTTGTCACTGCATACGCTATGTCAAGTCGAGAGATCTGACACTGCCGGGTAGACGCTGAGACTCGCAACGAAAAACATATAGCAACATCAAATGCCGCTGGCAACCCAAAAAGAATACTATGCTACCGAATCATATCAAGCAACACACATCGTCGCGTGCTTACTGTGACTGCTGGTAATGAGCTACCGTTCAGTTGTCCTAAGAATCAATTGACGTCCATGGCTCAACGGTGTGAAAGGCCGCTTCATTCGTCAAAAGGACTCTCTTCTATAAGCACAACCACTTGAAACTCAGCTTGCCTCTACACCGCTGATCACCGACGGGGATCTCGTTCGGCAAGCACTACTTGATGGCCATGACAGAAATGACAGAGTGATGAGATACGGTATTCCAGCTTTCAAGAAAGGCGCTTGTTCTTTGCATGGTAACCTGTCGTGATGGCTTCAACCATCCATGGCCTAACCGCACGTCACGTGACCTCGATTACATAATCACCGAGGCCCACTTCACTTGCATCCTCTATATCAGAGCGAGCTTCGTACCTATTTCCTATTTCCAATAGACAACCGTTCTCTTTTACTTACGTCGATGCCCCTATGGTGACTATACGACATAACCCCAACGTTGAGCATCGGGTACACGATGGTCTCCTCTTATCGCACTGCTCATTTCCGCCGAGCAGGCACTGGAAGCAAACCTTTCGGTATATCAGCAAAATATTTGTTTAGTGGAATGAAGTCCTGCCCACCGATGGAAGTTGCTCATCGAAGCATCTGGGGGCACCGCAGATACTGTCATCAGGCATGCTCCAAAGTGACACAGCTCCTTTCCTGTTCGTAATGCCACCTCTATGTGCTACAATCCACAATGATTGGAGCTCCTGCGGTCGGCCCGGATCAATGGTTCCCACTCAGCTGAATGTGGTAAGTGCATACCACGGGTGGCATACAAGCGTACTGTGTCTTTCCCAGCTGTGAGAGATTTCGAAGCGGAAATGGTCCTCGGATTTGAGCCAATTCGTTCAAAACCTGATTGTCATTTGGCTCTAGAAGCACCTTGTTCGTGTTGAATGTCTGCTGTCTAGATGATAGTTCGTCCACCCGTGTTTAGATCCGCGCCCAAGCAAGAGTCGGCGAGCGCGTGATTACACAGAGGATTTCGCCGCTTCGACTCAGCGATTCGCACCACTTCGAGCTTCGAGGGCTGTAGCTGTAACCAGAGACGTTCCTAACCTTCTGATTGCACCGGTCCCTGTTCCAGTGGAACCAGGAGTCCTTGTGATGAGATGCTCCTATTTTTCATGCCATCTCTCTTGTGACCCGAAGGTAGCTTCCCAACCGCAGCTGGAATCACCGGATGCGAGATCCGATATTGCGGCGGAGTCTATGCATAGGCTGACCTCTAAGCAAAGAGCCGTCGAACCTGTTTTCCAGGCCGACAAGATATCTCCTGCAGAAAAGCCTCGTCAATTAGGAAAAGCGTTGTAATTTTCATCACATGACGTCGGGAACCTGTGGGACCGCCTGCAAGGGTCCGAAGACTCTGATGGCTCTTCATTTCCTAATGTTCATCGAGGAGAATTGTCTGGCTTGCCCGGCTCGCAAGACAAATGAATCTTTGCCTGAGACGATGGCTTGCTATTCAATAGCATGTCTCGACTCTTGCCCCTCATGACTGGTTCTGGGTAACGGTACTGCTCCTGAATGGCGGAGCGAAGCCGAAGCTCGTCAAGAGCATGCCACAGCAGCTCACGGCACAGGAAAGCGGTCCCAAAGTCCTCATTACCGCGGAGCATCTCAAGTGATAGAGCATTTGATGCCACAACATGGAACGGAAAGAAGAGAGACGACAATCTGCTTGAATGAAAGCGAAGATCCAACGCTGGAACTCAACTTGCCCCGCCCCTGCGGCGTATGAACCCGAAGTTGGGCTCGACTCGGTGGTCAATCCCAGCAGTCACGAACCACTCATATGGATGGTATCGCGCATCGGTAGAAAGCAAGTGTCATCGGAAAATTGCGGAAATGAACCTAGAGCCCAGTATCTGAGGCCAGGAATATTTCAGGGGACTGTCGTGAAGCTGGCACTATTTGCTCGCTAGTGAATTACTTCGCAGAGACCACCATCCCAACTACTTGACAGTAAGTCGGCTAGTTTCATGTCATTTTGCAGCGCTATTGAACGCGGGGCTTCCTTGAGTTGCTCATGCTGCAGCCGTCAAGTTGTCTCTGCAAGCTAAACCTCGCGCAACAGAAACTCTCTCAATTGATCATCACTGAATACCATCGTAATCCGAACATGCAAGCCCTATCAGTCGCGATTGATTTTGAGACTGACATTTCAGGTTATCCACATCGATATCCACATCGAGTTGGGAGGGTGACGGACAGTCGCCGCCGGGGCAGAGCGCAGCCGTTTGTGGAATTTTGTCCCCAAATGACCAGAGTACCGTAACATGACGGTTGCTCTCTGTTGGGTCACTGGACTGATCAGCACACTTCAGGACAGACAACCCTACCCACTTGATTCCGAATGGACCCATGATAGCGGTGGGGAAATTCGAGAGAGACCTACGTTGGGGCGAAACTAGCGGGAGCAAACTCAATGGATTAGGTATAAGATGGCTCGCCCTTGCAGGAGTTCATGCTGCAAACGTCTGTTTCATCGAATGCGCTGAGCTGTGCTTCAACTATCGGTCATTCGATTTACAGTGCACACGTCAATTCCCCATGGCGTCTTATAGGTGACGTCCCAAGCCTCCACACAGTGACGCGACCTAAGTCGAAGTCGTCTAACACCTAGGTGGACAGAGGGCAGCTTGTCTCTACGACTCATTACGGCAATGGGTGTCGAATGACGGGTGGGACGACATATGGCCATGGCCCAACCAGTGATCCCGCCGCTGAAATGCAAGCCGATATAGAGGGCATATTGCACCGAGCAGTCGGGTTTGTGGTGGGAAAACAGCCCCCGGAACGCTATGGTCACTCTATCCTGGATGTTAACCGGCTCGGGGATTTGGGCGACGGATTTGGCAGAGTATCCCTCGACCCGTGCGTTCAAGCAGGTGCAACTGTTGACTGACCAAGATTAACAGCTATCTATGGCAAGAAAGCTGGAACGCGCAGATCATAGGTACTTTCAGGAAGTCAGTCCAGCCAAGATTGTGAGTTCATTGTTTGCCACCAGAAGGCGTGGGATGCGGAATCCGATGCTAAGAGATGGCGCAGAATTCCGACCACCACTAGGTTCTGCCGAACAGATCGACTGGAGGCTCTCAATAAACTGAAAGACAAGTTTGATTATGTGCATCCAAGAAGGTTGTGGGAAGCAATAGAGTCACCGGCAGAGTTTTTCAAATAAATATTTGCCCGGCTCAACCCTGGAGGCAGCTTGCAGCTGGAGAGCATCAGCTGGTTGCCTGTCGATCAGCAGTGTATCTTGTCAACATCGCCAAACTTGGCGGCATGGTGCAGAATGCTGCAGCGTGCTATGGATGCAGGCGGCGGCAGACCGGGGTATGCAGGGACTAAGGGTGACCTTAAAGAGGCTGGCTTCGTTGACGTCTCCCAAGAAACAGTCGACTTCCGTTTGCAGGATGATCAAAACACAGCTGGAGATTGGTTCAAGCACGGCCTGTTCACGCTACTGAAGGCAGGAGACCTTGCGCCCTTGCCATGGTTGAAGCATTGCAGGCAAGAAATATCAGCAAGGCGCCCTGCTTTCCCGTCGTTGCCCGATCCCGTCGATGAATTTTTGGCCGCAGTCGAGAAGGAACTCGCCGAAGCCGATGTTCGTTTTCAGATTTAAGTCTCTGTCCTGACGAGGCCGCTGGTCAGCAGACAGCTCATTGACACACAGGTCGATCTGGACGGGACGTAGACCGGGTGATAGTAGTGCTTGTCTTGATCGCGGGGATACGGTCGGAGGTTTACGTGAGCAGCGGTCTAGATAGAGGTTTCGCTGCGAACGGACAATGAACGAGCGTAGTGCCTATGAGAGCCTGTTACGCCGGCAATTAAGTGAAAGCATCCTGCCTGCGTGGCTCTTCTTCATAGTCCAGTGCATAAGTCTAGACAGTCGGTAGCTTCCATGAGAAACCGACCCAGCGGACGGTGAACATCCACCTAGAAGCGATGGCATAGTTCGTGTTCTCAAACAAAACAGACTTATGTTGGCAAGGTTGCAGACGCGTCGGAAGTCCTTCGCTGGGGTTACTCTGAATCCGCAAACTGCTGGAAGCACCTCAAACCGGTCAAGGGGTGTTTATCTTGAGTACTCGGGCAGTCAGCCCCAGCTGGTTTCGAGACCCACCACGGCCTGGTTAGTGGCTAGGTACTACGAGGCGAGATGACGAGACCGTGCACCAAAGACAGGACGCTATAAAGGCGTCGTGCTCCTGAGTAGAGAGCTGGACAGATTTGGACCATACTCCGCAGCTACTTTCGGCAAACGATTTTCTTCAAGACAGAAAATGGCGATCGGTCAAATTCCTAAAGTTGAATACAAATTGAAGTCCTCAAACGACAGCCATGACGCCGAGATTGTTTACATGGGCGAGCTCGCATCACAGATCACCATCCACGATGACAGAACCACGAAGACGATCGACGCGCTGCAGCGACGAACGCGTTATGCTAATTTTTCGGGTGTTGAAGAGGGGACACTCATTGTCTTGGATCGCTATTATACGTTCAGAACAGCAACCTTGGCGATGCAACAGTCGGATTCAAGACCGCATCACACGGAGGACAACAGCAAGAACAATGTTGTTCTTCAAGACTACTCGTGCGTTCGCAAATCTTGGTTAGTTATTCTACTAACAAGAACAGGCACAGTATCAAGGTCCACACTTCGGCGCCCCGCCCATATATACTTTTCGGAACCGCTGGGACCCCAATCACGAAAGATCTCCTCGAGGAACTACTCAGGTAACAATCCCATACCATTCTGCAAGAAATATACGCTGAGTCTAAGGGCTTCTAGACTTCTTCGACCAGGCGCGTTCATCGACGTTCAATTTGCCTTTCCGGATGGCTACAAGAAGGACATAGAAACTTCTGAAATCCTTGCGATGATACAAATGATGCAAAGCGTCGGACTGGAAAACGTCAATATAGTACACCTTAGCAGCTCAATTGAACCAGAGCTTGTACAGGAGATCGGCCTAGGAAAGATGGATGACTGGGATGGCATGCCCGGAGAGAGGCTAGCACCGATTCACGAATCACTTGAATATTTCTGTCTGTGGAAACACGCTCACGAAGCCAAAATGTACGTCAGCTCTCATTGACTTGTGGCACGAAACTAATCAAGGTAGGTATGTCATCCGAGGTCACAAGCCGAAAGAACACGGCCGCAGGGCAAGAAGGATCGCGGAACGAGTTTCGAATCGAAGGACAAGACGGACTCGGCGGCTACGGCAATGGAACTGAGGCAGCTAATCGACCGTTTGACTTCAGCACACCAGCTGGACTGTAGCAGCTTTCGCAGAGGGGGGGGGGACACAGATTGCAACATGCACAAAGGACCTCTACGACACATAAAACACATCTTGAGCATGAATATATAGGTATTGAAAATATCTTTGCGCTTCTTCCTGCGGCCTCGGCAGGCGATGAGGAATTCAGTCAACGACTGAAGATGGTGCAAGAGACAACGTCCCCTTCAAGCTCTTTGCGTACCAGCTTCAAAGCCGGCACAGTCAGGCCTTGCCTCGTGATGATGCGATTGATCGAAGGCCTTCTTCGGCGCATTCGGGACAAGATTGGGCTGGCAGAGGACGTTCTGCGGACGCAATGGCGGAAGGCCTGGCGCGCTCGCAACAGCGCCGAAGCCCGGACTAGGGCATCTCGAGCCGAGGCCCAATCGGGGAAGCCCTGCGGGGTGGGTTGAGGGCAGACGTGGGCAGCCGGAGCGAGTGAGATTGGCCGAGGGGCGCTGGAGCCTCTCTGCAGAGTGATGGACATACTTGCAGTAAGGTATGCGGGGCTCGAAACCCAGCTAGGAGGGGGCGTGCGGCTGGGAGTGCACATGCTGAAATGGTGGGGTGTGGGCGGCGACATGTTGATGGGTGTGAGCTGATCGAAGAAAGTTGGAGGGGAGTGGGAACGCCAAATCTTGCATCGTCCTTGCAGCCTCCCCGGTGCCACGGCACAGACGACGTGGGGCGCCCATCTCACGTTTTAGCGTCCCCAGGACGGCCCGCTTTTTGGCATGCACATGGAGACGTTAGCCCAACCAATCAGGGCTGCATCCCCCGACTTCATGTCTTGCGCAGCGACGGCCAGCGCAGAACCCGACAACATTCGTGTTGGCTACCCGTCGAGAGACTCGCGTACCAGGGAAAGGGCCAATCGCGGACAAGCCGTGCAGTACCCGCTGGTTGCCGCCGGCATGGGAGGTCCGTTGGGCATCGGACCGTGGCTCCTTGCGAATGGAGGCACTGGCTCTGCAGTCGTGTCCATTTGAGGCAGCTACGGCACGGTCTGGAAATCCGGGAGGAAGACATATAAAGAACTGTTGCTGATGGCGAGATTCTCGGATCCGAAGACCATCAAACCTCACTTCTAGCACAAACGGCATACCATACCCTCTACCCGCGAGCCGGCACAAGATCGAAGGCGAACGAAGCCGAAAGAATGGATCGCTACCCCTGCGTCAACAGATACAAGCACGGCGTCGACTGCCCCGGCTGGGTGAACGTCCACGGTGCGCGGTGCGAAGACTGTGTTATCGTAAGTCACACGCCCGATGATACCCAAGGCTTACTGACCCTGGACAGTACAACCGGTAGACGTGAGGGGTCTTAGCTGGTGGTGTAACGCGATCGACGGAGCCAAGGGATGGGGGGAAAGCACCTGCAGCAACTTTCTTAGACAGACCGGAGACGATTCTCCCTTGAATTGACCCTTTAATGCCCCTGTTGTGTGTTTGCTGTTCCCTCTGCCAGGTCTATGCCCCTGGGGGTGCTACGTGCAAGTGACTGTCCTCAGGTCTCCCAATGCTGCCTGACTGTAGTCCGCCTCACAGCCTGCCTCGTAGTCTGCCTTGTAGCCTGCTTGTTGCCTGCTCGCAGCGATGTCGGATGTGCGAACCATCGCGGACGCCTCTCACGGGAAGCATAAAACCGTGCCGTGCCCAGACGATGTCCAAAGAGTCGTTGTCCTTCTAGTTCACACAACAAGCACAGAACCGACCTAGATGGAGGACCAACCTCAACGCCCGAGGGAGAAGAACGTCCGTGACGAGGGCCTACGCATGGAACCAGATGCTGGTCGGATCAAAGTAACTTTCCAAGGTCTCGACCCCCACGACACCACCACACTTGCCCATCGGCTCAGGAACTTATCCGTCGATAGTGCCATGCTCCTTTGATACTGGCTGCGTGGGCTGATCTGAACAATCAGGAAATAGGAATGGGCCCGCATATAGTGAGTCCCCAGTCTTATCCACCCTCTACACCCTTCCGCGCAAGACCGTCTAGCCATGATAGAAAGCGTGCCACTCTCGGTTGGCAACAGCCTCCCCGCGCATGTGTGAGACTCAGATTCTGATAAGCGTCGGCATACGACACCTTTTTTTTCCCGAACAGGGGTGTCTGAAATGCCACGACCAGAAGGAGTGCTGGCGTCGATCAGCATACTTCAAGGCAACTGACCGATGGGCTTCATGTACGGAGTATCGCTTTCAATTCAACGTCTGTGACAGCTGGTGTCGAGCCCTCGCAAGCCATTTCAAGTTTTTCTTCTTTCTAAGTCTCTAGATCCGCACGTCCTCCCCGCGATTCTTCACGACAGCCAGACCGACGGCTCCCTCACTTAAACAACTCCCTCACTTCAGGGCATCATGTTCTTTCCAGTGGCTGATGCCTTCGACGCAGTCTTGACGGAGTTGCTCGGGTTTCATCACGAAGACATCAGGTTGTCTTTCAGTGCTGAGCATCAATTTCCCATCGCCGCCAACAGTCTACCAATACGCTCACAAGCTGTCCCCGAACTCTCTCACAGCGTCGACTCTCCCTCCTCGCCGTCTTATCATGAGAAATACGCAATTGGTGTCACCAAGGATTCCAGCAAAGCCTCAGAGAAGGAGCATTTGTCTGGTACTGGGTCCCTCACCATCGTTGGCCGCGGTCTGGCGCCCTCACAAGGATGTCAAACTAGCCCTCTGCTATTGCCTCGCAGATCCCTGGCTGTTGTCGATGAGTTCAGCTATTCTTCGGCCATTGGGCGTATTCAGGCAAGCGAAGAAACCTTCGATGGCCTCAACTCCGGGAGGAAGGCTCGGGGTAATGTGCAGACGACTTATCCCCAGCGGCCCGTGCAAAGGCATAACGAACCCACAGTCGGCGACTGCGAGACCAAAGACTCCCCCAAAAGCGACGTTACCTCGAATCGCCGTCTGAATTCTACCAGCCAGTCGAAAACCTTTCTCCACCAAAACTCAAACACCGACTGCGTTGACGAAAGCGCAATTGATGATGATTCCGAGTGGGAAGACTCGATCGAAAATGAGAAAAAGTCTAGCGTTGACGAGAAGACTTTCTTCCGACGTGTGGACATCAAGGATAAGCCGACCTCGCATCGCTCTCTTATTACCATGATGATGGTTGAGCAGAACGATCGCGGAGGGGTAGGCAATGTTGCCTCTCGGTCGACCTCAGTAGTCCCTTGGTCTCGTACCAGCCACCCGGCTCCGTCTACCTTGGCCGTCTCTCTCAACGATTCCGACGACGCCCCGTTGATGATGAAGCGTGGAAACCGCTCGCAGCCTCTGAAGCCTGTCACTGAGGTGCCACGGTCCGCTCGTCGGTCTATCTCCAAGACTGCTAGCCGCAACTTCCAAGCCGCCCTCCTCCCCCCCCGAACCACACGACGAAAAATGGTAAAGACAAAGCTGCCTGAGCCTGTCCGACGGAACCTGCTTTGGGAGCGCCAGCACAAGTCAGCTACTGCTAATGCAGTGCTCAGGTGCCGCCATACCTTCCACGACGTCGCGAACCTGAAGCAGTATCCCGAGATCGCCTCGACCACCACGAGGAAGGATAGTTCCATCGATGCCCTATACTTCGCTATTCACACAGCCGATCGCGATGGTTACAACATAAAGGGATGGTGACGTGCACGGTCACGAGATGGGACCTGGAGTCACTACAGCGACAAAATCCGGACAATTATTTGACTCGCGCGGGTTCGATTGGGACCGCGGGGGCCTTACTATTTACACAGGCGCGCAGTGATTTACGGATCAAGCTGAAGTAAATATGGATTGATGACGATGCGGCAGGAAACAGTGGTAGTATTTGTAAATACAAGAATGATAACCTTCCGATACATTCGCGACGAGCGCACTCAGCATATCTTCTGGTAGACCGCAGACGACTCAGGCACGAACTGACACGGCAAATGGTAAATCGTTGTATAAAGAACGCGAAGAGAAGCCCGGTTTCCAAGATGTGGGCCGTTGCAACTGAAAAATCATACAAGGCAGTGCGCACTGGGAAAGTCCAAGGCATGTGACCGATGCTGGCTTCAAAGGTGCCGCGACTAAGTTCAGGTAGACGATGATCTGGGTATCTATGATATTGGTGCTGCTCAAGAGATAAGTTGACAAGTTGGAGAGCTTCGAGGCCTGACTAATGCGCGCTCTCCTGATGCTGTCATGAATGCCAGGCCCATCTTTTGAGCCAGTCTCTCGCTTCCTCGAGCATTCAAATTCCCGGCTCTCGCCATGTCCCGTCTCGTTGCCAGACTTGACCTCTTTGTGGACTACCATATGTGATGTCTTCTACATCGCTAGCACACCGCATTGTCAAAAGCCCGGACGCGCCCGATCTATAGTGCTCAGTAGTCCCAGTGCAGCGCCTTCACGTGAAAGGATTGGGAGGGCGAAAATCCAAGTAAGCCACGTAGAAAATCAGACTAATGTCTCATAGTTAGAGCAACTCAATGGAGTGAGGTAATTTGCTCACATCGTCGTCTTTTCGAGCTCCATCGTCAGAGCGTTGGGGTACTTCTCGTGACAACCCCACTCTGAACGGAGGCATTGATTTTCCTTCATAGATTGAAGCATCGGGTCACCAAAACCATGCACCCGATCAAGGGGCACACAGTAGGGTTCCGACAGACCGTTGTAGATCAACTTGCCCGAGTCGAGTAGTAGGTAGACCACCCAATGGGTCATTGGAAATTCGAACTTGAATTCGGGATCTAGCGCAGCATCTCCCTCCGAAGCTGCAGCAAGAGTAGTACGATCGTGCTCGAAAGAATCGTATGGCAGAGCACAAAGGGCTGGAGCTAGATTAGCAACTGAAGTCTGTAAGGTCAAGATGTATCGAGTCTTCTGAGCCAGCAAGCTCGTGTTGACTGCGCTCTCGAAATGATTGGCTTCCGCACCAGAAGCTGAGTTCTGCCCGGCACTCAGAGATCTTTCCGCACATGGACCGGCGATAGTGCTTCTTTTCTTGGATTTAGAACGTTGATCGTATGCCTGAGAGGAGTCTATTAGCTTCGTTGTAGATATTCACCAACTCACTCAACCGTCACAACGCGGAAGAAACCTGGCCTCATGCAGTAACGGGGGCGCTTTCAAAGCTTTGGCTTACTCTTGAGATGAAAAATTCTTCCGCAATTGAAAACTCAATACATGGTGAATTTCGCATGAAGAAAGTTGTGATGTTGGCTGACATTGTATAGCTCAACTGTGTTTAGAGAACTTGATGGCGAGAATGACGACCGGGAAAATGCCCCCGGGCAGGAAGATAGACGCATACTTATATCAGGGGGGTCAAAGTTGCGAACGTCGAGGTGCTTCCCCCAGAAACGAGGAAAGAGACCCAGGGTCCCCGTACAAGACCCTGTCATCGCTGAAGCCACCCAAATTCAGAGGGGAGCGCATGAATACTTCGAGATGCCACTCAAACGGCGAAGTCAGGCCCGCGAGTTCGCTAGTCACCGGTTCGTTTTCAAGTTGACCAGCGCAGGCCGCGTGTCATTTTTGTTACGGGCCATAGATATGTAGAGCTAATCAACCAAAAGGTGATGCGGTGCCCTCAGCTATGTTAATCACCATGAGGCGCGAAACAGATACTCAGCGCCAAGAAGCAACCGGTGTCTTAGCATCGCGCATGATACAGAGAAAGGGCTATGCCATGGGAATTCTCTTCATCGTCGAGCCTCCCGGCATTGACTCTGAGGGAGGTGAAAGAAATGTCTGCGTCTGGATGGTGGAGAAGAATAGCTGCAAGCTCGTCAGGTAGCCGAATGGCACAGCATTGACGTTTATTGTGCAGGTGATTTCGGAATGATCCTTTATAAGCTCTACGGCTGCCATGTTGAATACGAATGCGACCTGGCATGAAGTGTGGTGACCGAAAAATCTTGTAAAGCCCTGATCACAACGCTGCTGAGGCAAAGGGCACAACGAACGATGAATTGCGGCTTCGACATAGGTGAATGTCCAACACCACAGATGGACAACTGTGTCGATTGGTATATATGGCGTTGATGCCGCATGCCAAACGAGTACAGCGAGATACGTGCGAAAATATCGAGGCTCTTCTTACTGTGGCCCTATTCACACCGCCTGATTCCTGGCTTGGGCCGCACCGTCGATCAGCCTGCGGCAAGGTCCTGACGTGGTGCGTGAGATAGCCTGCACTTATATGGCCAAGCTGCCAAGCTTCTGGCAATACCGAGGCGGTCCGGCGAATGTGGCAGACGCTGTTTCGTTCTCGCACATTACCTACCCATGCCCACAAAAGTTGAAGTAAGGCACCCGATGCACAGCTGAGTGAGGTGTCGTCACTCATGCATGGATGAATTTCATCCATATTGGTTGTGGCTCTGCGATCGTCGAGGAATAGTCATGGACCGGATTGCATTAAGCGGAGTGTCAGGCTCAGGTCTGACTGTGCATATATGCTGGCAGTTCACCGACTTTGAAATGGTCAGGGTGCCCGGGGGCTTAGGATTCTGATTAGTAGCCGCATATATCAGGGGAGAGAGGGCGTGTGCATTTTGTGTCGAACCATCTTTATCACATCTGTCATTGCCGGTCCATAACTAACCGCGCCTTGATTGCACATGGGGCTAGTCATTAGGCAGCCGTGGCGGACTGCATTTGAATTAGACTAGTTAGGTCGAAAGCTCGCCTCCCGCCCATGCGGCGATTGACATACTCTGATACACCTTGGTTCGGGGGCCATTCCCTTGTCAGAGGGTGCAGGGTGGGTGGAATCGGTCGGTGAGACAAGAGCCTGACAGATGCTCATTCGCACATATACGTACGTTGTCACATCTACCTTCGTCGCTAGAAGTTCATTTGTGGGTACTATCCAACCAATCCAGTCATAATGACTCACCGACAATAGCTCTCAGAAAGCTTGAGTTGCTTCATCGTGGCCCTTGCTTGTCATTGTCCCGTTGTACCTCTGCATCAGACATGCTACCAACCCAGCCTGCATAAGACCTTGAGCTTCATCGTATAAGACAGTGTCATGACCTCCAAGAACACGGTAAATTTTTATTCGGAAGCTGTATTTCAAGTGCTTCATCCATAGGAACTAGTCCGTTCAGGTTCTCGACGCATTCTTTCCGGCTACATCATTCTTCGACGCCGACCATGTCGTCACCTTCTCTCATACCACAACCTCCTCCAATCAGCGATGATTCTTCGCACAGAATGATTGAGGGACGTCATGACAAAAGTCTAGATGGCGGACGGCGCACCGAACACATGATTTCATTTTCCAATTTCGAACTGTCAAGTTCATCCACGATCCAATACACTGAACATTTACCACATGGTGCTGAGTCTCTGGGCCGGTTCGAGGGCGCAAGCCGCCTTCATGTGAGTTGGGCTTTCTGGGTTTGTTAGCAGATACTGACACTTCCAAGTTGTCTTTGGGACATCAAGCTGCCAATCCTCCGAGATCCGACGAGTATATCTCTGACACTGGACACGTCGCGCCAAAACCTGATGGCACAAGAATTTGCCTCACATCGCACACGGCTCCGAACTCTGGAATTCCGGGTCAGCCCTCGCTCGAGGCGGGTGGAGCGAAGGAGGCGAAGTGTTTCTGCGAGAACCTGGAGCTCGGCATCATGCCGCCTGCTCGCCTAATCCACAACGGTAATCTTTACAGAGTAAAGCAAGACCCAGTTGAGTATCTATCAACTTTGGAGAAGCCATTCGCGGTTCCATTTGGATATGTCATCTTGCATGGTGCCAAAGACTGGGTCACGGAGGGAACCTTGGTCGTAGGCTGTTATCGATCGGCCCTTGCTTGTTTCCAATGTAAGAAGACCGTTAAATGCGACAAAGAGCTAAGACCTGATCAGATCAATGGGCTCTTGTCAACTATAGAATGACCTGACTCCTTAGACCTGCTGTCATTCTCGTAGATGCCATTCAGAACGACCGAAAGGAACGAGATACTGATACGTTTTAATATACGCCATCGGGTCTGGGCAGAGATTGAAGGTAGTGTCTACATCAGGATTGAAATATGTACAGGTAGCGCGGTTTATCGAGGTTGAAGCAATAAAGCCATTGGTATTCACTTGATGGATCCGCAATGGAGGCGCCATTTGTGACGTCAAGTATTTGTATGTACGATCTGCACAACGGCCAGGACTTTCGTGACCTCTATTCCTAGAATACGGCAGATGAATTTTTTGACGCGGACCAAAGGTTCGAGGTCGCATTCCTGGAAGATTACTTTGATGAACCGACCAGCCGAGGGCTTGTGATTTGGTTGGAGGCTACGCTCCCTAGTCTTGGCAGCCTTCCGGCTTTGAAAAGTCTATGTAGGGACTAGAGGTACGTAGGCGGGTGATGGCACAAAAGGTGCATGATCTCCTGCGGGAAGGTAAAAGATCTGAGTGGGACTAAAGCAACCGTTCTTTCTTCTTGAGGTGAAGCTGGTGTTCTATCCTTCTCCCACGCTGCCCCGTTTAGCCCTCCACTGATGTAGCCGGGACTTCTATAAAGTATCTCGATCAGCAGAGCCCGCCCAAACGAGTCCCCAACAGTAACGGCTAGATGCACATCGGCACTGGAACGGGTTGCATCTTTGAAGTGAGGAACTAAAAGCAAGCACTGAACATATAACTAAGCTCAGAGGACGCTGCCCCTAAATTACAAAGTTCCAAAATCCGACCGCTGCCGGGGAGTAGCTGTCAGCGCTCAACTGACTGGGTAATTTCGCATTGTCTCACACCTCAACGGACCGATATGCGGTCGACTTCTCCCTCTCGGGACGATGTAGCTCAACAGTGCAATTGGAATCTTGGTGTGAGGGTGGCCCCATAGATTCGTTGGCTGATGCTGACGGGTGTTAAACCCTTGGAGAAGAAATTGATTGGGTTATCCGGCCTGAGCGAAATGCCAGACAGGCTAGTTCTCCCAGAAGATAATCTAGGAGCGCTCGGCAGTCACCCGATCACTAGAAGAAGATAGCTAATCCCCAGGCCGCCGGAACCGGAAAGCGGAGCAACTCAGTGCAGTAAAAGCAAGCTCCAATGAAGGCTGGGAATGCCTTGCTTCGATCGCCAGACCCTCGGAAGAAAACGAAACTTTACCGTGGCACTGTAGAACACTGAAGTCTGTTTCATGCCGTCTAGAACAGTGATGATCAACGGGCACGACTTCGAAAGAGTAGACAATCCGAGAGGGCGCATACTCGGATGTATCGAGGATCTGATACTACTTGCGAGGAGGCTTGGAAAATGACCTTCTCCGAAGCAAACGAGCCTATCTGAATCTTTGAGAAGCCGAGATGTATCGATTTCTTCACTGATGGCCCGTGCAGCATAATTGAACGCGGGTCGTCCTGGCGCCGAAGAATGTATAGACAGAGGGTCACCCTCTGGCCTGTACGACGTCCATTCGGGCGGCTGAATGGATCCGTCAAAAGGGAGTGGAGCATCGTAGGGCCGGTGTGCTGGGGTCAATCCCTCTGTTGCACGTCAGATGGGGCGTCCTTAAACACACGACCAAGTACAGTGCACATGACACCAAGCCTGGAAGTCGCGACACGACCCCGACTATCCGCGAACAAGGGCGTCGTACCGCCTGCTCGCCTTTCAAGCACACCAAATTGGGTGACTTTTGCGCCGCAACAGGAGCCGCCGCACGTGGCAGACCACCAATCACACACTGCCTAGCAAGCCCGATTCAACCCAATCATGTGGTTGTTTGCCAACAATGCGCAAACCCCTGTCAGGTTACGTTCCCTGCCCTCCGGGCGGAACAAGCCTGCCAGGGTCCGGCGGCTTCTTTACAGCCCATGAGTGATTCATCTTCCCCAGATCAGCTACCTCTTTTGTGCAGCTCCGCTTGAGTTGACTTGTCAAGTGTCGCTGCAGTGGGAATCACGCGAAACCATTGCCTGTCTTGGAGAGCGCTTGATCCCGGGAAGCTTCTCTCCTTCCTTATCCCTGCGTTAACCGCACTATGTAATGAACATCGCTGGGTGACTACGGCCGCCAGGACGCATGGGAGTGGATCAATACCTTTGGGAGGGTGTCAGGGCTTCGTGAAGTCGACAAGGGATCGTTCCCTGTTCTGAGGCCTGGCCCAGGGCCGCCCTTCAGGCCACTCCTGATGACTCGTCGTCGGTGTATCCGTTGAAGCCATGTCGTGATCACCGCTGGGAACGTGATTATACGGGCGAACTTTGAAAATACCCCCAACTTGACGCAGCTCACCCGAAAATTCATTCACTTGTTCTTCTTTCGAGCTAGCAAGGTCTCTAAGACCTCATTGCAGCATATTCCCTCGTTGTGTGAGGGCTTCTCAGGCCTGAACCGTCCCAAGAGGGTCTTCATAGACAGCCGCTGGGGTACGCAGTCCAGGCCCAATCTGGCTGTTCTTGACCAGTCGCGGGACATCCGGTGATTTGAAAAGCAAGCCTCTCAACCGGGCCAGCAGGGAAGGTGGGTGGTTGACGTGGGCGTCAGGCCCCGCAGGCAGTATTCCCAGGATATTTCCTACAATCTCCCGCCTGATACGTGCGGGAAATGCAGTCAGCTTCATAGCTATATTTGAAATAGGATTAAAGGGTTTGATCACTCGGATGGGTGTCCACACGAATAGCAATAGCAAATGAAGCCAATACAAGACCTAGAACTTTCAAAATTTGTGACTGGAGTAATCAAAAGGCGTCCAATGGGCTTGCGATGGCACGTTAACCGTTGTTTACATGCAATTTACGCCAAGTCATTTGTGACGATGGCCTTAATCTCACGGACCTGCATTGATGACTGAGTCTTAGCACGTCGGGTGAAACGCCATGCTCAAGATATACCCGGCAATACCTCATACTAAACCGCTCAAATTATTGACACTTTTCGTAGTTGCATTGAGATCCTCATACAATATAAGAGTTTCTTTTTCGTTATCCTAGACGAATAGGAGGCGACGTTATGCTGTTTGCCTTGGATCCATAGAGGGTTTACCGCCATGTGTTGCTCTCAAGAATGATGTAGGTGGTCCGGTACGCTTACAGGAAGGACATCTTCCCAGCTGTGAAATCCCGCAAACCTCCTGGCAGTGGACGTGTCAGCTCACTCACGCTCTTGTCCTTCATGGCTACTCCAATCCAACAGGCTGGGCTATTGTCCTTTCTGCCTGTTGAACTTCTTCTTGACATTTGTTCCCGACCAGATCTTTCCATCAACGACCTGAAATGCCTTCGACTAGCCAATCGAGCCCTTTGCGGCATCTCGACTTCCCTAATATTCCATCGTGTCTACATTTCGAACTTGCGAAGGGACCTCGAGGCCTTCAGAAATATCATGTCTACGCCTCACATCGCTTCTGTTGTCAGAAAGGTTGTCTTCCTCGAAGTTCCTGATTTCATCACCTACGAACATGAGATTCGATACGGCAGGACAGGCCTGGACGAAACGCTCTACCGGTCCACTCTATGCCATAAAATCGCCGACAATTTCTGCAAGCCTAACAAGCCATACTTCGCGTCGGATTATCCTGACCAACACACCAGACTCCTTGTAGATGCAATATCAGTATACCGTCCTCTTTTAGGGTCGATGTCAAAACTCACCACGCTAGTCTCAGAGCCAATCAGCATCACTCGATTGCTAGCCTTCGGAGCTTATATCAGAAACCCATCCGAGGCAGACCAACATGACTGTGAAGTTCTCCTCAAGGACGCGACAGTGAAACATTCCGCATGGCCTATTGTCGGGTTTCGGGACGTCTTCCCTTCCCTTCTTTCCGGACCAGGGCTGGAGGTTTCGAGCCTGGTTTGTCGAAAGATAGGAATGACCCTGTTCGAGGAAGGTGAGGGCGTCGAAGCTCTCATCGCCAGCTTCGGTCACAGAGGCGATATGGGTGCGAGCAAATTTGCGAGGCTCACATCTATCGATCTGGAGTTCCTCTGGAAGCTACCTATCGACCTTCCCGAATGCCTTGCTGTCGCCACTGGGCTAAGCAGGTTGATTCTACGGGTGCGTAAGGAGGAAGAGTCTACGGCTTACGCAATCGATCGAACCAAGCTAAGAAAATGAGAACTGGCAATCGATCGCCTAATTTCTTACCGGCGCTGACCCTTTCACTCGCGCGAAACAAGAGTGCAATCTCCAGAAGGAGAGGGTGATTCCAATCCGACACGGCCTCTACACTCAATCCCCCGAATGGTCCATATCTGGAGTCGAGGGCACAGAAACGCCAGCGTGAGTCGAGAAGTTCGTGGCATCTCTACTGACGCTGACCCGCCTAAGCACAACCGGATGATCACGAGCAGCCTTCTCGAAGCAGACTGCCAAGCTCGCCTACAGTGGCGGTCCGTCAGAGATGCACCACCCGTGTGGACGAACATCCGCTCTTCTACGCATCTCTGCTTCGTTGAGGAACTTGGGACGAAAGCCCTTGGAGCACGTGAGGGTCTAACATTCGAGGTCCATAATAGCGCAGAGTCGGCCGCAAAGAGCAAGGTAACCAGACCGAGGTGGTTGTGATATTTCAGGCGTGCGTTTTCAACGCGATCCATCCAGCCAGCTCTAGCCGGAACAGCACCACTCGACGGCTAGGGAACGAGCTTCAATTCAGGGCTGAACGGCTTCAAACTATCAGAGAGTGCGCAGAACGCCGAGGTTTACGATAGTCTCTGATTTCCAGGTTTGTGCTAATCAACCTGCCTGAATCGCCAGCAAGTCACTTAGCATGTTATCACAAAACCAGGCAAGTGGAAGACATATGTAGTCGGAAGTGGCTTGATTCCTCTCAGTGGAAGACCCGGATGGGGGTCGTATCTATACCGTACGGAGTACAAGACGGGTAATCGGCTTGTAGTAAGCGGTATCGCACGGCAGTAATCGGTAGCGCCACGTGTGGCGCTGCGACACATGTACTTGCGAAGCGAGCTCAAGGTCGTTACCACCACCGTGTTGATGCGAGAGACCTCCGTAGGGGCAGGGTACGGAAGAGAGATGGCGATCCATGCTCGGGACGGTCGCTGTCACACACGTGCCATCGTTACGGGGGCTAAGTGATGGTGAGATTTGAATGGCCAGCGAAGCACTGATATCGATGCAGGTTTTTTGCCGGTGTCAAATAAGTAGATTTCTCTAGTCTTGAATCGCTTTTAGAAACTTCTTCTGGAAACCGGCTATCCCAGTCGCGACACAGTTGTGGACATACGTTTCCGTAACAGCCACAACTCCTCCGCACCCTGTCGCCATGTGCTCGTTCATCACATCGGTCATCGTGTCCTTCGCCAACTCCAGCATTTCGGTATGTGCGTCGTCCAACATGTCAGGCATTTGTTGACTGAGCTCTTTACAGTCATCGTCCAGCTCACGGGTGTGCGCACTCAGATCCCCGATCCTCTCCTCAGCCTGCTCCAGCCGTCCATCTATAGACTCGAACCGACCGTCAGCCTCCTCCAACCGTTCATCTACAGACTCATTCACAGCCTCAAGCTCCTCCAGCTGACGCTTCAAAACGTCGTACGTATTCTGAAGCTCTGCGTTCCGCATCTGAAGGCTTTTGAAATCCTCTTCTAGTTTTATCGTCTTTCTTTCGTAATGCATCACCCGTGTTTGTACATGTACAAGTAGGCGCACCAAGTCATAATAAGATCCCGGTTTCACATCGAACTGCTGTACATCTCCTGTCGAATCCAGTGTGGGAGTAGAGGCGATTGAGCAAACTCTTTTGGAGCTTTGATGTGCGTCGTCGTCCAAAGAAGACGCACGTTTGGGACGGGGCCCATCGGGTGGGCATTCGGTGGCGTTATAGGCCGGCGGCGCACAGTCAACAGCGGGACTTCCGAACAAGTTCGGCACGTCGGCCGGAGTCGTCATGGGCTCCTGTCCCGAGCATCCATCGTACTGGGAAGGTAATTCGAGATACCGCGGATCGTCCTCGTAGTCAATCGTCGCTGGTGTAGTAGATCCGTCACGTTTCCAGCCCGGCTGAAACTCTTCTTGATCGCGATGGTCCACAACCCTGCCACCTTTACCGGCGTATAGCCTCTGCGGGTCCACATCGAGTTGAAATGATCGAAGTTGTTGCATGTTTTCCGCAAACTTCGAGAAACACTTCACATCAGTCTGGCATTGATTGAGCTGGCGCTGGATGGTTGTGTTGTACGGGACGTAGACAGAGAATGACGAAGTGGTCGCAAGCGAGGCAAGCGAGTCGTAACCACGCCGGCCGGGTTCATCGAGACTCTCACGACATCCGAAATCCTTCGGCACGATAAGTTGAGCGCAGACGCCACTGTGCAATTTGAAATCGAGGCGGCACACATCGCTTGTGCAGCCTTGGCGATACATCGCCATCTTCAATGACGTGTTTTCGTCATTCAATTTGCAGTGCGTGAGTTCGAGTGAGTGGAGACGGTCGGGTGTGACTTGTAAATAGATGCGAAACGAATTGTTGTCCCCATTGCTGATGCCGACGCTAAGACGAAAACAAACCGATCCATGAAGAAATGTGATCTTCAGTCTGAACAGCTGATCGATGAATGTGGGCTGTCTTCCTTCTTGGTCTTCGCGCACAGCATAAACGCTCTCATTTACATGTGTTGGCTTGTCCACGTTTCGGGGCATGTTGTTCGGGGCATGTTGTTTCGCTTGAGTTTGTCGTCCTAGATGAGCGTGCATAGAATGTGGCGTTTGGACGCAGCGGAGGATTGCTTACTGTGGTAATGGTTCATCCCTCCCTCCCTTGGGTTGAGTCCTCGGCAAGGTAGTTAGCCGTGAACAAGACGAGTCCTGGCGTGCACGACCAAGCTCGAGGTGCTTGCCGGGCTCTTGTGCGAACAGTAGCATGACCAGTCTTGCGGGTGACAGATCTCGGCCAGAAGGTATCGGGCTTGATCGGTTCCAACAAGATCCGGTCCTATTCGCACATAGAGCCGGAAAATAACCAATCGAGCGGTAGCAGTGCGAAGAACAAGATCAGTCGGTCGATGGCGGCATGTGTGTGCATGACAGAATGGGAGACGGCAGTTGGCGTGGATGGAAGGGCGCGACGGAAACAAGAAAGGGGTGGGGCGGTACAGCACACTCTATATAGTGAGAAACACTGGTAATGATGGGGCTGGCAAGTGGAGACGTTACCGGGCGGCAATTCGTTAGTGCGCCCACCCGACCGACCAGCGACAAGACCGGGCTTTCGTATGATTGGCTCAGCCGGGCATTTTGCCCCTCAGAGGCTGTTACACCCCAATGCAGCCGGGAACTCTGAACCAATCAGTCGTCGAACTCTGACAGACAATCTAGTTTTGGCGCCTGCTTTCCTGCTTGTTCCCTGGTCGGGTCCGCGGGTTTTGGCCTCCGGCATCTCGGCGGTTGTGGATTCATTCGCCTTCATGCACAAGATCGTGAAAGCCTAATGCTGGCCAAAGGACGACTTCAGCTTTCGGCCGAGGCCAGTTTCATCCTCGAGGCTTTGAGGCCAGCCGTGGGTGCATGCTGCTGCTTCCAATTGGTGCGGCAAGACATGGACAGAGCCTTGGTTTGCGGGAACTGGTTCGCATCAGCACCCCGAGGTTCGGAGACTACGTGGAGAACCTCGTCTTTCACTCATTTAAATCCAACGAAAGCGATACAGACGACAAAAACCCAGACGGAGCCTATTCGTACCACGTCTCCATATTCCCTAAGGCTTCCCGAAACCTGAAGAATTTGAGATCTGTTGACTTGAGCGAATATGACGGCCTAGACACTCAAGAAATCAAGAGCGCTCTGATCGTTGCCCTCAAAGATCCTCAAACTAGACTCGAAGCATTTGAAAGCCAACAGGCCTCAGAACACATCAGCTTCAAACCTCTTGGGGGTTTTCCTTCAAAGGATGCAACTGTGAGCTGGATGCTCTTCTTTTGATCTTACGTTTCGAAAGTGAGCTACGCTATCTCCGATTACACCGCCTCGGCATCTCTACGACGGCGCTGAACATGGTCGATTTTTCGAATGGTTTACGTCGACCGCCAACCACCTATCGAAGCACTTCGGGCAGATCTTGACTTAAGACCAAACGCAAGACTTCGTCTCGCCGTCCTCCACTGGCAAAGATGGTATTCTCCTAAGGGCCGCCCACTGTCGAGATATTATTGCACGGGCTACGATTAGCTACGATTAGGGTAATACATTGCACGGACAATACTCCAAGGAACTTGACCAAGATTACTGTCGGATTGGAAGTCCAGTTCGACCTCGAGGCTGGGCAGCGCAGGGGTCACTTACGACCCCTGGATATACTCCGACTGCCCACCCAACCTACGGTTGGAACTTCCCTTTTACATACTACGCAGAATTAGTCAATACAGAGAATTGACCCTTCGTCAACCCCGGTTCGAACCGAATTATTCTGTGATAAGGATACCGACATCCTCCTTGCTCACCATGTGATGTTGAGCATCCATGTGAGGAAATTCCCGTGCATAAATCCCGACAATGGCTGCTTGCCAGATCGCGAATATGACCAGTGACGAATGAGGAGGTTACCTCGGCATGCCGATACGAGGTCAACGATTTCCCTGCCGGCCTTAAAAACCCGCTCTGCACTTCGCTCCCAGAAGTCGTCGGGAACAGTGCTGGAATCAAACATGGGCTCATCCAAAGTTCCACTTGGCTCGGAGCACTTGATGGCGATGAAAGGGATGTATTCCCGATGCAGCATGATTTTGCAGAGAGCACGCAGCATGTGGAGCGACACAAATAAGCTGCTGTCGTGCTTCCAAAAGTTCAAAGTCGACCAGGTGAGCTTTTCCGGAAGGTGAGTATAAAAGGCGTCTACTTTCACTCTTAGTTGGTTGAAGGCCGACTCTTTGTCCCACGGCGGAAGTGATTCCGTATAACGGCCGCCTGCGAAACTGTACTTGGTAGAAATCCGGTATAGACGATGTGGCCGAGATCGAAAGCGTGTTGGGTGCATGGCAGCTGGATCTCAAGATCGTCGGATCTGGCCATGGAAACCCGATCAGGTCCGCAGGATAAGAGACGGTCCAGTATCAAGCAACTGAACATAGTGCGGCGCCTGATCTCCTGGTCTCGCCGACGGTCCGAGGGTACTTGAGCCGATTTCTTGACCATGGAGACGGCGCCAAAGCTCGCTTGCTGTTCAAAGGTTTGTCTTCAAATCCCAATTTCAAGGCTTGAGCCATCCGTATGGCGACGCCAACGTACATCCATGCAGCTCGGCCCCCGTTCGGCTGGCTCCATTGGTAGACGCCGAGCATGAGAAAAGTCTGGACATTGACAACGGTAACTGTTGTCAAAGCTGATTCGAGCGGTCCCAGCGCTTTTGTAAGAACATTTGCAAAGTACTCCGATGCCATTGAAGGCTCTGGTCTGGGTAGAGCACCGCGAGATTTGGGGTCCGCGATTTTGTCATGTGTGATGTGCGCCACATATTTGACCCAATCAGGCTGGAATCTTGCTGTAAGTGCCAGAATACCCAAAAGAATCAGGTTTGGTTCGGTTGACGGCTTGTTGTTGTCCTTGTCGTGAATGATGCCCGTCAAAGTTGGGACATGTAAGAACGGGAGTTCAGTAGCGAAGTGCAGCTTGTAGATGTCGGAGAGTTGATGCCATAAGTCTACGGTGAGATAGGGCGCCGAAAGCACTTCCTGAGCAAGCGCTGCCACAGTACGTCCATCGGAGGGGGTTGAGTCTTTAGCTTTTTCACTCGCTTCCGGTCATTACCGACTACACTGTCCTGCTTCGGTGCGGTCGGCGGCTCTGGTAGTCTCGCCGTGAGAGGCGTTGGGTCGGGTAACTCACACTTATGTCCCGGCTTGATGCATGTGTCGCAAGACGATCCCGTGTTTTCGGTATCGCATTTGATCTTGAATTTCCTACATCTTAGACAGGCTATGCTGAAACTCGTCGGCGGCCGCATGGCTCTGGAGGGTCCCTTAGTACTTGAGCCTCCCGCCGTCGGCCTAAGTTGTTGTCGTCGGGTATTGCGGAGCTGTGAAGTCTAGCCCCTCCTGGAGCTTGCCTATCTGTGAGCTCTTCTACAGCAGGGCTTGTGGAGCTTCCCGCCCATGGCAGAAAGGTTTCGTGGCGCCTTCTCTTCCCCGTGGGTGCGTCATCGGAATCCGACACAGGAGAGAGTATAGACTGAATGCGCAGTTGGGAAGATGACATGTATGTTTAGGCTTGCGGTAAACTCTCAAAGCTCGTGAGGGGCCGTGGACAATATAGCGCAGATAGAATGAACTATTCGTAAAGAGAGTCACTTTGCTAGTCAAAGCCGAGGGTACAACGAAGAAAGTAGCGGAAGTAGGATTACAAATCCAGTTAAGAGTAAGGGAGGTTAGGAGCATAGTCGAAATCTAGCCGCCGTACTGCCGGCCCAAACTGCATAAAGGTGCACCGGGCGTTGCTGGCTATCAATTCTGGCTCATTTCTCTTTGCTCGTTGTATGTTGACCTTGTCCCTTTGTTGTTTTCCTTGCGAAGATCTCCCCGGAATCGGCTAGAATGATAGAACTTGGCAAGGCTTATTTGTTCTAACCCTTTCGTCGCCACATATCAGGCTGCTGGTTGCCCCCCCCTTTCCTCTTTCCATATGATACCAAATCGAACACAAACTCTCTATCCCTTAGACGCTTAGAAAACTGACAGGCTTCCAATTTTCCGACCTCCACACAAGAACCTTACCCCGAAGAGCCGCTTGGGCTTTAGCGTCGCAGTCTCGGCCTATGGCAGCGTTGGTCTCAACTCATCCGACCCTGGCTAAGAAGCATCATCCCGCGCCCAAGGAAAAGGCCGCCATCGGTGGTTATCACCTAGACCTATTGAGAGATTAGCTCGCTCTTCGTGGGGCGCGTCACAAACAGATTGTAAATGTCTCTTTTAAGTTCTCACAAGCTGTACTAGCAACGGTTCGTCTGCATCTCGTTTACTTCTCTTTGTAATCGGGATGACAGAAGAACGAATACCACCAATGCATTGATGTCTATCATAAAATCAGGCCAGCCACACCGAACGCTAATGAAACAAAATATCATGGGTGAGAGGCTCTGAATATTGTGACAACTTTCTCAGGCTACCACAAGTCTTTCCTGGGAGCCTTGCAAAGAGATCGAAGACGAGTAAAATAAGGCGCCAAAACGTTTGAATGGTCTCGGAGCGATTCGCCGGAGTTCAGAGCTCGACGCTTTCGCTTCTTGTGTCGACATTCAATTAAGCAGAACTTGTGCTTGATCCTCCACCACCGCCGCCGCCAGAAGAGGCTCTCCCTGCTGACTTACATGGGGCATTGCGGATCTAGGAGCGCTGACGTTTCATGCTCGACCGAAGTCGTTACTACTGCCTGAAGTATCCATGAGAGATCCTCTCAAACACCATGTATCTTGTTAACCGTCGTTTCCAAGCCTAATCAAGCTGATGACGCACGACGACTGGCTCTGATCGTTTTCTGCAAGGCTGTTCGTCCCGTACGAGACAGGCATCGTCCGAACTACTCTGCCGTGTCATTCGTAGACACCATCCAGACTGTAGAGCCATTGCTGGATGGCCTTTTGACCAAGAGCCACCTTCGGCGCAGCAGCGCCTTCCTTGATAGGAGCCTGAGGGTAAGACAAGTGACTAACACCAGTCGGGTAACCTCGGCGAATGGAGCACTTCTGGAAGTGACGCTTGAGAATGTCCTCTCGTGAGAAGATATCGCGACACAGCGCGCACCTGTAGCTAGTGAAGGCGGCCCGTGTCTGTGAACCATCTGTGTTAGCATACAAGCGAGCTGCGTAGATTAATGGATCATACCAAACGGCGTAGGAAGCGAGGCTCGTAGTGCTTCGCCTGATACGAGGTCGTGATATGGCAATGACGCAGGCGACGAAGCTTCGTTGCCCGCGAATACGTCTTGATGGAGCCAGGGTGATGAAACCTGCTAGTAGCCTTCTCCACCGAAGTAACGGTGCTCCTGGCGTCACCCGCGCAAGCAAGCGTGGCACTGTCGGAGCCGGAAGAAGACTTCATGCCAGGCGGAGGAGGAAGACGTTCAGGTGCGGGAGCAGGCGCGGGAGCAGGCGCGATAAGCTGCGGGTGAGGCGAAGCCATCGGGGTCTGGGGCAAGGAAAGATATTGGCCTGTCTGCTGGTGACGATCGCTGGGCTGCTGAAGCAGCCGAAGCTGGCAGGGCGGACTATTGCTTTCAGCCCAAGGACTATTAGTAAGAGTGCAAGGACCGTTGGGAAGAGTGCAAGTTACGTAAAGGTCGTCGTCGTACATTTGATTCATGGCGGCGAAGCTCTGCGGCTGCAGAGCCAGCGGTTGAGGAAACCGCTGAAGAGTCCAAGAAGGAAGCTCGATTGTTGCGATGCCGAAACAAAAATTTCTCCAAGTTGATATTTCCGCCAAACACAACAGCAACTGTCTAACGCTCACGTGCCCGTGACGCGGTGACCGGGGAGGGTGGAAACATGGTTTAAGTCTAGCCGCTGTGCCGTCAGCCCCCAGACCAAGTATGCCTGACATTAATAGCTCTCGTTGCTATTGCCCTTCCTTACTTGTTGTCTTTATGGCTCAGCCGGCTTGGCTTGTTCCTCTACCCTTCAATCACGGAGACTGTTGCTCGCCGAGATCGTGTGTTTGGTGATTTTACAAGGTACCTGTGCCGCGTCGAGCTCGTCGGTTCTCTGCACATGACGTCTACAGACCCTGGTCGTGCCGCCTGTGATCTCGATGCCGCAGGAACGAAAATATAGCTGCCACTCCTGACATAGCACCGGAGAACCGAACTTGAGCAGCTAAAAATAAGGAAGAACCCCCTCGCAGGACGTTACGGACTGCTGCCTCCTCTAGCGGCGTGACTAGTCCAGAGACGCCTTTCATCACTTCTCATGTTGTACACAGCGAACGATATCAATGGCATTGAGAGGAAAGCGAACGAGACTCTTCAGCTCAAAAACGTCCAGGATCAATTCTGCTATATTCGTTATCCAGTCTGTCGCCTGTTATAACAGGTGGAACTATGCGTGCGCAAAACCCTGTCTGCTCCAGCAGACTTGAAACCCAGTGCAAGACCTTATCTTTCTCCCGAGTCTCGTTTCCTGTATAGCCACAATGTGGGCATCGAGATGTGTGATTGAGATCGGTTGTCTATTGGAAGTGGGAAATAGGTATGAAGCTCGTATTGACATAGCGGGTGCGAGCAAGTATGTGCTTCCCAAGACTCAGGCTTTTCTTCACCTTTGCGATCATTAGTGGACTTATGGAGTGTGGCGATCCATGTAGAGGCAGTTCGCCGTACGTTTGTCCCCCCCTTTCCCGCAATCTCTTTGACCTGTCCGTTACACGACCGGCTTTCCTTGGCATGCCAGAAGCTATCAGATTCGAACTTTGGAGACAGCGCAATATGCGCAGCGTGCGACGTCACAGGTCTGACAGTTTGAGTAGCTAATTGGCATGCCGGTGTTTCCACACCCACACTTTGTACCAGTCAGCATCATTCAGTAAACTAGATACGTTACATAGAGCAACTTAACGCATGTCCATAGATAGACCTGCTTTCTTTTCGTCCCCCATGAATCAACTATTGCCATACTCCCGGCTATGTTGGTAGGATCATCAACACCCATGGGTGGTGTGTCTTCGCTCACAAATCGATCGGTCCTCGAGGGAGATGACTCATGATGGATTCTGCCGGAGAACGAGTCGCGAATCAAGAACGTAGCGATGGCAAGAACCCGCTCGCCACTAAGAAAGAAATTGCGGCGAGCTTCATAGAACGGGTGTGCTAAGGCAGGTGTTGTCTCGAGAACGGGAAGAAAGACTGAGTCGAGTTCCATGCCCGGTTTCAGCAGCGAGCTTGTGAAAGGACGAACATTGATGTGGCAATACGCTTATCGTTCCCACTCTATGATGAAAGTCTTGTGAAAGTGCTCCCCTTTCAGGTGGTTGAACGGTACTCCTCTGCTTCGTACGCCTCCAACGCCCGTCTGCTTCTATCTATAAGTAGCTTTAGCATCGCAAGACCAACAAGCCCCGACACGGAAGCTGGCGGCTCGCCGCACTCTCCGCCCGGCCTCAGGCCCCAGCCCTCAAAGATGTCATGCCCCTGCCGTGCCTACAAGTGCGCGCGCTTCTCGCCGCCGTAGTTCTAAGTGAGACCCGAGGTCCTGACCCGTCATGGTCAGACGCTGGTGACAGGGCGGGTGCATGCTGAATGAGCCTACCGGGTTGCTTAGGTGCGCGTCCCCTGAAGCCTACCTCAAGCACTGGGCATGCTGTGCCTGCAGATGTCGGGTGGGGGAACTACCTCTACGTGGTCTGTTTGTTACATACTCGTCCGTTGTCCTGCCAGTTAACGCGATGAACTGTTATAATTTCTCATCATGCGGCGGCTGATCAGACGACAGCCTAACAACCATTCCCCGCTTCCTATGAAAGACACAAGGTGACAAGTACGAGCCTCGTCACCGCCAGCTCAGCGTAAGCGAGAGTTGCTGATTCCCTGCTCGTCATCGACCTATGTAACATTGTGGAGTAAGTCTGCCTGGGCGGGCCGACGCCAGTGACCCAACAAGGATAAAGTGACGGAAAACAGAAACGCTTGCGAACTCGGGATGTGCTGACATCCGGCTCGGAAATGGCGATGACCTCTGTTGAACACTCCAGCTTTCGCTAAGCTGAACAAGCTTGCAGCGCGGCGACGGAAGGCTCTCAGTCAGGACTTGGCGTGATCAAGTCATCAAAACTCTGATCGGACAGAGCCTTACAACCTAGGCATCTCCTGTCAGCGTGGTGGAGGGGGGTGAGGCAGGACTGACTGGGGGTGGCATGCCGCGTCTGTAGTGTACGCATCCGTGATGGGGATGGCTTTGTTGGTGTACTGCAGGCAGAACCCAGGATGTTGACTGTGTCCACAGGTACCGTGGAACCACGACCACGCACACCCCTCTGACTCAGATCCTCGCATTATGAGCACGCCCCTAGTCTCGGATGGATGCTGATACCTGGGCGTGCCATGGCGCTATTCCACGTGAACCAGTGGTACAGACATCGTGTCGCCCTGTGAGCCAACACAGCGGTTTTGTGTGGCGGTCCCCCTTGCCGATATCACTGCCACCAGCCGACGATTACGGGCACAGTTCCTAACCAGGGATCACATCTCCCCGGACATAGTGTAGTGAACAAGCTCCAACGCCTCATCCCTCTGGGTCCCACAATTTTCTGATTGGTACATTATATCTGCTTGACGACGTTTGTCTTCGCTCAACCAAGCCAAATGAAGGCAACATTGGCGGCCGTTGGTCTGGCGCCAATGGCACTAACAGAGCTGCTATTTAGTCGCTGTTCACCGATTATCTTCGGACGTTGCAGGAGCCCGACAATCGGAACAGCTAGGCATCTCCCCGTCCAAGCAAGCCTGCGCCGGGCTCGTCGCATAGCAAGGCACGGTTACAATGTATGTGCGTGGGTACGGAGCGTGGTGTGCAGAAATCGTGCTGGCAGAGGCCAGCAGGCCGCAGAAGAGAGAACAGGCGATGCTGAAAAGAAAACGGTGAATCGCCGTTGGCATGTTGGAAGATAGCGCTTCTCCATTTTGATGCGTGGTTTGCTTTTCTCCTACCATGTTGTTGGCTGCATTTCTCTCGCGAACTCTCCTTGAGCTGTTAACTGCAGTATGTGTGCGAATAGACTGCTACGAAAGAGTCGGCAAGCTGAATAATTTGTGCCATTTTGAGAGATGAAAGAGACGTATGTGTGGTGAGGGCTGGGAGAGCCAGAGGGGGCAGGCCGTTGTACCTGAACCAGACTCGACTTTGGCGAACCATCTTCCATGGCGAACCGTAGAAGAGTCTTTGCAGGCGACCAGCGTGCGTCTCCTGGGAAACAGGGTGGGCTATGTGACTCGCCCCGAAGTCACCCATGGTCGTTGCCTTCAGCTGGGTCACCGAAGTTGGATTGAACCCACCCATGCATCTCGCCTCCTTTAGAAGCCATTCATAAGGCGTCGAGAGTGGTTCGCCCGTTCGTTCAAGTTTCCGTGTGTCCTTAGATGGGGAAGCATGGACTAAAAGTGTGATGCAGCATGACGGACTGCGAACTTTGAACCCCAAATAAAGCCTGGATCTCTTTGAGTCGGGCTTACAGGTAACAAAACGGCAACGACATCCCATGCTGCTTGTTAGTCCAAGGCTTCGCTTTCATTTCATCGGCATCATATGGTCACCATCAGCAGTTCTCATCGATCCGTGTTGACCTTGAGGTCAGATCTCGTACGTCAGGTCATCGAACCACGACAGCCGCATCGCTACTTCGCACAATTACTTTAGGCACTCAACATATCTTATGCAACATTTCTTGCTTGGATATGTTAATTCCGAATCCTCAGAGCCACGCTCCCTCGAGTCGTGCCAGACAGCCTTCATCGACCGCTGCAAATAGCGATTCCCCCAACAATGCGGCGCCAAAGGGGGGTAAGTCATGGACCCCGCAGGAGGAGGTTATCAGGAACATCCGGACAGCCACGTCTAGCCGCAACTTCGATCCCCGTCATGCCCATCCCGACAACGATCTCGGGTTGATTAAACAACCAGAGACACACCCTATTAGCCAGGAACAGCTTGTTGCCGAGGTAAAGGGAATTTACGCTGGACTCGTCATGGTCGAGTCGAAGTGTATTGAGGTCGACAACGCTCAAAGTTCAAATAATGAGACCAATTTCAAGCTAAATAATGAGCAGTGGCAGGCATTGATCGCTTTACACCGAACTTTGCTGCATGAGCACCATGATTTCTTTCTTGCGTCACAGCATCCATCTGCTAGCCCGGCATTACGTCGGCTTGCGAGCAAGTACGCAATGCCGGCGCGCATGTGGAGGCATGGTATTCACTCGTTTTTGGAGCTTTTGCGTCATCGCTTGCCCGCCTCGCTTGAACATATGCTCACATTCATTTATTTGGCATATTCTATGATGGCTCTGTTGTATGAGACTGCTCCAACGTTTGAAGATACTTGGATTGAGTGCCTCGGCGACTTGGGCCGCTATCGGTCAGTAAACTCAAGCCAGACAATGCTACCAATCTTTCTCTTCGTTCTATATTGACTAACTTTTACAGTATGGCTATTGAGGATGATGATCTGAAGGATAGAGAGGTTTGGACCTCAGTTTCTCGCCATTGGTACTCAAAGGCCAGTGACAAGGCCCCTCAAACAGGTCGTCTTTACCATCACCTCGCCATTTTGGCACGCCCGAATGCCCTGCAGCAACTGTTCCACTACACCAAGTCTCTCTGCGTGCCACTTCCCTTCCTGTCTGCTCGCGAGTCAATCATGACTCTGTTCGATCCGCATCTCAATGGCACTCCGACAAGGCTGCAGGAGATTGACGCAGCCTTTGTCCACTCTCATGGGATCCTCTTTTCGGGGAAGAACACCGACCAACTCTCATCGTCGGTCAGCGAGTTCATAGATAACTTGGACAACAACATCGCACGTCACACCCGTTGCTGGCTTGATAGCGGGTACTATATCTCTATCGCATTAGGCTGCGCACTTCTCGAATATGGTAGTGAGAGCAATCCCATCATGAGAGCCATCAAATCAGGCCGCGCGGACGACGCCGACGTCCAGATGAACGAAACTGAAGCTCCCATCGCTCCAACGCAGAAGTTCCTAGACGCTCTCGACTTTGCTACTCGCACCCACAATGTGGTTTTCAGACGATTCGGCGACGACAACACCAGACCCTACTTGCACGTCACCCTCTCTTTTCTCTACCACATGTCTCAGTTTCCCGCTGCAATGGCACTTCTAGAAGAAAAGATGCCCTGGAGACTGATTTCCTTGCTCCTCAACACGATAATAATCAAAGACGTGCCCATTGAGACCATCGAGTCCAAGGAGTTTCCTCGGCCAGACAAGGGGGATCCTCGTCCTCTCCCTGACGATTTTGCGCAGCGGGGCCTTCTGTGGGTTGATAGCTATTACCCCAACGATTGGTTCACGGCCACAAAGGTAGATGACGACGATAAATACTTTGAAGTAGCATCAATGATGGAAGAGCGTTCATCCCGCTGTCTTTGGCTTGGCTGTCGGCTTGCAGCATCAGGCAAGTGGTTGACTTACACAAGAGACGGACGATTTGGGGTTGCGTCATAATACGACATGAAGATTTCTGATCTGAGCAACGATGCTACGCACCAATCCAGTGGAGAGGGTGTCAACGATACGAGAATGCCAGATGCTCCAGAAGCCAGCAATTGATGGTGCTTCATGGGGTACTTTTGTGAATGGGTTACGATAGAAGGTGAAAGGCGTTCTCTGCGTGTGGCTTACTTGGTTGTATTTCAGGAAACAAAGAATTTTCTCGGTGTCATGGGGCTAGTTGTTTTGTTCCTGTGTTTTTTTCTCAACGCGACATTCCCCTCGGTGTTGTTGCTTGAATAGGATAATTGTTGAATAACCTCTATCACAGGTGATGGTTCGAACCGATGGATTCGTGGGGTGACGAAGTGGCAATATCTGTATATTGTTGTCGGATTGGAAGTCCGATTCGACCTCGAGGCAAGGGGCCCGCGCAGGGGCCACTTACAGACCGTACTTACGATAATCGTGGCCTGCCCAACCTACGGTTGCAACCCCCCTTTTCCACCTTACGCAGAAGTTAATATAGATCAATTGACCTCTTCGTCAACTCACGGTTCGAACCGAAATCCCTGTGATAGGGATACCAAAACGAATTGACTTTAATAACAGCTTACGTATGAACAGCAAATACGGGACTTAAGCGCGATCCATACGGAGCAGGTAAAGGGTCTCGATAGTAATGCCCTGGAGAGGGTTAATATACATGCAGACCTCAATGTCAATGGGATCTGACGTACCGAAACACTGCACTTGTAGCTTGTCGTTGAGCAATCATCCAATCCTAGACTGGTCACTATAGCTTTCATCAATGTGACCTATTGCAATATGAATGGTCAAGGTTGTTGGAACATACCCAAGCTTCTAGGGACATGCCGAGGAGCGAAGCGAAAAGCGTTTTCTACAAAACCAAGGAATGACAAATTGCAAACTCCCATCTGACTGAACCCATTAGAAACCACAATGGAGAAATCTTCCTTTTATATTGAACCGTAAATTACTACGCCATAAACAATCCCAAGCTAGGCAGTTCAACTTTCTCGACTCTCAAAAAAAAACACTGACACACCCATCTTCAGAGCATCAAGCTGGTGGCCTGAAAACACTCTTGACGAGACAGTGCTCACACTCAACGTACGATTCATTTGACGGCACGTAGTGCAGACGCCGACAGTCGCAGACCGACCACCTTTCCTCCGTCAACGACGTGATGAGCTTCCTTTTCTCATGGCATATGACGTCGAGATGTCAGCGTTCATTGGCTAGTAGCCGACGTCACCCCCTCCATGTGGCTCAGGGGCGCCACCCCCACTAACACTGGGAAACGGCGGGCAAGCCGCCTGTCGGAAGACATTCCGTTAGGAAGGACACTGCGATTCTAGACGTAGCTGGCGTGAGAACGTTGTTAGGGCGACCATGTGTCTCAAGTAATGACGGAGGCATACATATTTCGTCTTCGTCGGACATACCACCGGGACTATAGCTGAAGCGGGGTTGAGCTCTAGCGAACTTAAGAATTGCCTCATATTGGCCCCGAAAGATATCGAAGGGACAACGAACCGCCCCGCAGCTACCCGTCTGCCACACCTACCCCGCAAGTATCCATGCCTGCCTTGTTCACGCCCGGACGAACTAGTGTCTGCGTTCATTCGAAGATGGATCGATCCCACGAAGTCTTGCCGGTTGATCGTCATGGGCCTTGGTCAGCCTTGTCAATAGGAGCAAGTGATTTGGACAGGGACTACTCCGGCGCCAACTTTCAGAGACAACCCAGAACCAACCTATGAGGCTGGCCATTGGCATTATGGCTGGCCGTGAGCGGGGAATTATTCTCGAAGATGATTACGGCTAGCTAACTGCGTTTCAGGCGCGACTTGGTTTGGCACCTTTGCTAATTGCCGCCCGTCATCACCAACGTCGTCTTTGCGACGCATTGTCTGCGTTCTTGTTAGGCTTGTGTTGTTTCTTGCCGCATAGAGGCACTCTCAAGCAGAACCCGGCATTACTCAATAAACTGATGTCGCAAATACGACAAATGATCTTCGGCTGCTGAATGGAGATGTTACTAGCGCTGTGCTCCGCGACACGGCAGTCCCCGCCCATCTCGAGATCAACAAAGTGACCTGTTCCCCGTCTCGAGAGCATCTCGTACCCTGGCTCGTTCTGACCTCCACGATGGGGCTTGATCACGTACGGGAGCGTTCTGCCATGAAGCGCGGTGTGTGCGGGTCTGCATGGTGCCACCGTACGAACCGCCCCCGATCGAAGTTGAAGGCCTCGAAGAATGGGAAGTCGAAGAGATCGTGGATGCCCGCTGGAGGGCTCTTCGAGTACCTTCTGATGCCCTTCGGACTTACCAACGCACCGGCAACCTTCCAAACAATGGTTAACCATGTTCTACGGAAGTACATCAACATTTTCGTCGCTGTCTACATCGACGACGTCCTCATCTTCTCCCCGGATCTCGAAACACACAAGAAGCACGTCCACATGATATTCCAGAAACTTCAGGACGCGAAGCTCTTCGATGAACCTGAGAAATGCGAATTCCACGTGCAAAAGGTTGTTTTCTTAGGCTACACCATCACGCCAGGAGAAATCCACACGCAGAAATCCAAGGTCGAGGCAGTCAAGGACTGGCCCACGCCTCTCAACGTCAAAGACGTACAATCCTTCCTAGGACTCATCAACTTCTACCGACGATTCCTTAAAGAATATACCGACATCGTCAGACCACTCAATAATCTGACTCGGAAAGACACGCCATTTGATTGGACGAACAAATGTCAGTCGGCGTTCGACAAAGTCAAGGACCTAGTAACCTGAGAACCAATTACTGCGATCCCAGACCCGACCAGACCATTCGAGGTAGAGACCGACGCATCAGGCTTCGCCATGGGAGCAGTCCTCGGTCAGCGAGACGGTAACATGTACAGAGTCAATTCAATAAAACACACAGCTCAGGGTCCTCGCCACTGCCAGAATCCTCAGATGAAAGCTTTTCGCTCTTCATCGCTCGAGCTAGAGGAGGCTGCTGCTGCCACTGCGGAGGCATTATCGACTGACTTCTTCTCATTCTTGTTCTTCTTGCTGGAAGAGCTTTCCGCTGGCTCTCCGAGATCAATCAAGTTGGTCGAAGCTTGACCGTCACAGGCATTCCCAGCCGAAACAGCCTTGGAGATTTCGACCAACATCTCTTTGAGCTCTTCAAACTCGTTTCGCAACTTCTGGACCTCGCAGATCGTAGGATCATACTCCAGGTTGGTCTTTGCGCTGGCGCCAGACTTTGTTCCATCCATCGGCTTCGAAGTCAACCTAGTCCATCATCTGCTCCCACTCCTCGATCGTGTCGTCGTCTTCCTCGCTTCTTGCTCGGTTGTTCCTGATGTCGGCGGCTGAGCGAGTCTCGAAGATTGCGGCAACGACAAGCACCGGCGAGTAGAGGATTCCCAGGATGACGTCGCTTATCTTCTCGAACTTGGATTTCTCCATCCACCAGAAGAGGGAAATGACAATCATTTCGATGAGGTTGAACGGCGGGATGTAGACGTTTTCGTCGGGGCCCACGAACGAACTGCATCGTCTTTTGGGCAAACAGCGCGAGCCAGTAACAATATGTCATGATGGCTTCAACCATCCGTGGCCTCACCGTACGTCACGTGACCTCGACTACCATAATCACCGAGGACCACACTCGCTTGCACTCTCCATTTCAGAGCGAGCCTTGTGCTCATTTCCTACTTTCAATAGACAACCGTTCTCTTTTACCCACGTCGATGCCCCTATTGTGACTATACGACAAGTCGCAATGGCGAAGAATGTCATGTGGTAAACTGAGTAGCGCAGGAGACATGATCGAAATAGCTGCTCGAGCTCCAGCAGGGAAACAATCCAGCTGAGAGCCAATAGAGCCCAAGTAGCCCAAAGAACTGCTTGAGGTAATCTGATACGGCGCGGGTTGGCGATATAAGGTGACGATACAGAAAGAATTATAGCCGCATTCGCGCAGACAACTGGCATAATGCCGATTCAGCTAAATTCTGAGGCCATGCTTGATTTGATGAGTTGAAGCCTGACATGCGGTGTATTGGCGATGCTCTTGCGAGAAAACTGTTTCAGATCATGGCAGGATCATGTCTTTCCGAATGCTTTTATATGGTCCAGTACGCAACGGTTCGCCAAGCATAAAATGCAAGGCTGCCATCTAGGCCAACAAGACGATTAACTGCATGCACCGTCGACTTGACAGCAACAGGCCAGACAAGGTGCTAGAGATGGGAAATCACATTTTGCCGCCCGTGCCCTTACCTGTGCTTCCATCGAGTCACAATCCAGAAGAGACTGATCCTCAATCAGACACCAACGCGGGCAGGCGTTGACAATTGACATGGGCAGAAAAGCGCCTGATTGGGATCAGGCGTATGTCTCTTGTGACAAAACGATTTGTGATCGCGGACTGCAGTAAGTTGGAATAAATCATGAGCCTTGCAGGCCTCTGTGTTGACCCTATCCTGCAGGGTTTGTCTCGACGACCCAGTCGTGCCCTAGATCATGACTGCTTCATTTTGGCAAGCCCTGACAAGGGTGAGAGGATGAGGTTTCTTGCAATGCTGCGGAGGCGCTTGACGCAGCTCAATCAAGGTGTGATATGTCATTTTACATTCCTGTGGCAATTCAAATGCATCAAAGATCGGCAGAGCAATCCTGGTTGACCTCACAGACTTTCTGGACGAAAAGGGAGTGAATTTAGACGAAGCCCTAACTGCTGTTCAATGTACCCCTCCCGTGTCCAGCCCGGGTGACTGTCCCGACTCCATATGAACCCAGCCAGGGGCTTCTCTGTCCTCTTCTTGCAAAGCAAAATTGGGAAGGCCAGCAAGTGAGCCACTGGCGAAGCGCACTACATGCTCGCTAAGCGGTGAGAGCGCACGCAGACACAACTGTCCCCCTGTACCCCTTGCATTTCTGAAACAAAGGCAAATGTATCCGAGATTCCGGTGTAAGGGTAGCCCTTATGATCCATATTATCACGCCGGTTGTTAACGCTCACGGCGTACCAACATCTGACCATGAGTTTCATGTCGACAAGAAGGTCTTCCGCAAAACTGCTGGTAAGGCACCTGTTTGCTCACGAAGCTCAGTATCAGTGACGCAGTTCTTGTCCTATGTAAAGGCACCGAATACGCAGAGATACCAATCCATTCTCGACACAAAACATCCAGCAAAGCATGGAATGAAGGTCGAAACTGATCAAAACATCGGTCTGGTGCTCGCAGCGGCACCATCACCCGAATATAGGTAGCTTTTTTTTTATACTAATGTATCGCCCCTCAACATTTATTGTATTACTATTTTTAAAACTAGTTTCCAAATAGCATAAGATAATTATCGAATATCATGACTTATTTGCATATCATGCAATAAAGCTGGCTATGACATCTGGTGGGACCAGGACCGGACAAGGGGAGCAGGTAGGGGGGGTGAGATCCAAAAACGTTTGTGGTTACATCGGGGCATGCAATGTAGGATTTTCTTGCATATCCTCTCAGAGGAATAGGTGCTGTCGTTGAACTGTTTGCCTTGAGATTTGCAAAGGGTTACCGCCATGCCTTGCTTTCTTGGGTGATGGAGGTGGTCTGATTCGCAGCATTCGCTTCGCTTAAAAGAAAACGTTTTCCCAGTTGCGGAATCCTGTAAACCACTTGGCAGTGGACGTGCCAACTCGCGTTCTTATCCATTATGGCTATGTCAATCCTGCCTGGCGAACTTATTCTTGACATTTGTTCCAGGCCAGGTCTTTCCATCGACGACCTGAAATGCCTTCGACTAGTCAATCGCGCCCTTTGCGCCATCTCGACTCCGCTAACATTTCGTCGTATCTACATTTCCAACTTGCATAGGGACCTCGAAGCCTTCCAAAAGATCACGTCTACCCCTCACATAGCTTCTGTTGTTAGAGAAGTTGTCTTTCTTGAGGTTCCTGATTTCATCACATACGAACATGAGATTCGATACGACAGAACAAACCTAGTCCCAACATTCTACCGATTCGCTCTGTGCCATAGGATCGCCAACAATTTCTGCCAGCCTAACGAGCCATACTTCGCATCGATCCATCCTGACCGACAAACTAGGGCCCTTGTAGATGCAGTAACAGTCTACTGCCATCAATTAAGGTCGATGTCAAAACTCACCACCTTGGTCGCAGAGCCAATCAGCATTACTCGACTGCTAGCCTTCGGGGCCGATATAAAACATCCATCTGCAGAGGATCAACATGACTGCGAAGTTCTCCTCGAGGATGCGACAGTGGGAGATTCCTCATGGCCTGTTGTCGGCTTTCGGGACGTCTTCCCTTCCCTTCTTTCTGGATCAGAGCTGGAGATTTCGAGCCTGGCCTGCGGAAAGATGGGAATGAAGCTATTCGAGGAAGGTGAGAGCGTCGAAGATCTCATGGCCAGCTTCGATCCTAGACGCGAGATGGGTGCGAACAAGTTTGCGAGGCTCACATCTATCGACCTGGAGTTTTCCTGGATGCTGCCTGTCGACCTTCCCCAATGCCTTGCTGCCGCCACTGGGCTACGGAAATTGCTTCTACGGATGCAAAAGAGGGAAGGATCTGAGTATCACGCAATCCGTATTTTCGGAGAGCTCTCACGTTTATGCTGGGACAAACTCGAGCACATGCAGACCATCAACGTCCCCTTTTCACATAAAGATTTGTGTACTTTTGCCGCGCGTCATCCAAACCTGCGGCGGATGCGCGTAGACGAAAAATTCGTCAATCTTGCTGAGGCCAGGAAAGAAGAATGTATGTGCAAAGTATATAATTAGACCTATGATAGGAGGCAAGGGCTCGGAGGGCCATCCTTTGATCTTCAATGACCGACCTTCGATCGTACAAATACCACGTCTTATAGTCGAGATAGCGACGTAATTCACAATTACAAAGTTCTCCAACAATTCTGTTCATTACTGGAAACATTTTGTCTCCCTCGCAATATTTTTGTCGAGAGCTGCCCCGTAATCAAGCAATGTGTCGACTATTCCCGAATATCCACGCTGAATCGACCATGACAGAGCCTTCTCCCTCTTTCTACCCTGATTTCAGGATCGGCCCGGTTGCTGAGCAGATTCTCTACGCATCCAACAAATCCATAAAGAACTGTTTAATAGGTGGGGATTGACTTTGCCACCCTCGCTGTGGTTGGCTAACAAGGACCTGCATGGCGGTGATACACGAATTAGGGATACCGCGCGATGGCAGCCGCCCCGCTGATAGTGTGTCGCCGAGATAGATGGCTCGAATAAACGAGGTAGAGTAGTTGTCATCAAGAAAACTTGAGGAACTGATGCAGCATGATGAGATAGTAATGGTGGGCGACTCAGACATGGCTATAACCAGTTCTCACTCGGAGCGGGACTGCTGATTGGGATTGAGGGGGCAACGACGATTGATAAATTGGGCATTGTTGGCTTGCTGGAGTCAGCCGGACAGATTGAAATCGGTGCAGAGTCGCATTTGTCAAGTATGGCAAAGCACCGAGGAATGCATCCGAGGCCATCCGTGGCGAGTAATTGGGAAATTACGTAATGATTTTCTGGAAGCAGAGAACGATTAAAGCTAGGAGAGGACACCTGTTGTTGAGGGGCCACCATTTCGTCTTATCAGACTCATCAGCAGCAGCACCGCGGTTCTTGCCAGTCTTGCGTCCAAGCAACGATCTGGGACACAATCGCCAGATGGACAGGATTCTGACTGCTCTGGAGGCCACACCACATATCAGGCGAGAAGTGACGTAGCCCCGGGCGTCCGTTTCTCCAAGAGAGAAGGCCATAACGGCAGTATTCTAGTCACGAGGGTCTTTGAGATCTCGTGGCCCTCGACAAACCAGCGGGACTCGAGCGTCTCTACCGACAAACTCCCGTCTTTGCCAAACCCTGCAGCCACACGCTCGCGCAAGTTTTTTGGTTCAAATTGAGCTATCCCTGGCTCTTCCCTCTGCCCAGATCACACAAATAGGCCTGAATGATCCGGTTTTGGAAAGTTGCATGGTTTACCTGAGGAGACATGAAGTGAGGAGTAGCTGGTTCAATGGTGGCAGTGAGTTAGTCCCATCAAATACGACCGTGTTTGCTACCTTACTATGGTCTGTCGTGACCAAGGCTACGCGAAAGGCAGGACGTAGAGACGGATGATCTCGGCCCGAGCATGGCTACTGACTTAAGACATTGATGGTACGCATTGCAGTTTCCGAGGACACCGCATCAAGATGTCTCGGTCTCAGTCGGCCTTCATTTCTTGCACAAAGTTGAAGCCACTCCAACGTTGTCTAGTCAGGGGTATACATCTTGTCAACTCATAGTCAGTGCTATATAAATCGTTCTTATGCTAGTGACTCCATCTGCATCGAAACACTGTCTTCAACGTGGTTGGCTAGAAGACGCCATAATTAAACCGAGTCTGCCAGAACGACGCCTTCTACACTCAACTCTAGATGTCACGATCAGAATGATCCGCGCCGGCGCCTCGTCAATATCATTCTAAGACGAACGGGCGTATGAAGTTGGTTAAAATCAGCTTGAAATGACCTATGGAAAATAGATGTAGAGATTCTACTTGCTAAGTGGATGTGAGATTCGTGTGATCAAGCACATGGTCAAGCGCCTGGCGAGTACTGAGACCATGTATGGTTTCGTGATATTGGCGTAGGGATCAATCCACTACATAATGCCAAAACTGACTTTCAGGTCTCATCGATGCTTCAACTCGTGTTCTGCAGATACCAACACTTTCCTGACATCTGTGTCAGCACAGAGTTGCTCCACGTGAATCTGGGTGGAAGTGCGCGTAGGAGTGTCCTCTTACACGAAGTTGAAGTTATCGTCTGCCCTGTTTACACTGACACCGCGCCCTACTGCAGGTTTCGTGGCAGGGACTCACAAGTCCGGGAAGGAAAGACTGACTGAAAAGTCTGAAGAGGCTTGGTACGGTGCATACATGTCGTTTTCTGATGCTCCTATCCCTGTGTCGCCTTGCTGTGGTACGACGGATGATTCCAGCTCCTGGCTCTGGGTTGCGAGAAGCGGTTTACTTATCACCATTCTTGGCTGCTGAGAGAATCGACGAAATGCGCCGCAAATATGCAGCAAGGGGTATGACCTTGACTTGCAGCTACAGTATTGGCGAACCCTGCTAGGTTGTAGCCTTCCTTTATACCTTGGCGTGAATCTAGCGTTGACGGCCGAAAGACGCAAACAGCTGCTGGGTACAGGAAACAAAGAGGCGGTTGTTGCCTTCCAGAGGCTCTAGGCAGGCTACTCTCAGACTATGATATCCATAGCGCACTCCCTGCCGCAAGCAGTAATCTGATCCATGGGCCATCCTGATCGAGGCCTCATCTGGTCGCCCTGCACCAAACATCACTTAGATATTACCATAAGGCCATGAAAAGGGATTGGTCGAAGTTGTGCGCCTTGCATTTCATTCTCAGGGCACGTCCAATTTCATGTGTCGACGGACGAAATTGATTCCAACCTCGGAGTGCTTTTCGGAAAGCCGGGAACGAACAGTACCACACACCGAGAACCCAAGCAGAATCTTCGCCTCCGTTGAGACGTGGCTTCAGTCCTCGTTTCCACAGGTGGAGTATACTTCCGCCTACCACATCGAAGAGGGGGGTCTTGGGATATAATTGGCCCTTTCATGGATTCACAGAGCCGCTCAGAACTTGAGAATCGGTAGCACAGCTTAATGGCGGCTAGAATTTTCGAGCAATCAGACTGGTGAGGTCCGGCATCCACCGTCCAAGTTGCCGAGAAGACGTTAGAGGAGTACTTCGTGATCAAGATGCACATTATGGCAACGTAGCTACTGTAGTGAAGAGGATATCGCATGTTTTGCACGGCGTCAAATTAGTGTCCCGCAACGGACCGACCGTTGGGCCTCTTGATGCGTGAAGTTATCGTTTATTGCCGTTACATGATTCCGGCCGAGTTTCATGAGCTTGATGTCGATTGGTCACTGCTTAGTTTCTATCCGTATTATACCTGCCTCGTTCGGACTGTGCCTGCCGCCGGGCGGCTTCCGCGGTACTGGCACATTCCATTCGTTACTTCTTCCTACCTGCAGACGCAGATCGCCAACACCCATCTTTCTCTGATCTGGCGCACCACAGAGTATGTCAACCCCGACGCACCGGTGCACCTGATGTTGAACGATACCAAGTATATAAGCACACCTGAATATCGGGAGTTGACTGAACTGGCTCCAACCAGTCACCCTTTCGACTACATCCTCTCAGTCGCCGCACCTTTCGGAAACCATGTCGACTACCACCCGAATTCTAGTTGCCAGCTTGCTGTCTCAAGAGCCGTGCCATCAGGGGGAATCTCATGCGCAAAAGGATCAATTGCCAGAGTTTGCAGGACTGGACACGCTATCACCTGGGCGCCCGTCCACTCCATCATCCGATGGAGAGCCTCACTCGTGCGCTGATCAAACCCCTCGCCATTCTCACCGCGACGCCGCCGGAGCTTCGTTACTGACGCCTGCGGAAGTGTGGTACTCTCGAGATCCCTTGCTCTCGGACGCTACTTCACTGCCCAATGTGCCCTTGGAGTACCTAGATGCACGCGATGCATCGATTGCTCTCCTGGGCGTGACATTCGACAGGCCGACACAGTCCAGGGGGATCGAACATGTGGCTCAAGCTTCCTTCTCATCATATCCCACTTTTGTGCACGTGGACGAAACATTCAGCAGGTATGTTTTATGTTTATCCGCTCTACGGCAGTTCCTAACTTGAACAGTGAGAACTTCGCTGGCAGCTCTCGTTTGCCCGAACGACAGATCGTTGAAAACTCGGATTCAGTCTTCCAAGACCCGGATCCATGGTCTGATGTTCAGCCGGTATTGATAGACTCACAGTACGCCACTTCGAGCGCACGGCTCGATCTCAACATCCCCTTCGACTGCTTTACAACGCAACCCTATCAGCTCCCTAGCACTGGCATCATGCAAGCCTACAACCTTCCGAACGCAGTTGTCGACGTCGATTTTGCGGCTCAAGACTGTCTTGCTTGGCCTCAGTCTCAGTGGCTTCCTGCACATTGGGGTTGTTCTTGTGTTTTCGGATGTCGGATTCCAACTACAGAGCTCCCGATGTACTTACAGCACAGTCTGGAGGATGAGGAAGTGTGTTATCTACCATTCTGCGCATCAGGTTTTGTCAACGGCTTCCCGCCTCATAGCTACTTGTAATTTTCACAAGGGACTGATGCCTGTGCTCCTACGTCTTTTACCCGACAGTTCATGACACTTGACGGAGGAAAAGACAGTTGCGCCGATCCGGCAGTGCAGTGGTACGGGTGGACCAAAGGAAAATGTAGATATCAAGTAGTGTAAATAAATTACTGAATTCCGAAGCAGAACTCCTGTTGCGAAGAAGCACCCCCTTACCGACAAAAACTTCTCTTTGAACAGAATTACATCAGCTGGTTTGTACCTCCTCCATGGTTCAGTAAAGGGCTTGCGACTGCGCCGGAAGACCCTGCGCTCATGAAGATATCAACAACCTCTTGCGTCAGTTCTTCCACCATCTGCGTTCTGGGAGTCCGGTCAGTGCGGAAGGTATGATGAGCTCTCTGGAAGGCGTACTTCGCTATAATCCTCTTGATCCGGGCTGATTCTTCATCCGAAGCAGCCGTATAGCCATCCGAGGGCTCTGGGGTTGGGCCACTTGAATCCTGTTAGATTATTGTATGCACAGAACTCCATATCTCTCACACCGGCAAGCCACACGTACATGATTTCACGAGGGTGCGCGTGACGATCGGGGACTACTACGGAGCTGCAGGCTGTCACTATCTGGTGCGTGGGTGGGCGGGATTGGGGCTTACGCTGATGGCTGTTTGACGGCTTTGTGGCGGTACGGTGTCTCGCGAAAGCTGCCTTGAGCATACGGGGTGTGTTCCACGGAATGAGCAACCGCATTTCTAGGTCCCTTCTTCTTCCCGCCTGCAGCCTGTCGGTGATCACTGTGCTGAGGCGGGTGTCCGCCCCGCGCCGGGTAGGGCGCCGCCCGCGGAGACGGACGCAGAGGCTTTGATGGCGGTTACCTCTGACTCTGGGCTGGATACATGGCTGGCAGTGGATGTGTGATGGAAAGTGAGAAAACGCAGACAGGCAGAGGAAAAAACGGAGAAAGTTGTACTCGTAAGGTCCGAAGCAAGACGTCGGGTGTCGTTCGATTTCGTCTACTTCTTAGTGCAGCAGGAGCCGAAATCATATGTTCTTGCTGGTCGGCTTTTTATGGCCGCGGAGTTGAAGCAAGTTGCGAGGTTAAGCCGGGCGATGATGACTAGCACTGATAGCGCAAACTCTCACCAACCAATCAAACGCGTTACCAACTGTCTGGAACCGACGTTGGAAGTTGCGACAAGACAAAGAGACAATGCTCCACCTCCGCGTCATCCGCTATTGGTCCTAGGAACACATCCCAGCTCCAACACAATGACGAAAATGACCACTTGCCTCGCGCGGCGGCCGATTCGCGCCGTCCCGAAGGCGCAGAAGCTCACAGGCTCGGGAGAAGGCGCGATACATCCCAATCGGGAGCGGGCATTGAGAGAGGGCTACTGCCAGTCTGGCAGCACGTTTCCAGAGCGCCCAGTGCGGGACCGGGGATCGCAACAGACGGGTCATTTAATGAGGATCCTCGGAGGGTCTCAGTTTAGTCCCTTTTTGCCCCCTGCTAGGACGTTGGTTGCAAACATGAATCGTGCAATGGCAAGGGGTTGAGTGCTAGATTGGCCAGGCACTTCCTGGAAGCGAAGAGTAAAATACGGCGACAATGCTCCAGAGGGCCGTTGGTCTACCGCCATAAATGACGCTCGCTGGCGGATTGCGGAAGGGAAGGATCGTCTGACCTGGCACCGCGGTTGTGGGGTTTCCAAGGGAAGCCATGTCCACCGACCGAAAAGCGTCGCTGATTGACGAACGGCCAGACCTGCCTGTGTGATCCAGAATCTTTGGCGCGGAAGCAGTCGCCAAGGGCGTCGTTTTGAGCACACCAGGCGAGCCCACGATCAAAAAACCGCTTCCAACGCGTGAACCTGCAGCTTCTATGGGCTTGGCTCAAAGTCTGTTATAGTGTTGCCTCCTTCGTCGCGTGCCCCGACGGATACAGTGGGACGAGATAGTGGACCCTCACATCCGTCGGGTCTAGGCCTCCAGAACGTGGTGTTCTCCGCAGGGTCCAAAGTCATCCAGACCGAACATGTGGCCAGGGCGCCCCACGCAGGGATCTCCACTTTCCGCCAGATACGCGTCGCTCCAACACAAAAGCGGCTCTGGCAAAATGGCGTTTACGTCCAAGGCCATCTCTGACGTTGCCTTGTCCAAAGGGTCAGTTACGATAGCTGGCATGGTCGAAAGAGGCTTCGAGGGCAAGGGCATAAAGTGCGGGTCGGGGCAAGTGGCACAGCCCAGGTATTGAGAGCTCGGTAATCCCAGCGAATACGCGCAGTTATCGAGGCTCTCTACTCGGCAAACCGGACGCTGCCTCCATACATTACATCTGTGACAAGGCCAGGGGAAAAGTTTGGAGTGCGGTGCAAACAACGACCTCCTTCCCGACTAGAGGGTCCTCTCCCACGCCGTCCACCCTAGGTCGTACCGTCCGCACCTTCAACGTGTGTTCGTCTCTTCAAAGGCCGAACTCGTCTCAAGTGCGTCGCCACGATCGCCCGGTAAGCCACCCCCGTCTTTGCAATCGTCCAGTCACATGGTTGACATCTAGTCAGGCTTGCAAAACGGTTTTCGGCCGGCCTACTGGCGAAACTGCAGCGGACACACCTATCGTCGACGGTGGCAACAGCAGTTGGGTCTCTGCCTTGAAAGGCCCGCGGCATAGACCAGCGATTGCATGCGTCCCCAGGTGCCGACAGCCGTCGCGACACCCACTCGTGGATACTGGTCGAGGAGAGGAACATGGAAGGGCACCCGGACCGCCCAGCGCACAGGGCGAGCGACGTCGAGGTGAAGCCACAAAATGGTGGGGTCAATGAGGATATCGCATGGCCTGAGCTTGATCTGTTCGTCAGTGACGACCTGGCAGGGCTGGGGAGTCTCGCGGAAGACGACCCGGTTATGCCCGACTGGCTATTTGCGGAAGCGGAGGACGCCGTGCAGACCAACGAGGTGCAGGCAATTCCCGACCTCGGCGCAGAGCTTGCTCGTCCGGTGAACGCCGGAGATGAGGATTTCGCGAGATGTCGACTTTTTGAGCGGGTCGCTAGGGAGCTTTGGTCGGCCGAGCAGAGGAAAGTCGGGACGAAGACGACGGGCCGGCGGCCACCAGGGGATCCGATTGACCGGAAGGCCGATGCGTGGTGGGCCGGCAAAGCAGAGCCGTCAGACACCCCAACGGCGTCGGGTGAACCGCCGGATACCGCATGGGCAGACGCGCCAAATACGGAACAGATCCGGCACTGCGTCCCATTCTTTCAGTCTATCGCCATCCAGTTCCACATTCTCAACCAGGCTAGGCCTGAGGGTGCCGGCCGTGGCCCAGACTGGCAGACGGCAACCGACAGCGGCGACGGAGGCGACAATCCTCGATGGCCTTCGGTGGCCGAACACAGGAAGCATTCGAGAGGAACAACTGGCTGAAGCCAGGAATCATGCAGTCTTCACGCTATCTAGTTTACTCTATAAGGCATTTACGCGTTTTCGAAAAGTGCTCAACCGAAGATGTGCGCACCGTGCTTTCTTTGTCTGGCTGTGCCCCTGCTGCGTTAAAGGATGTCACGTAACAGGAATGAATCCACAATCCACAAAGTGCCCGTCACGTCCTGTATCACGTGTATATCACTCACATTCTGTATATAGACCTTTCTCTTTTGTCTATTTTCACTTTGATAGGCCAAGCCACTTTACCAGACTCCATATGCCCATTGCTGCGTGCCATAACTCGTGACAGAAGACGCCGGCGACACCATACAGCCTTGCTTATCTGGTCGTTGTACTGACACAGCGTCGCCCCTCTCTCACCCCGCCAGTACATGCGGAATCGGGCACATATTCTGTATTTTCCCCAAGTGAGGCATATCATGCGTCAACCACGGCGATGGGTTATGGTCGACGAGAGCTTTGCATGACTATTGTCCACCAAGTCACTTGGGATAAGCATTCATGCTAGACCATTGCAGACAGATAGGATCGCTCTCGGTGACGGGGCGCCGTGATCTCACTGACGAGCCCCCGCACGTCTGGAGCGGCAGGTCCAAGTAGCGCACCTGAAGGCTTTGATGGGGCTGAAAATGCAGTGAAAGCTGGTAGGCTGGCCGCATGACATGGGCCAGGGCATGACGCCCACTTGCACTCACCCGCATAGGAGCACTGCGCCCCGTCAAGGAAATGCACTCGTCGGCGCAGATGCAGCGATCTTTTCAACGACTGTGATGGCAACTGTAGTAACATACCAAGCAGACAGGAAGCTTTGGTCATACTGGGAGTCGAATGATAGCGCGCGGTATCCCCAGACTCGACGGTTGGCAGCATCCCCCGCCGTGAACGACATCGAACAAGAGACTCGTGCGCTGGAACCGCTCTGAAGACGCATTGCAAGCCTTGAGTGGTTCTGTAAGCACCTGAAACCTACAGAGTTAGGTAAACAAGAAACAGGCGGTTCCTCACGGTACGGAATAGCTACACGAGTGACCGCAGGCTCGTCTGAGGCGTCACCACCCGGACCGATTGTTGGATGGTGAAGCATACTCGTGACTCCATCATTTTGAAGATTATCTCTTGACGACATTACGATCAATCACCAAAGGCCGAGCCATCGACGGCCTACAGATTTCAATCCACAGATGATCGATAGCTACTTCATTATATCCCCTCACTGTAGAGACTCTTGCCGTTTGACGCAGACCTTAGTAGCTGTACACAACGGCGGGCCGATCTCCTGCTGAGCAGTGGCAACCGGTATGCCCAACGTTGAGAAACGTGCTATCAAAGTTTCATCAACCCTTCCCCTCAGGGCCTGCAGAACCCACTACGTCTACGTCGTCAAATCGTTGCAGTCTCTGAAGTAGACACCGATAGATAAGATACAGTGCGCAGGAGACAAAAAGCCACCAAGCCGTAACCGTCGCGGTGACGATCGCCGTCGCGGACCATTCACCCCCGTGAACCGTGTAAATGTTAAGCAGGGTGGAGGACAAACCCATCAGCGAGTTCACCAGCGTAGGGCTGCCCGTCAGCGGCGTGTAGCCCGTGGGTCACAGGACTCACATGATGATTTGTTGATTGACCCAAATATAGTTCGCGCGCAATCTTAACCATATCCAAGCCAGGCCGATAGACGCACTGCCCGACAGGATGGACGCCAGAGAGATGAGAAAGTCGTTCAGTCCCCTCGACACTATGTACCCGACCACCCCCATGCTTTCGAGGGCCCTCGACCGCCGCAAGGACGCAAACGTGGAGGGAAAGACGATGTACCCCGCGAGAAGCAGCCAGGAAAAGAGCTTGGCGAGCAAAGACCACCACCAGCCGATGTTTCTATCATTGTCCAAGACCATCTGGTCATACCTGGAGATCGTGAGTTGTGTTGCTTGCTTTCTTGGTTTATTGTCAGCTGCGATGAAGGTGTCCATATCTTGTGTTAGCTACCATGCAGTCAGAATGTCGCAGAAAAACAAGGCTGCTGGATTGAAACTCCAGATATAGTAGTCATTGTTCACAAAGCCATTTTGGGAGCAAACCGTAGAAGACTCCCTCTCCGCGGGGTTATGTGGCCGAGCACTGTGCCATAAGCGACGGCCCAAGGCTCCAATATGAGCTCTACCCGCAACGAGAGATTATACCTGTACGACATCCCATGTTCGTTTCGCAGTCAAGATGCGCATCAGCATCTATCTGATAGCAGGACCGTTTACCTGGTCCATGTTGATTTGCAAAAGTTATACAAGCATAGAAAGGAGAATGTCGCTGAGTCGTATCATGTCACAGGAAACAAGAAGCGGGCCTTTGAGTTGGAAAATGAAAGAGTTGCATTGTACAGTACTGCAAGCAGCACAGAGACCTGAATGTCACTGGACCAGGCATGCAAAGTCTCTATGCCCACGCAGCTATTCCGATCTCAGCAATGTCTTGTGAGGCTCTCGAGCTGGGCACGAGGCCGTGCTAAGCTTCAGCTGCCGTACGGTCCTGATCGACCGCTGCCGTTGCTTTGCCGCACTGCAGAACACAGTTCGAGGAGGTTGGAACCCGGTGGATGCGTTCCAGCGCGAGCCCTACACTCCCCAACAAGTCAGCCCACTCTCTCGCGGTCCGTTCCTTTCCGCCGACAGCTAGCATGAGCATGTCCATGGACGTGGACTCGGCATTCGGAGGCCACTCGACGACACGCTCGGCTATCAGCAGCGTGCTGTCCGCCGCCATGGCGTTGGAGATCTGTCGCAAAATGCATCGAGCTTTTTGATCGCTGTAGTCATGGAGGCAATGGCGAATGTAGTACACCAGAGCACCTTAATGCGTGTAAGTTTCCATACCACTGCTGGGGTTTGAACGCCACCATACCTTGGACAGGCTGTTCCTTGTGCATATCAATCGACATGAGCGTCAAGCCCAGTAGAGCCCCCGACTCGTCGACCTTGGAGATGACAGGCTCCTTGTCCTGGAGCACGCAACGTGCCAGCGGCAGGCCAGTGTTCTCGCAGATAGCCTGAACCGCATGACCGCTGCCGCCGCCAACATCGACCAGTATCACTCTGCCGCCGCTTTCCTTTTTTGATGCCTCGGCGATCCATGAGAAGTCGTACACGCCGATGATGGGTGCCAGGCGATCCAGCGCCGTCATGGCCCGCATAAACGTCTCCTTCTTGTGCTGTTCGTTGTAGATGCTCCACATGTCGTCGTCCGCGGTCCCCTTCGTGAACGTGAGGGACTAGGGCCAAGGCCGTCCGGCTCCTTCCGTCCGTTGCTTTCGAAATAACGGATCGCGTCGCATCTAGACAGGCCATGATTCATCCTAGTGACATTAGCTAGAGCCGGAAGTGCCGTCGGAGGAATTCCTACACAACCCGATCAAGGTCCCCGTACGGATTTCTGGGAAGGAAGATCGTAGACCTGGCTGTGTGCGCAACTCGATCAGGCCCGGCTTCTCTCAGGACACCCGTGGCAACGAGCATGCGGGCGATCCTTCCTACAGAGGTCAACAAATAATGGACGATTGGTTTAGACGGTGTCACCTACTGAGAAGGGGAACATCGACCTCAACATGCTCGCCCAGCTCCGTATAGGATACAGGTTGTCCAAGTGGGATGTGTTGAAAGACGTGCCACTCATCGAAGAGCTCGATGACGGCCGTCTCATTGCTATGGATACTGTGCGACAGCCACTGTTACTGGGGCTGTGCAACGAGATTGCCGATGTCTCTCGTCAATTTGAGAATACCGGACTGAAGAGAAATCTCTTGCGATAGGTTCATCTTGCCACGGAGCGTATATTCCGTGATTATTTCGAGTAGGTTCGTTCCCAGCTGCCGAAGGGTGTGGCAATCCTCGACTGATCTAGAGGTGCCCATTCTTGCGTGTCAGAGGTAGTTCGACGTGAAGGAAAGCGAGGAATGCAGCGACCAAGGTTATAGATTCAGGGGCTTGATAGGATCGTTGAACTCGACATGGGCTGTATTGCATAATCGCTCATCATGAGGCGAAAAGGGACTTGACGAGGACGGTTCAAATACACAAAAAGGCTTCTGAAAGGTTGCGGACAATACGACTTGTAGATTAATGGAACACGGCGCCGGTCCGAATTTGTTCATGTCGAGCAGAAATTTGCTACACACGTTTCTGTCTAAAGTGATTGGAACCCGCCCAACACATCATGAATCCGACCTTCTGGGCTACGTCGCCTGTGCGCATCTTTCTGCGGTTTAAAAGCCCGAAAAGAATTCTTTGCCAATTGCCGGCGGCACTACGCTGTAATAAGTCTGTCACCCTGGAGATCATCTTCTTGCTTGCTGAATCCCTGTTCCTCAATCCTCGCGAGCCAGACGAGTCGTGCCTCTGTGGAGCGTTCTCTACGGGCTTCCCATCTTTGGCTCGCAGCCAATTCCTTTCTCTCTCATCAACGAAGCAATCTTTTTTTTTTCTTTTCTTTGCAGATCTCCGTGGGTCGTGACATCCAACACATTGCCATGCAGTTCCCAGATCGTAGTCAAACTTGATTCAAGACTTCTGCAAATTTGGCTCTTGACGATTTGCATAACAGCTGTTTGGTTAAATGGTTCATAATGGAAAAAAGACAATCTCGCTCCGAAAAGTGCGTCTACATAACATGTAGCTTTTCAGTATATATGTACTGTATACATACTGTACGTACGGTACTATAGTACAGTATCAAATGAACCTCCAGACCAGCCATTCTAACCCTACACTACTGTACGACTGAAGATGGCGGCACCTTACGGCCCCAAACCTTCTTGAACCCAAACCACGGGTGCGTTATGCCTGAAACCATCTCCGCTTCTAGGCCGGCAATGTAATTTTCGATGCGTTCAATACTCCACCCAATCGACGTACACGGGCGCAGAAGAAACCCTAAGGCGTCCTTTTCAATCGCTGACTGGGCGCAGCGTCCTAGCCATCTGTGCTCTGGATCTCTTGGCCATTTCCCAATCGGTATCTGAGATCAAACGTTGAACCTCTTTCCAAGCACTGATGGCAGTGATGCAATTCGTACCTTATAGTCAAGCTCTCGGATGTCACTGAAGTGTGCCTCTTCCAGAGCCTGTCTTTGTATGCCCTCTTGCACTACAGAGAACGTCTGTCCAATCTGGGCCCCGTATTCTTCGAAGACTCCGTGCCACTGATCCCAGGCACTTGTCTGGTCCACCGTGCCGTCGTCGCTCTCGATGAGAAATGAGGGCTCCGAACTTTCCAGAATCCCATCTTCTTTCAGGCAGCGATAGGCTTCCCCCACTAGAAATTTCCAATCACGAACGGATCCAGTCAGAAACCGCATGTTGATGTAGTCGAGCGAATTGTCTTTGAATGTCCACGGTTCGTTGAAGTCATCAATCTGGCTGGGGGCGGAGTCAGCATTGCTATGCAAGGAGGAGCCTTCACAAATTCCAATTGGCAATGACAAAGAGCTAGCTGGACTGACAACTCTACGTTCGGCGGAACATGTTGAGGCTGAATCGGTGATAGGTCAGTTCCAATCACGAGGGCGTGTGGATGAGCTTCGCCAACTTCGCTGAGGCATGAACGTCAGCATTACTCCCTCAATGCTTTTGATGTATACGGCCATACATAGCCCACGCGCCTGTCCCAGTCCCAACATCTAAGATTTTCTGTGAAGTAATGAGCACACTTGCCAAGCGGCTTGATCCGGAGCAACGATACCTGAGCGTTGTCTGGAAGCTCGGCGAGGAAGAGCTTTCCATTAGAAGCCTCGCAAAACAGGGAGTGGCTGACGAGAATAAGTTAGCCGTTATGCTCCTCTGAGTTACACATTTTGACTGTCCTGACCAAAGACCCATCGCCTCACTCTGCAGTTCGTCATTTGGGGCCCTAAACAAAATCGTTAGTCTTCAGTCACTTGGGTCGCCCGACTGCGCGTACCAGTAAATGGAACGAAAGCTTCTACTGTGATAAGCTCTGTCATCTAGATATTGGTAGTTTAGAACGTCGTCAGTCATCGACTTAGTCGAGCACTGGTCGTCATCAAGGCCTGGATCGGATCCGTCGTCTTGCCGGTCTGTCTGAATGGGCTTACCGTTAGTGTTGTCGTTGGAGTGACTGGGAAGAGAGATCTCACCTCAGATGGAATTGCGGATTCCATTTCTTGTGTAATAGAGGTCGAAGACAAGAGACCTGGCTGCCATCCATCTGGCCCATCCACGACCAACGGGGATGAGGACCTCGACCCCGAGAATACCTCTGTCATCTTCGAAGAAGTCAAGATATGGTAGGGACCCTGAGGGATAGCACCGGATCATGTCCGTTAGGGAATTCACTCTACTTATATGCTCAGGATCCGGTGGCGTCAGGGTTGCTCAAACGGCTGGTCTGGCTAGGTCAGGGAGGGTCGAGTCTTGGTATCACCACGGCGCCAACAACTATGGGTACGCATGAAGCTCGCTAATGAAGAAGATTAAAGGGTGATCAGGGCCTTCAAATCAGGAGACTCTTCGGAAATTGAAATACTACATGGGTACCACATGGACTCGCGACCAACCTAGGCTGCCGCTTGTGAGATGCTGAGTAACAACAAGAAACGTAAGGGCAAGGGAATTTATGATGAGTGGACGGAGGTGGCGTGAGTCCAGCTTGACCTATTGGATACCTTGACCAAGCGAGAAAACGACCGCAGAAGCTTTAGTGTGAGATAAAAAGAAAAATCAGTGTCATGCCACGAATCTGGAGGAGAAACTTACAAGGGGAATAAGCCTGACAGTATAATCGTATCTACCTCGCCGTCCTCGCCATATGAAGACAGACGAAGGAAACCAAATGCCTTCCGAGCCAGCTACGGCAGATCCATCCAAGAGCCCCGTATGAGTAGAAGAGCCATGTCTTCCACGTTGGGTGTATATCAAGCCCTCCCTACAAGTCGGAAATTCGATCACAGGTTGTTCAGAGCGCGGCTTTCATCGCATCCCCTCCCTCATCCAACCACCCAATGACGGCGCTACCTTAGGCTACGACACAGACTGTTAGAAACGATCGCCGTCTGCGTCGTCGAACCCACAATCGGTTTCATGAAGACTGCTTCGCTGGCGGTCTCGTCTTCGCATCCAGCAACGCGGCGTGCACTGTGCATACCATCACGAATTGTAGTGCGGTCGACATTATGCTTCGCAGTGACCATAAGCTCATTGAAACCCACAATCCACGCATCAAATGATGTGTGTATTTTGGGCTTCCATTCCGGCAAACCCCAGCCTTTGGAGGAGCGTCTGCGCGACCGGAACTGGTCAGGGCAATGCCTGATTTGTGGAGAAACGTCGCAACAGCAGCCACGCGCCAATGATTCGCGATGAGGCTGAAGGTAATTACTACAACGTACACGGCGTGGAAGCGAATGAAATTTTGCTTGGTGCGCTGTTGAAGTTCTTTGAGACTGGTAGGAAGGTTAAGACAGGCTGGGTCAATCAAATCAAATAAAAGACTAGTTGCTGGATTCCCAAGTGCGCGAACGACGTAAGGCCAGTAGGTGTCTTTCAACGCAGAGAGAGCGACCTGAAGGGCTTCAACAGACATGATTGTAGACTTGCAGACTTGGGGGGAAGGTGAAGAATCCAAGTTTCCAATCCTACGGGGAGATCCTACAATCTTGTATGTTGTCCAGCTGCTGCCGAAGCATCTCCATCCCTTTCGGCCTCACAGCAACTAATGTCTCTGTCACTTGAGCTTGCATTGGTAGCTGTGGGAAGCTGCAATGGTCAGTAGTGTGTGGTCACGCAAGTTGTCTCACAAACTCGGCCAATTCGACATCACGCACGGCGAGTGTGACATGAGCCGAAGAGCCTATGAACACTGCCGAATCATGACGCAGGAGAGAAACGAAGTCGAACCCAGCCTCGATGCACGCGGTAAAAACTAGCAGTGGACGGGCTGCGCGAGTGTTCAACTTAGTGTTGTGTCCTTAGCGGATGGGTGCAAAAAGAAAAAAGTCAGGATCTGTCATGGCAGGTTTGCGCTTTGCGGATCGGTTGATATCGGCTCTCCCCGCTGCATGTCACAGGTGGCTTAGTGTGACTGTTCAAGATACATATCGAGAAGGTGATCCGAGATGATACGAAACTCCTTGGTTCATTCGATGGAAATCGCTTTCGAGTGATCAAGAAGTTGCGGTGATGAGGGCACCCTCACAACAGCCCCACCTTGTCTGTACATGCGGGCTTTGGAAGCGGAGCTACAAGTGAATCTCACAAGCTTTTGGCGATACGGTCAAGTCTGCTTTTCGCGACCAGACCAGAGAAAAGGCGAGGACAAAGGCAAGGCGAGGGAAGGTAGAAAACAGGTTGACTTACTTCTCGATGTCTCGATTTCGACCAGTCTACAAACCTGCCAGCACGCTTTCGTAACCTTCAATCCTCACTACTTCGGACAGCGGCAACCTCACGCCTCTCGAAGCCGTGCTCCTTCTCACACCGCTATGGCCGACCACGACACCGGAGGGGAGTCCACAGGGATGCTTGCTTTCGATGTCGTCATCGTGGGCGCCGGCTTCAGCGGCTGCTACGCTCTCTATAAGTTGAGACAGCTCGGATATTCCGCCAAAATCCTCGAGGCCGGAAGCGACTTCGGAGGCGTCTGGCACTACAGCAGATATCCCGGAGCCCGGGTGGACTCGGACACGCCGTCATACCAGTTCAGCTTACCAAAGGTCTGGGAAACCTTCAATTTCAAAGAGAGATTCCCCGGGCACGAGGAGATTCGACAATACTTCTCTCACGTTGCTGCCACCCTCGGGCTGCGGGTGGACGCCATCTTTGACGCCCGAGTGGACAATGCGAAGTACGACGCGAGCAGCGCGCGATGGAACTTCCATACGGAACGAGGTCTTCGCATCTCGTCAAGATTCGCCATCTTTGCCTGCGGAAGTTTCAGCAAGCCTTATCTCCCTCCTTTGCCGAACCTGGAGACCTTCCGTGGGGATATCATCCATCCATCCGCCTGGCCTGAACGCCTTCAGCTGAAGGGCAAAAACATCGGTATCATAGGCCAAGGCGCATCCGGTTTACAATTGGTTCAGGAACTCGCAAAAGAGGACTGCCAGTTGACTGTCTTCGTACGGAACCCCTGCCTCACAATTCCCATGCGCCAGAGAAGCCTCCCGTACCGAGAGTCGGAGGAGTTAAAGAACTACTACGACGGCATATTCTACAAGGCAAAGTTCGGCTCATCATCAGCCATCGCGTATAACCAAAACACGGACTACTTCCATGGTACGAGTGACGAAGACAGCGTTGCTCTCTTCGAGCGCCTCTGGAACAGGGAAGGTTTCGGTCTGACGTTGTCGAACTATCGCGATATCATGTTCGACAAAGCGGCCAACTCGAGCATCTACGACTTTTGGGCTCAAAAGACCAGGGCTCGGATGACCGATCCGGAGAAAAGGGATATCGTTGCACCCCTGGAACAGTTCCAGTGGTTTGGCGCCAAACGAGTCAATCTTGAGATGGACTATTACGAAATGCTGGATCGTCCAAATGTCAAGATCGTTGACCTTAAGAAAACGCCGATTACATCCTGTTTTGACCAAGGCATCGTGACCGAAGGGCGAGAGTCTTTGCAACACCATCAACTGGACGTCATAATTGCAGCCACCGGTTACGACTCCGTCACGGGCGGCTTGTTCGAGATGAACATACACGACAAGGATGGTGTGAAGCTTCAGAAAACGTGGGAGGCTGGGATCGACACCTACCTCGGTATGCTGGTGCCGGGGATGCCGAACGCATTTCTCCTATACGGGCCACAGGCGCCGACAACGCATACGAACGCGCCCTCTTTCATCGAACTGCAAGTGGATTGGATAGCGTCTCTTCTAGGAAAGATGCGCAAAGACGACGTCCGCTCAGTCGAACCAGCCAAGGCGTCTTGCCGGTCGTGGAAGGAGAAAGTGGCGAACGCCTTCAACGCAGGCCTTTTCCGAGAAAGCACCGCGTGGTGGACTGGTGCAAACATTGCCGGGAAGAGAGTCGAGCCTCTCGTCTTTTTCGGTGGCGTTCAGGTATGGCGACAGGAGTGTCAACGCGCGTTGGACGACTGGTCCAGCTTCCGTGTCTCTAAAGCGTAGTACGCATCAATCTGATGGTGTCGTGGTCCGTTTTCGCGCGTTCACAGAAAAGTAACTGAGTAGCCTTGATTATATTCCTGATGGAAGGTTTTGAGTGCGTTCCCCCGCGTTAAGTAAAGTTGGTCCCCAGATTTCACACCTGTGGTGCCTTTTCGCCAATTTCTTTGATTGGCCACATGCCATCCTCGATGTTGCTGCCTACATAGCGCGAATGGCGTCCCTATCGCACTGCAGCGTGACAAACTGCTTCACGCGACCTACTTGGACATCCACCTGACTCCACGCAACTGAATCAAGCATCAGGTCTGGGTCATCGAACGCGCTTTCCGTTGCATCGCATCATCCACTTATGGGTGTAGCATGACTGTTCTTGAGCTACGACAACCGGTACGCGCAATACAGATGAAAATACTCATAAGAAAGACATCATTTTCGCGATTTCTGCTGGTTCCCGTTGGCTGACCTTATCCAAATGTGGGAGGGGAAGGGTCGGGCCTGCGGGGATTGAAGGCCTGCTGATGGAATTCTTGGTAGGCAAAAACTCTGCATTGCGCCGCGTATTGAGTTTGTTCCAATGTCACTATTCTCCCTATCCGTGTACGGACCTTTTACACCTCTGCGGTTGGTTTACATCTCAAAAGCCGCTTCGTGCTTTACCGTGTAGCGATGTGCTCATCGTGACGATCGGCCCCGTGCGTCCAGCTTGTAACCCCGAACCCAAAAAGAAGACTGCAGGAAAATGCCGTAGTTGAGGGATTTCCATGGCTTCGTTGGATCAACGACAACGAGTTCATACCTCCTCATAAGCTGGTCAGACGATCAGTAAAGCGTATCCGCACGATGCTGCTCGTGTACCGAACAATGGCTATGACTCACCTCGACAAAAACCTTCTGCAACTCCATCATGGCCACGTTTCGTCCCAGACACTTCCATTTGCCGTGCCCGAAGACGAGGTCCAGCATGCCTTCCATCCGCTTCAAGTCTTCTGTCCCCGTCTCCAGCCACCGCTCCGGCCGGAACTCGTGCGCATATGGCCCCCACAGATCGGTACGATGGAAGATGGCCCATGCGCCGTATCCGATCCGGGTTCCCTCCGGCAAGTGGACCCCCCTGAACGTGTCTCCGCCTTTGGGGACTTCCTTGGACATCTGGCCCACGACAGGCGGGAAGATTCGAATTCCTTCCTTGATCCCGGCCTGCAGGTACGGCATGCTACGCGCTTCTGCCTCTGTGATCACGGGCCACGACGGCTTAGCCAACTCGATTTCCTCACGAAGAGCGGCGGATACTCGGGGGCTCGTGAGGATGTGGAGGAGCGTCGCGCGAATGGCGGTCGCCGTCGTGTCGGATCCAGCTAGACTAGTGTCCAAGAACGTCAGCCAGCACCACGGAGGCTCGGGAATTCGTACATCTGCATGAGGATCTCCGATGACGCTTCCTCCTGGGCCAGACCGTGAGCTACGAAGGAGCCGAGCATATCTTTCCTAATCTTCTTATTTGGACCGAAACGTTCCGCGGCGACTTCTTTAGCGATCCTGCCAGTGCAACGCCCGATTATCAGCACTGTCGACAATGTCAAAGAATGTGCCGAGATGGGGCCCAGAGCGAATGCTCAAGACACGGATTCAGTAGTCATTCCCTTATGAGACACGTACCCGATCGTCTTCCCGAGCCCTATAGCATCCTTATCAGAAGGTAAAAGGCCCCGAAGCAGGGGCGAAAAGAGTAGGGCTAGGAGCCAAGGCAGGACTGCTGCCAGCACGACGTTCGGCATGTTCTGCTCCGATGTGCGGATGTACTCATGGACGTCAGAGTCGGAAGCCACATCGCCAAACGGCTCACCAAAAGCAAGGTCCGAGATGACGTCGAGGGTGAAATACTGCGCTTTGAGACCGAAGTCGAAAGCTTTGTTCTCGGAAACATAGCGATCGACTAGATCGATAAGACGAAGAATGTTCTCGTCCACTTTTCCTTCGAGGTTCTCAACTTCTTTGCCGGAGTACTGAGGAAGCCGATTAGGTTTTCCGGAGGCAAGTGGGCCAGTGTACGACTTACTCCAGCAGCCATCCGGGATCGAAGCTGGGCGTGCAACGCGTCGTCTCCCATGGACAATATGTTATCTCTGCCAGGATCAAGCCTCATGGCGTCGTACCAATTCGACCGCCTGTATTTGGTCCGCACGCCGAGCATGTGCTTCATGAGGTCCGGGTCGCTCGTGATCAGATCCCTCGGCCCGACACGTACAAGAGATCCTGCGATGTATGTAAGACGTTCGGGGGCCCTCAGAAGCGGTATGGGTCCCAACATACCATATTTCTGGTAGGCCTCGTAGAACTCAAGATGCCCCCTCCCACTACGCAGGGCGCGCACAAGCCACCAGTCGGTAAATCCTGCGACTGAGGGTCCCCTGATGTGCTTCAGCCGTGCGTATTGGCGTGCGATAGAGGCGATGCCATAGAGAACGATGATCGAGACTGCCGTGCTCGTGTACACCTCATAGTCGCGCATGATGGAGTCTGTTTGGCACCAGTGGGCTATATCGGTGGTTTTAGTGGGATCTGCAGACCATCTCCATTGTTGATCGGTTCAAAGACAAGGCGGAAGATGGATGGAGTCATCCATATAATATGCCGCGTCAGAGCAAGCGGGAGGATGGGTAGATCTCGGAAATCGTAGAGGTACGGTTCTCTCCAGGCACGAGCGGGTAAGAGAGACAGCCAAAGCTGAGCGTCACGTCGATTCTGGCTTTCTGACATTCGGCTTTGGGGCCGATATCCGCTGGCTTACTTGTCACGATTTTGCGATTTTCCATGCCCTCGCGGTGAAATCAAACAGTTCAGGATGTTGAAGGGAGTGATCTGAATGGGCTAGATTGGCTTTTGGCGGCTTATGCTGATTCTCATGCTTATTAGCGACCTGGGCCACTTAAGATTACGCAAAAAGCCTCTTTTACCAGATGGCCGTGAAACTCTCGCATCTCGTAAGTATTGATGCTTCGACGAGGCTTGAACATTCTTTGGGCTGATTTTCACGTGCTGGAGCGGGTTCTGACGGAGGCCGACTCTGGGACGCCGAATGAGACGCCGTGTCGCGAACTTGACAAAGAGCAATCGGTACGCTGCCGGTTAGTCTCTACTCGGCTCAAAGTCGGGATTCCTGTGGCCGAAATTACTCTTACGTGCCTAGGAACAGCTCATTCGTCGCTGATTGCTCCTGTCAAATCGGTGCAACAGCCACGCCTGACGTCGCGCGAATGAGACAGGAGCTACTATTTCTCATTTGCAGGACGTAATTTCGGCGCAGCACACAGTGTTCACTGTTCCTCCGGCGTGAAGAGCACATGTACAAACGCGGGACGTCCATTATATAGTGCTTCGCGACCAGCCAACCACCACGTCTCGTATAGTATCATCATCAAAACCTCTCGTTCCACAGGTGTATGTGGTGTATGTTCTCGGACACAAAAGCTCACCATTCCACCCATGAGTTCCCTTGTCTCTCTTACAAAGAACGATATGCCGGACTCGTCCTACAGTAAGAGCTCCGTCCTCAGGTATCTGGCCGAGTTTACTGCTAAAGCCATGTAGGGGTTGCAGAGGTTGCCCGTCTGAGGCGTTCATACCCAAAGCTGAACCTCGCAACGGCGGTTTCTGGCATCACTGCTGTACTCATGTTGGCCAATCAATCATCGACAACCTCATCAGTCCTGAGCGACATGTCAACATGCCTCCTGGTTGGGTCAATTATCACGGCGGCATTTACAGGAATGATCACAATTATGCTTTCGTTTGAGCTCCAGCGCGTACAAGAGACTACCAGGGCACGCCAGGCGATGGCTTGGGTACCTATCTTCTTCTTCGACCTTATGGTGTTCGAGCTTGTCATGGGCCTAGTCTTTTGGTTCACAGCCGACCATGCCTGGCAGTATGCTGCCATTCTTGGCTTACTATCGGGATCACTCTTCATGATAGCGGCAGCTATAGCTGTTTGGATCACGTTGTCAGCGAACTCACACGCTTGCTTGCGAATGCGAGAGGAGACGGAATCCAAACGCTGACGATGTGGGCTTTCAGCCAGACATCTAGCCATCAGTTTGATGCTTTGATGGATGCTAGAACCCTGCCGCGTGATTCCCTAGACTAGATCGAAATCATGACGAAGAGGTCCGACGTCATTCCACTGCGCAGAAAACACATACAGTTTGATCCATCGATGTGTTCTTTGTGCTTCTGTGGCCTTGGGTTAGACAACTCGAACGCAAGTGGACCCCCGTAGGCTACTCTCATCTTCTACTACGGAGAATCGATATACAGTCCCATTGGCCCTTCGTCAACACCCTCGAATCCATCCGGCTCGAACCAAGTTTATGTGATGGGGATCGTGACAGTGAGTCATTACTTCAGGTGACCGAGCAGTGTCAAAAAGATATTTCCTGTGGCGATATCTGGGTGGGCCTTCCCAGGCAAACGACATCATCTCGAATGCCAGCATATAGAGCAGAAGCACATGAAGTTCTTGAAGAGAGAAGGTGTCGAGACTTCCACCGGACCTCATGAGGGAACGTAGAATGATCGACACCTTCCCAGCAACTCATGGTACAGCTCCATACATCCAGGCATCTTTCAACTCCCTTTTCCCAGGCATCAAAGAGCGACGACCGCGGTTTGGATCTCTGCCTACCTTCAGTCACACACTTTGATTCCCGCGAGGCCTCTGAATTCAGGCCAGTCTCCGACGTCTCATGGCACTTTGCATCCATGTTCATTTCGGTAGTCATGCTATGCTTCACCACTACCAAGTTGGATGGAATGAGATACTTAGTGAATGACCGATACGACGCCGGGAGAATGATTGTGATGCCCACCTCCACATGCTGACCCACACCGACCTGTTAATTAGTTAGCCCCTGGATCTTGGTGTCAGGACCGTCACCCTCGAGTGGCTGCGTTACCAGTTTTAGCATGTGAGCCATATTTTACCACGGGTATCAGGGGACCTCTCGAGCGGTATATAGAGACTGCTCGTGTCCTCTCGAGGCCGTGCTACTTTATCAACTCCATCCAACTCGAGTCAATCTTTCTTGTTACAGCCTGACCCTCCGTTTCTTCTTCCAGCTCTGAGACTCAGCATAAAGCCGTTTGCGCGTATCGACGGTAACAGGAGTGCTTTCCAAAGCCAGACCATGTCTTCCTCACCCTCACCACATGCAGCGACTCCGACTTCCATCATTCCTACTCCCTCGAAACCATTTCCGCTCCTTGAACTACCATTGGACATCGTCTTCATGATTTTCGACCTCTGGAGATCTGACGATTTTGAGAGCGCACTGAACGTTTCATTATCGAGCAAACTTCTACAGTGGTTATCCACCGCATGGATCTTCAGATCAATCAACGTCTGGATGAAGAGAACCCAGATCTACCGCTTCTTGCGAGATATCAGAGGGAACGAAAAAGTCCTTGCAGTAGTCAGGTAAACGCGAAAGCTTCTGTTGCACGAGAGGAAACCTGAGGAACTGACATCCCCACAAGGTCATTTACCATCCGCATAAAGAGGGTTCCGGAAGCAATGAATGAGCCCTTCGATAATGCAGTACTCGTACTCTTTGCTGAAGTCCTTTGCTGTATGAACGGCCTGAAAGAATTGATGCTTGATCTCGTCAGAGGTGGATCGCTGTTTGCCGATGCATTCCACGCCAGCTTACGGGAAAGGACCTTGCCTTCGGTAGAGACATTTTGGTATCGGGCAGCGAAAAGCCCCGGTTCCATCTCGGAAGTGCTTCCTAACGCCCATCGATTCAGTCTTGGCGTCAGCGACATGACAAAATCGGTGACCGTTCTTCGGGATCTTTCCTCGCACCCTCATCTGAATGTCCTGGAGCTCCAGAAATGCTACTGGTCTCTGAGAGATGTAGAAGTGGTGGTGGCTCTTTGTCCCCAATGTCCAGCATCTGCTACTGAAAGGTGGACTAGATGGGGTAAGAGTTTCGATACGAACCCCGCTTCCAATGTCGGTAGAATAACTGTCGGATACTGATCGTACACAGGAGCTCATCCCAGCCATCAGACTGCTTCCCAGGCTTCAGAAGCTTGCCATTGACACCGATCAGATTGTTCCGTTGCCACCACGCCGCTTGGAGCCGCACGATCTTGACGACATCATGTCACAGATCGAGAATCATCCGCTTAATGAGAAGCCACGTGCCAATGCTTTAAAGTTCTTTCAACAGTGTCACAGCCTGCTAAGAGTATATTTATCACCTTGCTGGTTTCGTCCGGTCAGGAAGCCTGGGGAGAGACTTCGTGCAAGACAAGTAGCTCCCGACTGCCAAGATATGTATATTGAGTGGCAAAAGTGGATGGGTATCCCCAGAACTGCCAAACGACGAGACTGAAACAAGGCGGGTTTGAGCGTGTCCGCGCCGATGCATCCGATCGTGATTTCGTAGACAATTGACTTAGGGTCCGAATGTGGTCCTTCTTCCTCGACAAAGACGTGATACGCCGCTCTTCGTTTGCTACGGTGATATCTAGCGCGACTGCCCTTCACTTCACTGGAAACAGGGAATCTGCTAGAAATACTTGGTCGTGAACGAAGGGACCAGGCGGCCAACAAAGATCAAAGCGATAGTCTCCAGATGTGCAGACACCATGTTTCAAAAGGGAAAGGGGATCATCTCACGTTGATTCTGGTCGGTGGAGCATTTCTCAAGCGGTGGCAGACGCCTCGTTATTCGACATCACGGCAACTCCCTGAATACCGCGATCTGAACAGTGGCTAACCATTCACCTCTACTTGTGGTGTGCACCGTTCGTCGACGCATCTCGGAGTATGATAGATGAGTTTCGTATTCACGTGTACTTTAGCTAGTGAATGCGGGAGACTTGTTGACGATTCCTTCTGTGATATCTAGAATCTGGGCAAATGCCGAGCGGTGCCGAGAGACCATAGCTTCGAGCAGCTCCAGTTGCTTTTTTGTTTGTTGGAGCTGATTTCGGAGAACTTCACACTCAACGTTGGCGGCCTCGAGCTTGACTGCTGTGTCTGCTTCGGCTTGCTTCTCTCTCCTTGCCGAGTCTTCCATCTCCTGAAGACTGCATCTCAACTGGTCTCTCTCCCCGAGAATTTCTTGTACCTGCGTACGCAAACACTGATTCTCTGCTTCTAACTGGTTCATGTTAGAAAAAGCTAAAGAGGAAGCTAGTAAACTCGTACGACTTGGCTCTCGTCTTCCGTGTCGTCTACGACAGCAGGGACCGCCCGGAATGACGTGCCGATTCCCGCGCAGATCTTCTTATACCCGCCGACTGAATGCGTGCTGAGGTTTTTTTCGAAGAGCGGGGCAATAGCGGGCCGACAATCCCACGCATACAGATCATCTTCTGTCGTCTTGAGGCGTACTTTGGAGTCCTCCACAACAATACCAAGACGCTCGTCAACTAGTCGTTAGTCCAGAGGCAGTTTCAGGGTTACAGCAAGTCTCACAGATGTGCTTGGCGAGTAGGCTTCTGCATTTGCTGTTCCACGCTTGGCGTTCAATGTTGCTGGCCTTCGGAGGCATGTCTTTGTCTTTCTGGCATCGAAGTAATGCTCGTATCTAAATAGTAATCAAAATTTGTTGCGTAGAGTTTGGAGTCAAGTTGCTTCTCGAGCCGAGACCCCGAGCGCATGTGTACCGTATCGAAAGCCAGAATAGGCTGTTGCGAGAGGCGCATTTTGGCTTTGGTCATTGACCTAAGTGACGCCAACGTGCCATGTCTAGGCTACGACGTATCATACCTCTTTGTCAATCTCTTAAGTAACTCGAGCTTATCAGACGCCAAAAAGATGATTTGACGATGCTGGAGATCTGTTTTTATTCTGTGACTGTAGGATCGGTTTGACGAACCCTAAGCTTAGTCCTCCAGCGATTATTCTGCCGGATGAACTTCTACGGCCCTGTGATGGTAAATGTCGATTCTTACGGTCCAAAGGTTGATCAAGGTTGACTGCTACATCGAGGTGAATACTTGCGGCGATATCCGAAAAGTCTTCTTGCGGGTGAAATCGAAAGCAACACCAATAATTTGAAGATAAGCTCTAAGCCAGCCGTACGGCTCGTACTTTCTTTCCGGACTTGAAGGATCTACGTCATATGTTGAATGGCTCTGCCCTGGGATCTCCACGAGTGATCCGTCTGTGTCGGGTTGGTTCTTCACGTAGGCGGCACTTGTAGTCCCAGAGCATATAAGCTCCGCTGTCTCACTTCTGACGGAGCAGTCTATATCTTCCTCACTACCTTCCATTCTTCTCATTGACTTCTTGTTGGCTCACCAAAATGGCTCCTACCTCTGAGACATCGAACGCACACAGAGAGCCAGCTAGAAAGACCGGCTTCCCTGACGAGAAGCTCGCTGCGGCTGTGTTCGAGATATCCTTTTACGGGGAAGAGGAGCTTGAACAATCGGCGAGAGACCACGAGTCCAGCCGTGATGCTAGTAGCACCCAAAGTGCGGCATGGTCTGTCATGTCTGAAAGTGGTGAGTAATCCGCCAATGTATAATGGAGAAGTCTGACGAGTCATGGCCAAAGGGCAGCAGTTAAGCGCAAAATCCTCGGTTGCAAACATAATCTGATCTTACCATGAACGTTGTTGACCGACGTCTGCCTAGTGAGCCATTGCCGCCGGTCGTTCAGGTAGCGGCCATTGGGGGACAGGATTATGTATCGTTCCTTCAAAACTTGCTTCATACAATATGAAAGTGATAAGATCAATCCAAAAACACAGGAACGTCGGGAAAGCTAGATCAGGATGGGTGTACAATGCAAGAAGATACGGGATAGCTCGAGTAGATTATCGTGATGTCGTGGATCTATTAATTATTGTTTTCGAGTCTGTAATTAGACGATTAATTGAAAGTACATCGCCACACTGGCACAGCCGTTGATCACACAGTGGGTATCATATTGTTCTCCGAGAGTATTGCACACTATCTGACGGCCGCGGTAGCTGACTCTCATCTCAATCGCCAGACCTCATATACAACGAGGAAGACCTGTAGCAAACCTCCCGCTGATATCTGAGTCGTAGATTGGCAAACTACTACTCGATAGCGTTTCTTGACGAGTCTCTCAGCCCGCACGGGCTTACCAAGATCTCGATGACAGCTGCGGACTGGCAGCACCAGGCGAATCATTCAAGTTGGCAAGAGGTTCATCAGCGCAGCTTTATGATTCTTTCATTGGGTTACAACGGCGGCTTTCTCAATTCGTTGTCATCTCTATATGGTCCGGCCTCAACGAGATTGCATCCGTTCAACGAAATACATCAAAGACCATCGAGTCGTACGTAGTCGCCTAGGAATCGTTCAAATAGAGATCCGAGCCTGATTGAGTCACTCTGCTGTCGTCTACTACCTGTCCATGAGTTCTCTTGCTGCCGCAGAAGAGAACACCGTCGTCGTTTCCTAGCAGGTCGTCTGTGAAGGATTAGACGGCTTCGCACGTAGGTGAGCGGAATACTTTACTGAGGTTAATTCCGTCTGCAGTGTGGCGCCCCTGCCCCGCCACTATCTCGCAGCTGCAGGCATAGTTTGCCCAGGATGAGGTCGAGTTGTCCTCCCAGCATGGCCCACAGGTGCGAAAGAAGAGCCCGCTTGGATATGTCAGATTTGTTCAGGCAACAGTCAGGGCGTCGACTCACTCGTCCTGCGCGACAAGTTCGCCTTGGATGTTGACGAGACAGGAGTTCAAGTCAATGACGGACCAGCGATATCGACCAGCGAGCGACGGACAGTACGCTGCCACCTCATACTTTGCGTTCTTCAATGCACCCCATTCAACACATGATGACAAGAAGCCGTTCGCCCCAATTTGAGTGCTTCCACCGCTGACGTCAGTCGATGCTCTCCCCAGACGCCCTGTTAGAAGACAGAGTACAGCAGCAGGAAAAAGCAGGCGATACATAGATTCGACGGTGAAAGACATAGTTGTTCTATGGTCTGGGTATTGCGATGTAGGTGAAAGTAAACCGATGATTGATAGGACGAGTTGCAGAGAAAGGCGGATGGAAGCTTTATCATCAACTGTAAGCCTCCGTATCTGGCTCTTCAGCCCCTGATACATGGTATGTGTCTTACACGAAGTCCCATGTCGTTGGTAGGGCTTGTCGTCGTGGGGGGCTAGCAGTGGAGAGCTGTGCTTGCTGTCGGCATTGCACAGTCTGCACAACGTCGCACGATCGAGCCCATATAGCAATGAACTTGCTGTGCTTATGGAGTGTCGGTACTGGTTGGTACCGCAGGCAACACACCGTGTTGACGTCGTTTGCCGGAAGCCAGATCTGGCTTGTTATGTGCCAATCCCAGCGAAGCTTCCAGCGGATCATGGTATCGGCACGAGTCACACGATATCTTGGAGCAGAGAACAGGAGCACCAAGCGTGTTAATTTCGCTGACGAGTTCAATTCAGCAATAGTATTGTATCAGCTCTGGGGGTTCAATTCGTTCAGTCGGTCACCAAATGAATATAGTCACGCCCGATTTCAATTTCGTCTCATCGTCCGACTTATATGGACCGTAAAGAACACAATACTGTACTGTAGCAGTGGCACTGACACTGTAGTTTGTTGTCACCGGCCGTATTTTGAAAACCCGTTGCCTTTCTATCGCAAACTCTAGGCTACTTCGGGGCTTGCTTCTTATAACTCGAGTATTTTACACCATCATTTCTTATAGTCCTCCATGGAACCACTTCTTCCAGGCTGACTGGCCGAAGCTTCTTGTCATCGGCGGCGATGTATCTCAGCGTCATATCCATATGATAGGTCTTGAAATAACATTATCTCTCCTTTCAACCGCAGCGCCTTTATCCCTTAAGTTCGAGGTCCCTGAGAGACACCGTCTTGTTCGGCTCGTCTGCGCAAGACACCGGGGCATACTGGCTCCCAGCTCGGTATGGTGATATATCAGGCGACGAGCTGGAGTCTGTATCGTGGCTGTTCGCTTTTTCTAGCCTTTGGTAAAATAGATTCGGTTCGGAGGGTCGAGCAGGCCGGCTTACGGACGAGGATGGTGTCGTGTCTAAGCAAGGACGATACAGTACATCTTCGTAGACGTCATTCATATGTCGTCTGGAAATGATGTGTATGGGTTGGAAACAGGAAAAGGTCATGTTAGGGGCTCGTGTTCATCGTTTGGTTGATGGAATAGTGTGGGATGTTATGCGTTTTATGTAAAGCTCACTGTAGCAGTCTTCGGAAAGCCTGCCAACCAGCATGCTTTCTGACTGCATTAGAGTATGCCCTTGACCGCCCCAAGAGGCTATGTTCTTTTCAACATGGGCCGGTCGACTCATAGCCATATTGTGCTTGCTCCATACGTAGTCGAAAGAACAAAGCCCGTTGTTTGCACCGTCACGAGGCGAATGTGTCAAACAGCTCTGCATACAACTTTATTATGTAGGCAGTCGGTAGTGAATCTGTTCTTGGTCTCCGAGTCGACAAGTATCGACGTAATCCTTACCAAAGACCCACGGCTTGGGGATGCTTCCGGAGCTCACCAGGACTTATATGTAGTCTGTCACAGCTTCTTCTAGCGATCATCCATACCCTCAGGCTTAGCTTTCCACCTATGCTTTCAGGTTTCCGCTTTCACCCCAGTTGTATCTCGCTATGGCTGATGTACATTGGTGATTGTAACACACACGTCGCGGGATATACAAGTTTAGCCTGGGAAGTCTGGCCCGGACAAGCTATTGCATCGTCCCGCCATCGGTCTCAGACTGCTGGCTGATCGCGCGAGGTAAGCAAAGATGTCACGAAACAAGGATTGGGTCAGTACTCGTCAAGCACTCGATCACGTGCTACCTCACGTGCTATGTCACATGGATCTTGCATTCATTCGGTTGCCAGCCTGCTCTCTTTCTTTCGTTCTAGATGGGTTGGGCGAAGTCACTTTAGACCCACTTCACATGCCCATTGCTGCGTGCCATAAATCGTGACACAAGACTATCTTCGGGATCTAGCGTAGTCAGTCGATGGGCTTGCGACCGGCAACCCAGACGCCGCACCGCTCACTATCCTTTCGGTGCTCGGCCAGTCTGGGGCAGTGCCGGTTCCCGGCTGACGGCGGAATCGCAGGACAAGAGCGTGGAAAAACCGGACATGCTGCCGCATCGGAAAGCCACCGCTGGATCCGGCTGCCGTTCGTGGCTTCATGGCGTTTGGGCCAGCCACCTGCCCCGTGCTGCCGTGCAGTCCAGTCTGTTGCGATTCTTGCGCGCAGCCATTCCTCAACTGCCCGAACGCACCGTCTTGATTGGGCGAATTGGCTCCTGTCGCGGTCTCGGCCCCTGAGTGGCCCTGCTTCGCGCGCCAGACATGACTCGACACTAGTTCGAAAAATCGACGTTGTCTGATGCCTTTTGTCACACCTTGCGTCTCTTCGCTTGGCCCCCCGCTGTTTAAGGTTTGAGCCAGATCCGTCTCCGGCCAATCAGATATCGACGGCCCGTTTTCAGTCACTTCAGGCAGGAGCTCGACCCAGCCTAAGTCGACTTCGTCACCCACCGTGCACAACCCTTCATCCGGAAGTTGATTCCTGATCAAATCAAACCTGTCCGTCTCATGGCCCACTGGTTCACCGTCGACGTCAAAATCAGCATCTTGGTTGTCGAGGGTGTCGACGCCGTTGGCTAAGTCGAATACAGTCTCCCCCAAGCCTCCTTGCAGGCCTGTGGTGCCTGCGGTGCCTGCGGTGGCCGATTCAGCTCCAAGATGGTCAAGACGGCGCATTTCGCCTTGGTGTCCCTTCGAGGCCAGTGGTGGATCCACGGCGTTGTCTTTCTCAACAACCGTCGCGCACTCTGCAAGACCTACGGCAGCGGTACCCGACAGCCGCTCCTGGCTCTCGCTTTCGCTTGCCTTGACGGCGACTCCGTCCACAATCGGCGTGGTCTCCCTCTTCTGGGGCCGGGCGGCGGACCGGATAGCCCGGCTGCGACGTTGACGGTCGATGTGGTGTCGGCCGTGGTATAAATCCAGTAACTGATCTGCGTCTCAGTCTTGTTTGCACCTTTATCAGACACCATCAGGTCTGCAACTCAGTTGGCTTACAAATTGGTTCACGTCTGGAATGCTCTGGCCTTCCGGAACGTGGATTGCTCCGTCGAGCTGTCGATAGGTCGGGTTGTAGTGTATAGTAGCCGTGAACACTCTGGCCTCGCGTCCAAGCTTGAGCGTCTTACTGATGGCGCTGCGACCACTTTTTCGGACCTTGGCTTTGGCCTTCGTGTCTTGGTTGTGCTCATTGTGGGAGGAGGAGGAAACCTCCATGGTCTCTGTTATGGCAAGGCGCAGCTAGAAGCGGATGTTGGGCGTGGCACATCAGAGTATTGAACCCCGGATGATTTGTTGGGTTCCTAGTCATGGCCATGTCCTCAGCTTGCAGCGCCTGAAGTTGATCATCTTAAATGGCTTGGAAGCCGTCCCCGGCTCTCCATGGTGGATCGTCTTCGCCCTTGGCCACTGCGAGCCCGAGACGACTTTGCTAGTATTGTTCACCCACGAACCGATCCTTGCACACGAGCCCAGACAAACCAGCTGTCATTTTGACGGGCCTGACGGGTACTGTAGCCTCTCCGTCGAATAGAATCCCATGGCTGCTGGTCGGCTTTTAGGCTGAGGCCAGTTGCGAGAAATCCCACCCCCCCCCCCCCCCCTCCCCACACCCCTACCCCTCGGCGATGATTTTCTATCCGACCCACCATCTCCAAAGAGGCTTTCAAAGCAGTTCGCGGACGAGCGGACGAGGTTCGGTACGAAACGTGAGGGGGGGATGCTGCGGACCCTTGATATCCCAAATTCGTTCGTTGAGGGTCTCCGCCCACTTGGCGGGGACCAATTTCAGCCTACCACTGCCTACCTGCGATCGCCTGGCCGGGATATCCTTCACAACAGAAACCAATCGAGCATCCCTAAGGAACATCACAATGTGCGGCCAACAGTGAACGTTGCAGTTGGTTGTCATCTTCAATGTTTGATCTATACTATGCACTACGCTGCGCATGCAACTCCTGCGCCAGAACTCACTGGCCATGTTCTGATATGGCTGTTACGGCGACCGAGCTTTTTTCGCGACTCCGTCGACGTCGACGTCAACTGCCTTCCGCTTTCGGGTGGCGTCAGCACCTTCTGGCGCTGTGCTGATCCCTGCCGCTGTTTGGCTGACAGACGCGCTGCTTGCCGCAGTTTCTGCTAGCGCCAAGAGCGGAGCAAGGCCCTCCAACGGGATCGGCTCGAGACCTTCCAGAGGGCACGGCACAGTCGTCGCTCCTTCGGAGTGCTGAAGATTACCGCAATGGGACCCATGTTCAAATGGCTGCCCCGGCGAAAGCGAGCGGGGCTCGTCGACGGAGCCGAGCGGGTCCGAGGCCAGCAGCAAGTACGAGTCAAAGCTGGCCGCCGACGACGGTCGCGGCGCCACGCGCGACCGCGCTAGTTCGTACTCCAAGCTTCGTATGTATACCGTCTGATGATTGAGAGTCTGGCTCTGCTGCTCGTTCGTGCTTTTGATGCCGTCGAGCTGGGCCCTTAGGGCGTGGATTTCTTCATCTTTGGCGACGGCGAGCATCTGCCACTGCGAGAGGCAGGCAAACATCTCTTCTATGACGGCCGCGACAAGTCTCGCCGTGAGAGCACCGTGTCCCTGGTTGGATGTATGCTGCGGCATGGCCATGGTGAAGCTAGGATGAGCGATTTCAAACCAACAGCCGTCGACGTTGGGCATCGGACATCACTTCCTTTTCAACGCGAGAGGTGATGTCGGTTCCGGCCTGTTGGTACGACACCTGATTGGCAGGCGACGGTTCTTCCTCTCTTGACACTCGAAATGGCGTTGAAATGTGCTCCGGCATTGCGGCCATAAAAAGCTGCCCGGCCTCAACCCGTGATTTTGGACGGCAGACTTGGACAGCATAGAAACCAGCAGGGCCTTCCGCTTCGTTCCTCGCCCAACCTCGCATACGTTGGCCACCTGTCCTTGATCATGCATAGGCCTCAACCGCGCGGCCCAGGCCCGTATCGCACCACTTCCGGCCAGCCCTTAAACCGGCAGCCGGGTCCGTACCCGCGTCAGAACAAGGCAGCGGCTCAACCGCGCAAGCAACATCAGCAGCCGGCCACAGCACGCCATAGCAGGCAGATGAACAACTCCTTTCTACCTTCGACGCAGGCATTGTACGATTCGGCCAACTTCGAGGAGACCTCGTACGAGTTCCAGGAATTGGAGGATTCAACAGCGTAAGACGACAATAGCCTTTCGTGCACCAGCCACTGACGTAGTGCAGACAGCCGGTAGCTTCCCAATTTCAGCACTCTGCGTCGCCAACCAGGTAACCCAAACATCTTATCATGGTAGTCGTCTGTGACGGGGCCCTCGATCTGACAGGAAACCCATAGTGACCCGGGCTTGATGGTGCAAGAGGATCTCACGGCCTCCAACGCACAAAACACGGCCTGGAACAGCGAGATGGAGGAAAGGTCTGCCCAAGTTATTCCGGTACTCATGATGACGACTGACACCACCCTCAGAATCGATCGAGCCTTGGATGTCGTCAAACATCTCCACAAGGTTGTCACTCAGACGGCCGCGTTGGCTCAGCCTCCGCCGTTCGTGGAACCGCAGCTTGACGCTGATAATTGGAATACACACGATACTGGCGGTCCATCTATTATATAGACAGCTCATGTATAGAACTCTTCCGTCCATCCCGAAACGCCTTGGAGAAGAGGCTTTTGGAGACATAACAAACGCGGCCGACGGGCTGCTGACGCCAGTGCGGTCGGCTTCGGATGGAGTCTGGCGGCTGAGCAATCGTCCATCACATCTTTGGATCAATCAGCTTGCACGGAGCTGGGCTAACAGTTTCATTTCATTCGCCCCAGGGTAGTAGAATAGAGGACCACTTCTAGGGAAACCACTTCTACACAAAGAGAGAGATGATGTGCTATCCACTGTCTCCTTCTGATGATGTCTTCTGTGCGGCCACTGTAGCGGAGCCGGTTCGTGCTTGAATGATGCGCCTTGTCTTCTCCCCGGCCCCAAACCTGCTTCCATCGAACGCCACGCGTAGGCAGATGCCGTATCTGCTCCGGCTTCTGGCTCTATACAATCGACGACCGCTACGAGAAACCTGCAGTCTGCTTCGTCGCTCCGCTTGTTGTCCGACACCCCCGATGCCGTCACAACAACCCACTGCGCACCGTGGCTGGGATGTCACACATGTGAAAGCCCTGCCAGCGGTCTACATCGGAGCACACCCGGTCGACAGATACAAGTGGGTGAGAGATGTTGCTGGTGGCTGGATCGGAATGGTCCTCTGCCGTCTCGAATGCCCCGTGAGGCCTCAATTTGTTACAGTCCAGGAAGCGCCGGGCCTCGCCATCACGCAGTTCAGGGCCTTGGCCAAATCGACCCACCCGAACATGGTGCAGCTTTTTGGCCTTTTCCTGGGTGATAGGACATACATCACATACGAGGTCACAGACTTGGACATCTTCGAACTGGACCTCACCAGCGAGCGGGAGATTGCTGCCGTTCTGTCTCAGGTTCGTGGTCTCACCTATCAGTTGGTCAAGGTGGTGACGCTCAGCCTCGTAGCTCCTCTCCAGCATTGAACATCTTCAATCACTTTCTGAGCGACTCGGTATCCGTGGCATTCGTGTCTCTGCCTCTGGCGTTGTCAAAGTTGGTGAGCAGACTTTCCCGAACAGTCTTCGATACATTCACAGTTTGGCTAATCATCAAGTGCCCGACTTCGCGACGATCTCGATGCCTTGTGTTGTTTCGGGGACGGCCTCGGCGTTATCTCATGAGACGGTGGCACCCTTTCTGCAACAAGTCGTGGATCGACTTGGACCTAACGTCACGCAGTGGTCGAGTGACGCTCTGCAGTTTTTTGATGTCCTGCAAACAGGTCTTCAGCCGAATAGCAAAGTATGTGCGCAAATCAGTTCGACTAAATCCTGGGAGACTGATTCAGCGCAGCTTCCCTTCTTGAGTCGATCAGGAGGACCAAGCGTCTTGATGCGAGCCGTCAGCCTTTCACGCAAATCAATGACACCAAAGAGCAGATAACGCGCAACTGTGGCCTGGGAAGTGGTTACGAGAGCACTGGGTTAGATTTAAGATAGATCTGTCATATCTGATGCCGCATTAATCACGCCGAATTCCATCCATCACTAGCCACTACTCCCGTGATGCTTCTTGGTAGGTTGCCTGGCAGCGGACATCTGAAATAGTACTTGACAAGAGATCTCCGTTACGAGACCAGGCGTCGTTCTCAACGTTGTTCAGGGACTTTCGTCTTGCAAATGGCGACATAGACAGGACCCATGCGGAGACGACGTCGAGGGGCTCCAAATCGTTGGACGAGATAGGCTGCAGCCTACTTTCCGGCGGGTTGGTCGTTTTGTACTTGATTGCGATCGGCACTGCCGGTTGGGTATCTTGGCTTTTGACTACCATGGTACGTTTTCGTTGCCCTCTCCAATAAGGTACGGGGATGCAGTCCATTCACCGTCGTCTACATACAAGAGAGATCGGGCAGCGCGATGAAGTCTAGGTTTCTGAGAATCACATTCGGACGGAGAACAGATCAGGTCGTCTTATGGAGACTGCCACTGTCCAAATTGCACGCTTTGACGCATCCCATTCTGGATGTAGCTTTCTATAAGTACATAGATGGCCTTTCTTCCATTTTGGTTGTGATAAGCTCCCGTCTGCATGCGGCTGGCCGTTGCATCCAGCCTGTACGGTACTACCAAAATCATAGATGCTGACGTCTGCCTGCGAAATGTCTAGTATCATGGAAGGAACAGTAATCAAAGGAGACTGGTCTCCACGCATCACCGTCCGCGATGTTATTTGCACCTTGCAATCCGGCGATCGGATGTTCTTCGGTGTTCTGGCTGAGAAGCAAGAGTCTCGGCTATGGACATGGCTCGAGTCGGACCTGCTCCTTTGGGTCTTTGATGATGGCCAATGCGTTAGAGAATGGCGAGAATGTGCTCAGCGTCCTCACATGTTTGAAGGCCACAGCAGCTACGTGCCTGAGTCAATCGTGGGGCACCACGAGGCCGGAAATGGCGCGGTACTCTACGGGGTTAAGTGGATCGGATACGAGTGTCCGACCTGGGAGCTCGAAAGCGATCTCTATTTGCATGGCTATCTACTTGCAGCTTACCACGATACCATCCAGACCAAGGTCCCGACCGAGGCGTTTGTTGTAGTCGAAACATGACGTCCCTAGGATCACTGTGTAGCACAGTATACTGTAGCATCTGTAGTTTGAACAGTTCGGGGTCGGTGTGAGATCGCACTTGAAGACGATTTCAGCTCATCAACGCTTGCTATTTCCTCTCGGCCAGTGACACGATGTCAAGCTCGCAGTGCTTGGCAACGAAAGGAAACCGTCTATAGCAAAGGCCAGTAGAGGGTCTTCGATACTGTAAGGTGATGAAGTTGACGCATGGCGAAAAGAGCTGGCCAGGCAGTATGTTTCGTTATGGCCAAACATGAGATTCAGCTGTATCCAATATCTGATCAAAGCGGTTGACCCTCTAATGAGAATCGGTGCCATTATCTTTGCTTCTGTATGTACCCTGATTCTGGCTGTTACACGTTTCCAATAATTATTCGTCAGTGCCAGCTCAACCTCGCAGAAGTTGCGAAAAGTGGGTTTTGTGTTGCAGCACGAATGCATTCTGTGCCGAATCATCATCTTGATGTGACTCAAAAAGACTATCGCAACTTCGCGACATCGGCTATGTACCGCGGCCCAGGTTGATAATCACTGGTCCAGAATCGTTTCGGGGGATACACTGTAGAAACTCAAGTAATGGTCCCGAGAGATGCATGTCCCGTGCGAGCAATCTCGCCTACGTATCGCGCCTATGTGGCGATGAGTACATAACTTGAGCATCCAGATCATCAAGACCTTGACCCCAAACAAGACGCCTGTACTCACCCCGTCGCAGCAAGTCATACTTGGGTCTGGACCCCAGCCTTCAGTGTTGCTCTTCTCTTATCTTCTCCTATTTTCTCTTATTTTCTCTTATTTTCTCTTATTGTGATACCTTTTACCTCCGCATAACGTGCCGGGAACAAGGTCAGCAAAACGAGAGATGGAGCTGACACCCAACCACACAATCGATGTTCTTGTGGTGGGCAGCGGCGCCGCTGCCCTGGCAGCCGCTGCCACAGCCAAGCAACTTGGTCTTCGCACATTGGTCATCGAGCAAAGTGATAAGATTGGAGGCACAACAGCGTATTCTGGAGGCACCATATGGATTCCTCAAAATCCGGTCTCCGAAGCAGCCGGTTGTAACGACTCCCGCGACGCTGCCCGTCAATATCTCCAAGATGCGCTTGCGATTAGCGGAGGCGCCGGGCCGGAATCCACCCCCGCCCGGATCGACGCCTTCCTGGCTGGTGGACCCGCAATGGTCAATTTCTTCCGCCGTCTAGGCCTCCGGTGGAGACACTCTCCAATCCCCGACTATCACCCGGAGATTCCAGGTGCCATGGACGCTGGCGGGCGGACGCTGGACCCCTGTCCCTTCGACGCCGGGACGTTGGGATGCTGGGCTGATCGCCTGCGCCGGCCTGGACACTCGGAACCGGTGGCTTACTTCCACGACTTTGTCGTTCTGACCAAGCCTTACGCGTCCGCCATCGACCTTCTCACAGTTTGTTGGATGAAGCTGCGGGCATTTTTCTGGAGCAAAACCATAGCCAGACCGACCTGCATGGGCAGCTCACTCGTCGCGCAGCTCTTAGACATCTGCCTTCGCAAGGGGGGTACCGCCGTCCAGATTGAGGTGAACACCAAGTTCAAAGAATTGCTCGTCGAAGGGGGAGCCGTCTGTGGCGCTGTGGTGGAGTCGAGAGATTCCGGGGTGTTCAAGGTCTATGCCCACGGGATCCTCCTGGCGGCCGGTGGTTTCGCTCGACGTGAAGATCTGCGACGGGAACACCTGCCCCTCATCGGACCGGAGTGGACGTTGACGCAACCTGAAGGTGACACGGGAGATGCTCTGGAAGCAGCGTGCAAGGTCGGCGCGGCCACGTCGCTCATGGGCGAAGCGTGGTGGATCCCCACAATCATCGATCCTGGAAGCGGGAGGCTCACGACCGCCTTGTTTGAGCTGTGCAAGCCCCACTGCATTGTTGTCGACCGGCAAGGGTCAAGGATCTTCTCCGAGGCCGACCCGTACGGCGACGTGGGTCGTGCGCTCTATCATCGGTCTCGGGGCGATGACAACAATGCCTGGCTGATACTTGATTGGAACTACCGGAGTCGGTACACTCTAGGGTCGCTTGGCCCTAGGGTCGAGCCGGTTGACGCCCTGGCTCGCGGCCACATCTTCAGGGCAGACGACTTGGCCAGCCTCGCAGCTCAGATCGGCGCCAAATACTTCTGAAATGAAATCGGGGGAGTCGAGGTGGGCGTCGATTGAGGAAGAGGCGTCATAGTGGTAGGACTCAGCGTCGAACTCGTCGGAGTCATCGGGTGAGTAGTATCCTTCATCCTCAAACATCGGTCCTCGCATGATATCAATCAGGGAGAGAGTCGTGGCGAAAGTGTTGTGATTTCGACCTACACATGTCAAGCTCTTGTCGGGAACGCGACGGTCTTATAAGCTACCCGGTGAGGGAGAACGTCGACCCCTGACGCCTGATTGCAAAAAGATGCTGCCAGTGGTGCATGGTCTTCACATTCATCTCGCCCCCTGAGAGGCCAAGAAGCGGTGGTGGGTCTCGAATCGTCTGCTCCTGGGTCTGAGCTGCTCGAGCACTCAGGGAGGTAATCCCTTGACCCATCCCAGCTGCTTTGAAAGCCTTCAGAACCAGACCATCTTGACAAAGGATATACGACGCATTCAGAGCAAACTGCAAGCAGCCAACGCCACACTTCCTGCTTGATACTCCTCTCGACCGCAACAGCATCATTATCTCAAGCGAGCTACTAACGACTGAAAAGACACGAGAACCGAACGTCCCATGTTTCGGGGCCTTCCCATCATCTTAAATATCGCTGTGTTATTGTCTCCCAGGGACGCCTTATCGTTTTGACGCCGCTGACATCTTATACTCGACGCCCAGGGCTGCTTCAATGGCCATCAATCCATGTTTGAGATGACTAAAGTCTAGTCGCTGTAATTACTGGCGTCGCTTCGCCGCTGTGCCCAAGCAGAGAACGTTCAGGTACATCCTCATCCATCTAATAAAGCTAACTGCCCCCTACCAATTGCCAACTTCAGGAACGTGATTCGCGAGGGCTTTTAATGGAAACGAAGCATTTGCTCACAGGGAAAACCGACATCCACATATACCTCGATGATCTCTACATATTGATTTCAAGTGAGAACAATGGTATAATAATCGCGGGATTCATTCGATTGCGCAGAGCAGCGTTCACCGCGAGGCGCCTACCCCTGTGGTCCCCGTTGGCCCTACTTCGTGAATTCGCCGCCGAAGGACCACTCATCTCTGCCCCGCAGACAACTCCCCAACCCTTCAGCCACAAAGCCTGGTCACAGATAGTCCATTTGAACACAACGTCCCATTTGAACACAACGGCTACCTTGTCGATACGGAAAAGCTTCAAGAGGGTCAGTCTCAGGTCTTTGCCGAAGTACGAGGGGAGACTGACTAATTGAAGTGCGCGTGAAAAGCAGGATCTGAGATCTCCAAAATCGCTGCTTCCACAAGCTGGTCATCCAAACCACGATGGCTACATTTGCTTCTATGAACTTAATTATCGTCGATGCAAGCCAATCTCTCAGTAGAGGTTGTTTTTCATCCGTGATGTTTGACGGGGAGCTTGTAGTGTGTAATCTTTGGTTGCATGCCGATCTTGTTAAGATCACGTCCGATATTAGAGAAAACGTGACCAAGCTGTTCTTCTGGTGTTTCTGATGGTTCGTATAAGATTCGAGATAGTTTCAGGAGAGGGTATGTTTCGGGCAGGCTATCATCGTCGGTGGAAGGAATTATTTCGACAACTTCGATAATCAGCTCTCCGCCGGATGCGAGACAAGCCTGCACATTGGCGAGAAATTCTGGCCATTTCTCGATGTGCCCGATCACTCGCGAATGTATGAGATCATAGTTTCGCTCATTCCATATCGTGTTTTGGTCGACTTCGAGGCAGACGTTGTCCCTAAGCGAGTCGCTAAAGTAGTGTCAGTTTTTTCCTCGTGGCGGACCTCAATAACACACAGTCGAGGATGGAGCTGAGGGTCCCTATATCCTACGAATTGCGCGATCGCAAGTCCGTTGAAGCCTCTCATCTCAGCGGCTCGAGCCTGCCAAATGGCGCTATTCGTCGGGAAGTCTACAACAGATTCGACATCCGACACTGGATAATAAACTTGGTTTCCATGCGCGATTTCCAGACTCCAGTTCAGCAAGTCCCATGCCTGTGCGAGAGAGTCCTGCTACAAAGTCAGAGCGGAAAGAGTAGGGGTGCTGAATGGGCCGCACATTTTTCGGGTACTGCCGCGTAGCAGCTGGTACGGCCATCGCGAAGCCTGGCGACACACGGCTTTCGAAATGAAGGGAGCAACGACAAAAGCCACGGCGCATACTCTTGCCCACAGTCGTTCCAGACACAGCTTTATTTCTCTTATCAACTGGGCAAGCTAGTCAATCCTCACTGACAAACATGAGGAAAACCATCGCACTCTTTTAAAACTCTGCAGGCGTTCCCACATGTGTTTGCCGTCATGTGATGAAAATTACAACGCTTTCCCTGATTGATGAGGCTTTTCTACAGGGGATACCTCGAAGGCCTGGCAATCAGGTTCGTCGGCTCTTTGCTCGAGGTCGGCCTACGCATGGACTCCATCGCAATCTCGGATCTCGCAACCTGGGGTTCCAATTGCTGTTGGAAAGCTACCCTCCAAGGTTGCAAGAGAGATGGCTTAAGGAATCGGAGCATCTCATCACAAAGGTCCTAGGGTCCACTGGGAGAATGACCGGGGCATTCAGAAGGTTAGGAACGTCTCTGGTCATAGCTATAGCCCTCGGCTTGAAGCGGTGCGAGTCGCTGAGTCGAAGCGGCGAAGTCCTCTGTGTAGTCATGCGCTCGCCGGCTCTTGCCTGGGCGCGGATCTAATCATGAGTGGACGAACCATCGTCTCGACAGCAGACCTTGAACGCGAGCAAAATACTTCCAGAGCCAAACCACAATCACGTTTTTGAACGAATTGTCTCAAATCTGAGGACATTTCCGCTTCGAAAACTCTCACAGCTGGAAAGGCACAATCCGCTTATGTGCCGTTTGTGGTATGCACTTACTACATTCAGCTGAGTGAGCCAATGATCCAGGCCGACCGCAGGGGTTCCAATCTTTGTGGGTTATAGCGCATAGCAGTGAAATTATGGACAGAAAAGGAAGTGTGCCACTTTGGAGCATGCCTGACTGACCCAAGGCAAGCGTTGGCAACGGGTGCGGTACGACGCCAATTATCCTTCCCTCCTTCCCCTCTCTATCAAGCTTTTGGCAGGATATCGAACCATATCCTTCCTAGCAACTGAATGAATCTATGAACGTACTCTAGGTTGCTTCCATAGCGACACTCATTCACAGTATTTCACGTCTCTTCAGGACCTCCGCGGAGGTCAATGGCAAAAAGACCAGATTATCGCATCTGGGAGACATAGGATGCCACCCAAGTACGCGCCTGTTCAACCGCCCCGAGCTCTCCACCAAGTTCCCATACGCGCCCCTGTTGCGACTCAACGGACGGAAGAGCCGTTTGGGCGTTTGCAGTCGCACGCGGACTTGTGGGTCCATGAGTCGGGACGGTAAGAGAAGGGTTTCCGCCGTCGCGTTGGTCAGGGGTTTGCCCACGTACCAGTCCAGCTAAAGCTTCTTAGGCCATCACTTGGAATTTCGTTTGCGGTCTTTGGCCACACCTGGGTCTCGAAATGGTCAGAGAACCTGATCAGTTTACGGGCGTCCTTGGCGCTCGCTCTGTGTGGATCGTGAGCGACAGATTTCTCGACTCCCTAAGGTTTAGCTGAAGCGGGGAGACCGAAAGCCATGGGATTAAGATCCTAAAAGACAATTTGTGACAACCCATAGGGTACAGCAGTGCCAGCTCGGTCAGCTCAGGGCATCTAACTTTGCCTCGGCCAATCTCACGAAACCCAGCGCGGAGGAGACTGTCTGACTCGTCATGGCTGCGGCTGAACGCGTAACTAATCCAACAGACTTATTCTTCTCGATTTAGGGTCCTTCACCAGTCACCACGTAGTTTCTACTAGAGCTCCCTGTCTGGTTCCCTATCACTTGTGCCAGGCCCCTTATTCGCCGGTTCCATCGTCGTTGACAGCCCGTTAGGACACCAATTGCAACTTCATCAGGATAAGTGTGGTAAACATTGGTCGTCTCGAAATTTCTGTGCGGGATGCTATTCGAGCGAGGACGTTACAAACATAACGAGGGGGTGTGTTACAAAAACAGATTCTTGAGGGCCATGGTGGACCGTAAATGATCTGGGTGCCTGGCAAAGAAAAGGGAGCGAGCCTTAGGGGCATTGGTTCTTAGCAAGGCATCCATGCCCAGCTACGGTGGCATAAACAGCAGGCTATGAGTCCTGTTCCCGTTGGCTTGACGGGCGAGATTGCTTCCACACGGTGTCTTGGAGGCGGGCGTCAGACGGGCCATTGAGGATATGGGTTCCCCGGAACATTGCTTTCGTTACCAATCATCGTTTCTGAAGCCGATCTGTCTCTCTGTTTGAAGCTATCAAGCATACGTCTTTATCATTGGTACTTCGAACTGATGCAATCCTGCAGCTTACTGAGCTTCTCAATGCTCCTCTGCAAGCTGGGGACGCTGTAGCTTGAACGGCGCAAGGTCTGAAATCGATGTTTTATGACCTATCACCCCTGACATGCACCAAGTCTCGATAATCTTAATTGCCTCCCGGTTAGTGTTTGACTCCCTCCGTACTAAGGATTTATTGTGGCATCTGCGGTATACTAGACCCAACGTTAGTTGAAGCCGTGATTGATAGATATGCAAGGTGCGTAGGAGCATGCATGACGTGCGTTGACAATACGAGGCGTACACTTCATTGACTCCGTCTCGTCAGGCAAATTACCAACCATGCTTGAAGTGGGAAGATGCCTCAACGGACTGGTCAAGGAACATGGATAGACTGGGGTCAATTGGATGTTTCTGCCACTACTTCGTGTGCATCGTCACTACCGGGGGTGCTAGGATGCATCCTGACGCCTAGGGCTTGAATAGTGTCCGCAAATCCGACTCCGCAGGACTGTAGGGAAGGGGCAAGGGGGTGGGACGTCAAGTCTAGGGTGCACGCTCATGAGCTGATGCAGCTCCCCCATATCAGCTAGTGAGTGCAGTGGACAATATTAGACGAGCGCTGCCAAAAACCCCTGCTTCGCCTGACATCGATGTCTTTGTCCTCATGTAGTATTAATCACTTGCTCGCCTGACATTGACCACAGACCCAGACCCCACCCCAACACCTTCCCATGAAAACTTGGCTTGTCTATCCCCGTTCTTCCCACAAGGTATGTGTTTATGGGCGAGTTGTCTCGCCTCCTCCATCAATCGCCAGCCGTGGTTCCTTCGACGCAGGTATCCCGAAAGATTCACAGATACTACTGGACCTGGGTGACATTTTATGTGGTGATCTTACACCGAGTCAAATACAGCTAGCCCGGATGTGCCACCTCGCTCACTGCAACGCTGGAAATTGACTTGCGACCGGAGACAGTATCAGTAGATTACACTCCTCTGGCGTGTCCTGCTCACATACGTTGCGAGTCATTACGCTTCTTGATCGTTTGGTCATTTGGCCGTATGATCGCTCATGATTGACTCAGCCGTCGAGGACAATTGGAGACCACGAGTGAGAACGGCGGAGAAAGGTCACTCAACTCAAAGTACGAACCGTCTTATGAGCTGGTGCGATACAGGCATATAACACAATCGGTATATTCTCCATCTTCTTTCAAAGAAAGGGCGTCTTAAAGACGGCCTCGTAAGACTTCCGTTGAACATAACCACTCTTCCCACTTCTGCAAACCAGGCATCCAGAACCTCGTGCCACCCGGACGCACTAAACCTTTCATCATGCTCCACTGCTGCTCGGATTGCTGAAGGAGCTTTAAACGCTTTGAACGCGATGTGGGGTCAAGGGAGCTTGCGTCCAGTGATCGTTTCAATGTGACCGCCATGGACCGTACGATGACCATCGTGACATACCCATTCGTCATATCGAACCTAGTAATCAGGTTTAGCGCTTCCTTGAAACCACTTTCCGCCTCTATGTAGTCGCCTTTGATGAAAGATATTTTTGCGTGTGTCAACCATGACCTTAGCTGGTCGAATCGCGAGATATCTCCAGGATCTAGATTGAGAAGGCTCTGACATAGCTCGTCTGCCTTGTAGAGGACGGACGATGCCTCGTTCAAGGTATCTTGCCTTCCCATTTTTTCGTGGCCTTTGGCGTAAAGGCATTCAGCTAGAGATGCCTGTAATTGTGCCCGCGATCGAGCTGTGCCTGTTGTTCCTTCAAGTCCTTCAAGTAGTTGTCGAACATGCGTCTCTGCGCCCTCAGATAGCTGCTCACGACGCGCATCACTGAGTGAACAAGCTAGGGCGGGTCGATCCTCGTCGAAGTGAAGTATCTTTCCTGTGGATGGTTCATCCGCAGTCTTGGAAGCTGATCTCAGTGATCGCTCGGCGGCTTCGAAGTCGCCTTTTTGCCGCTCGATTTGACCAAGGAGTAAGGACTTCCTGAACAATACAACCTGCGTCATTGGCTGCGTAGCCTGAGACTCCCACCGAGTGAGCGTTTCTTCAGCGTCTGGTAGTTTCTCTCTCTGCATTTCATCCAAGCATTTCTGAACGGCTACCAGGCCAGCTGCTGCGTTAACTCGGAGATCACATGGATCTGTGGGGCCTGGAGCTACGTTGGGCGGCAATATCGTTTTCTTCGCCAACCTGCCAACGAGACTAGTGACCTCATTCACACGAGCTATGGCATAAGCACTCTGGCCATCGCGACACAAAGCCACGGCCTTCTCGACTGCAAAGACCTTCCACGGTATCTTGGGCATGCGTACAGCTTCGACAAGAGTTAGGATCAGATCTTCTCTGACCTCAGCGGATAGGTCGAAGCAATGCAGGGATTCGTCGTTTCCGATAACGTGTTGAAGATGTGGAGTGACCATCACGGAAATTGATGTGCTGGGAGCTGTCAGGAAGAACGTGAGTGAGCGTGGCTTTCACAACATACCTTGGCTCGAGGTACTTCCAGGGTATCGCGTGGTATGAAACCAGCAACGCTTGCCGCTTCCAATATGAAGCCGACTCTTGGTCAAGTCCGTCCAAAGCCTTACTACTGCCATTCGGGAGTAATTTGTACATCTTGAGGCCATCGGTCGTTGTATACTCAATGTAACGTTTTTCGGTAAGCTTATCGATGGCATCTCCGAGTCTCGTTTGGTCGTTGATGAAGGACACCAGGTGTGGGTGAACGCTGCTTTGGCGACAGACAACATTGCCTTCCTTGCTCCATCGACAGCGAGGCGCGGTCCCACTCCTGAGCATATCTACTGGTACGTGGTACGAGGATGCGAGGAAATACGATAGTCGCAAGAGCTTATCGGTGTCATCGCAAAGGAAGTCGTGACTAGACCGGCTAGGAAACGAGGTTCGCGGCAAAACAGCCGGGTTGGTCTTATCATGAACAGACGCCTTTGGCGCCGGTGCCGTGGCTCGAAAGCTTTGCGAGTGTCGAGGCGTGTCATCGATAAAGGTATCTACCATCAGCATTAGCCAGCGAGAGGCACTGTCAGAACGAATGACTTGCGTGTGAGTGTGAGAGAGTTTATAAACTCTCTTGCGGCTGGTGTGGCACAGTGCGCCATTTGCCGAATACCTCGTTTCTTCTGCAGAGACAGTATTGCCTGGCGACGATCCACTGATTTCGGCTTTTCCCAGCTAGGGATCAATGAGCACGAGGACATGGGCCGGACACGGTATGACTGACACTGAGGGCCTTGAGATATATGCGAGAAGCCCGATGTAATCCTCCGCAGGTTTATCACCTCCTTCGGCGAGTATGTCAAATACTTCTGTCCATGCCCGACCACGATGGAGGCGCTTCGAAAGTTGCTTTCGTAGGGCATCTTCGGATAGTGACTGAAATTCCTGGATTATTTTGACGAGGTCATCAAGGGATGTCGCTCGGGCGTGACGTCGGGCTAGTTCGTAGCTGGCTAGGCGTCCTTGCAACGTGCCGGAGTCACAGGCAAGATATAGTCTGGCGGGAACGGCAGAGACTTCGTTTTGCGAAAGTACAATAGGTAGGGCTTGATCGAGAATTGTTTTCTCTAGTTGATCGACAAGGGTACTCGTCCCCTCCGTTGTCAGGTTGGGCGCGTTGTTGAGAAGGAGCGGCACTTCGGAAACAGAACTACTCGGAAAGGTCGAATTGCAATCCGGGAGGTTCGATACAAGTGTGTTCGCTGACGGACTTGATGGACACGCGTCTGCTGCGGTGAAAGGCGCCGCAAGACCAGGTCCGCGCAACGAATGATATCGTCTTATCGCTTTGCGGGAAGGCCTATTCTTGGTCGGGAGGGTGGGCTCGGATGTCGTCTGCTCGAATCGAGGACAGCCTCGTTTCGCAGGAGGCAGGGCTTTGTGGGAAGGCCTCCTCTTGGGTTGAGGGGTTGCCTCTGACGTTGTCTGCTCGAAAAGATGACGAGCTTCCTGGTAGGTGCGAAGAAGAATCGATCTCTGGAAGGACAGCGGTTATCTTCTGCAAATAATTGTGATAGGGGTAGCTCGAACCTCATTTACGGTGACCGAATCGTAGTCTTTGGATTGGAGTCTCATACAGAGGCAGGACATGTTGTGAGATAGCACGCTCAGAATGTTCGATGTGTTTGGGGAGAGTGTTTGCTTAGTCAAGCTGTGAGGAGCACGGTTGTGATTCACCACGTGACTGATTGCTATGGAACTGCGGCGGAGAAGTGGACTTGGCGTGATTCACGCATGCATTCCCGGATTTGGACCTGTGATTCTCACCGAGGATCAGAGAGCTAAATTGGGTATAGCGTCTCTGAGGAGATGAGATCAGCCAATCAGCAAAGTTGTTGTCTCGCGTCCAAAGACAATCCCGAGAAAGACTGGCCGTGTTGTGTCACTTGTCCACACCCCCATAAATCCCGAGTTTTCGGCCGTCAGGTTCACGTGATGTCAAGCAACATGACAGCTAACTCTTCATCCAGGAGACCACTGGCAGGCTTAACCATTACGAAACTGTCTTGACAGCCCGAAGTCGTCCTTGAGTTAATCTCGTCATCCCGTCTCCTCACGGCTCCGCTTTATGTACACTCTTCAATTCTTATCTCAGGAAGAAAACAGGGTTTAACAGCATTGAGTAGATGCTGCAATAGTGTGATTATTCGATATGTAATTGTATGGTTTATTCTCCCCTTTTTGCCTTTTACTTTAAAGGGGCACAGGCGCAGATGTATACTCTCTCCAATTCGTAGGCTTACAGTACCCCGCTCCGGGTGTCCTTCGATAAGCAACTTTGGGCCAATCGCGTGGATAGTGTGCTGGGAAGTCTGAGACACTCATAACCCCTTCGGACATGCTTTAGTTGCTTATCCTCTTGCATAGATGAGCACATGGCTGGGCCGTCCATTCATCTAGCGCCCTCCAAAAAGTGGTACACTAGAATTCCATGTCTATGTGGAAGATCCCATGTCGCTGGCCGCATGAATCAATCCATCAAATGCCGCATGTAGCTCTGAACTGTAGTCTCCCCTCTGCTCTAAGATGTCTCGAATTTGGATCATCATAGTCGTGATCGAGAATTTGCAGAAACTGGCCGGACGTAGCGAGGATCAACATGGCTTGTTCGTCCGCATATCGGGCAATTACAGGCAGCAGCTTGAGACTTGAGTTACCTCAAACAGTCACCCTGGCACTTGTCTACAAATTTGCGTTAAATCTCGTGCTCAGTATAGATAATCGTCGTACGCAATAGCGCCGCCGACCTTGCGGATTGCGTGTCTATTGTGGCGCCATTTACTATGAGCAAATGGGCCATCTCCGTCAAACCGCCGAGGCTGGCTGACGTGAGCGGGCTGCTGCGATACAAGCCCTCCAGGATCCCAGGGTTGGGATTCGCGCCGGCTTCCAAGACCATGTGAAGAGCTGCGTAGTTGTGGCTGTCAACTGCGTGTAAGACTGTGGTCCGACCACTGCTATCCATCGTGTTTACGCTCGATTGACCTCGAATGAGGAGCTCCATGACATTTATCTGCGCCCTGGCTGTGGCCCAGTCTAATTCTTCTGGGATGGGGGATAGTGGTGGCAGGTCGCTAGCTCAGTCTCGCGCGTATACCGCGGCAGGCGTGCATCCAGAGTAAGCGCCCTCCATCTCACATGCCGTCACGTCGCTCGATGACTCTGTACACTGCAAACACGCTCATTCCTCTTCCCACACTCACGCCTTGCTCCATGATGTTCACCCCTGGGGATGGGGCGGACCACCGGTTCGGGGCGGCATCAGCGACACCCTACCGGTACTTCCACGTCTACGCCTGTGAACGTGCTCTGTGCTACGTGCATACTGGAGGACTCCGTAACGCCTTCTACGCACACCCCTGAACGGCAAGAACGGAGGTGCCAGTGCATGAACCCGCCACTGTCAGAATCCGGGGTGGTGGACCGTGCCCACCTGCATGTCGTTCTATTCGCAGTGGGCAATTAGTGTATTCCAATCCTTCCTGACACCTTCTTTAGACCTCCCACGGTGTATTGTCTATTCACGTCTCGGACCCTTATCATGCCGTTGGCAAGGATTAGCCGGGGATGGAAACCTCCTTCTCGGTCGTCTCTGCGCTGGTGCACGTTACCATGCCGCGCCATTCTTCCATCTGATTGACAGAGTTGATGAAGCAAGACCATGTAAGAACGAATCAGGATTTCGCGCAGGAAAAGCTCTTACCCGGAATGCAATTGATCCCAGAAGCAGCACGGCTCCGTACCCACACACAATCAAGCAGCAAAGCCGTGTAATTTGATTATGCCTATGCATTCCCACGTCCACAGTGTAAGTTCCATCAATTGTGCTACTCGCGTTGAGGACAACGGCGGTTTTTTGTGATTCAAATGCAAGACAAATCCCAGTCTTGTGGTGGGAGTCCTGCACACTTCCCGACAGGGTGCTTTCGGGCCCAACCCGCCGAGCCCCGCGACGGGCTCAGGAGCAGATCGCCCAACTGCACCGGGGCCTCTTTGAACGGCCTCACGGTCGTTCGAGGGCCGCCGTATTACTCTATTGCTTGCTTGCGCGGCGACCTGCAGCAAAGCCCCTGGCACAAGCAGAGCATTCCACCCTTCTATCTACCGCGCATATTCTGCCCGAGACAGATGGCCCAGCCCGGGCGATCTTCCAGCGCATCAGCTCCACCACCTTTCACCCATCGGTAGATTTACGCGGTTGATACCTTGCGAGTCGTTTTATAAGTATGGGGAGTAATCACTCGGCCGCCAAAGATCAAACACGACATCATTGACAAGTCAACCAGCCAGAAGGCAGCACGCGGCAGTCAGCCTGGATGTCTTTCTTTCACAAACTCGCTTTTCTACTTCTCATCAGTCTGAATGGGCTGCCGTATTTTGTATCCGGGTGGGCACAGAAGCTCGCATGGTTCCAGATCAGCTCGATCGTGCTTAAGGCGATACTGTTACAGTCTATCGACGACTCTCAAGAATGGCTCATTTGCAAACTCAAGCCAGTGTTACAAAAATTTGTCTTCGACATCCTATCCGGGGACGAAGTCGATTCTACAAAGCTGATCACGAAAGCCGATGCATTGATCACCGTCATCAGAGTATTCGCAGTCAAACTTCCGTCGGTCGGTGTCACGTTGCTTTTGGTCATCCCGAAAACAACGACGTCAATCCTCGTCTGCATTCTCGTTGCCGCGACTTGGTACTCGATCTTTTTTGAAGCAGCAAGAATGGTTCAAAAGAAGAAATCGAACAGGAAAAATGTGGTGTAGGACGGCACCTAAAGTTTTTCTGAGGAACGAGCTGACGTTCATTAGCTCCGACAGAAAGAGCGATCCGGAGGAGTGCCAGAAAGACTATCTGCTGTCGCTCTCTAGCCTATCTGCGAGGGTTCTCTCATGGAGCCTGATGCGCAACGTCGGCCTTCTCCTTTTTGTGCTCTTCAGCCCGAGCTCCGATCCTGTTTTGATGGCCCGACTCGTCCATCAAGTTGTGGCGCTTGAGAAGGTCATGCTGAAGTTGATACAGAGTTACACAAAGGCGCAAGATCTTTTCGAGGTCTTAGCTAAGAACAAGCTCTCGAGTCAGAGCTTAGACAGGCTGAGGGCCGCAAGCAACCGGTCTCGTGTGTTACTCACCACCGCTCATCGTTCCGTTATGAGCGCTTGTTGCGTCAGGAATTTCCACGGCTGGGCATGGAAGCATCTAGGAAAGCGCCCGTTGCTGCCTGTCACGGATAGGACTTGTCATGGTAGTCGGGTTACGATCTATCGCGCCGTGGTGGGAGGATGGATTGCACAGAAGTTCAAATTGGGATCCCAGACGATTCGCAGATGTTTGCAACGTGTGGCCTTTAGTACGACCGCCCGAGAGACCCGGCCATTGCTAGATGCCAAATTGCCTCGATACGCCGGTGCGGCCGTATGAAAGTGGCTGATGGTGCCTTCCCGGTCAAACCTAGGGTCGACTGAGTTTCCATCATGCAATAATACGAAAGAGTTAGCGTATTTAGCCACCAGAGGCCTGATCTCTGGGGAGGCAGGAGCGAGACTAGGCCATACGATCTTAGGGTCTTCCTTTCTCAGCCGAGACCTCGTACACAGAGGAGTGCACATAAACGACGGTGGTGATTAGTGGAAAACATCCCTCCTGCTCTTCGCGACAGCAAACCACAATATCTGAACTCTGAACCCCGAATCAACTCGAATTCGGCTCTCCACGGTCCATTGAGTTGCTGAATGGCGGGAGTAGGGTTGGAAATTCTCTTCAATTTTGTGGACGACCCTGAAGTCCACGCATAATGAGTCTCATGTGAGCCACGTTTCTGCGCGATTTCGCCTTCAAATAATTTTTGATGCGAAGAGCCATGTTCTGTGCGGTAGATATGCCGAAATATGCAATGCTAAAAGGCATGGCCACATGAACCACCGCGCGATGTATTATAGCTGATACCAGAATGCCTTGCCAGACTCAGACGCTGCAGCGGGCCGTCCCGCCGAAGGCATTCAGGGTACGGACTACCATGAGAGCGAGCTTCCCCACGAGGTGACCTGGCTTGTCTTGACATGTCTGATTACATCTATCCCTCTTGAAATCTTGACGGTGGAAAGGGGGGTTTTGGTAGGTGATCTAGGCCGTTGCAAATGGCCCTTCCACACATTCGTATCCAACGAAGGAATCGTGGATTAGACTCGCCGACTTCCTTCCCCTCACACACGTAACTCGACGTGTAATTATTGAGCTCTGTACCGGCCCTAGGGCTGTTCTGTTGACGTGCAAACCAAGACTCCTGCTCTTTTGCGGCATTCGCAGGGAGCTCAAATGGGCCCGATTTATGCGTGATGATAAACCGCTCGGAGAACGTCTGTGTACCCGAAGCCAAGCGTGTCACCAAAATCACTTCCCATTCCTCGTTCACGTACCATAGGAAAGGTCCTTTGCGTCGAGAAACAGTAACCTTCGCTCGTTAGGAACAGAATACAGCAACGAGGGATGACAATCGTACCTTTGCCTCGGTTTTGGTCTCCATCACTGGCGGGCCTGGCGTGCCCGCGAAGTCTCCTACGGGATGCCCAAGCCAGAGTAAGAAGCCGTCCATTGCAGTCTGGAAAGGTCTCATCCGCAATACCGTAGAATAGTGGAGTCATCAACTTAACTCAATGGGTTCGCAGTTCAGGGGCGGGACAGGTCAGATAAATAATTCGAGCACCGCAATATCAGCAATTTCTGAAAACAGCATTATGATGCCTGATGGATTGAATGTGGCCATGAATAAAGGCTCGTCTTGGCACTCGTCGATCTCGCACAAACTCAAACATGCAGCTGGTCTTGCCAGAAAGACTTTCCTTCACAGCAATGACAGCCCCTGAGGCGCAAGGGCATGGAAGAGGTTTTTCACAAATTTCTTTACGAAGTATCAAGAAACTCTACCTCCTTCACAAGCGCAATAAGTACATCGTTTGCGGATTACCTTGAATCCCACTCGCTTCGGAACTAGTCGATTCGCACTCGACTACACGCCGAGCGTTCCGGAATAGATCGGCCTCCAAGATTCACCAGCTCCTTCATATCGCCGTCGTAAAAGTCCCAAATGCCGGAAAAGTTATTCTTAAACTTATAGAGACACTGGGGTGTTGTTCCTGTTCTGCTTAGCCAAATAACACCTGCAACGATGAACAACTCTTACCGTCTGATCATGCTCTCCCATACAATCGGGGCGGATGGTTTGCATTCACCACAGACTTCGTCGCCGCGGTATTCGAAATGCGTAACGCAAGGCGGGCATCGTCGTTGGGTCCTTGTGTAAACTGGACACCACCGCGAAACAGGGAGTGTGTGATGCACACCTGTAATATACTGCGCGCGGGGGTGAGATTACCCGCGCGTACGCTCGATCGCCCGCAGATTCATCTTCCTAATGATTGGCTCTCGAGTGGTCTCGAGTTTTGGGCCCTCGCATGAAGCTGGGGAATTGAGCGATGGGGCTGACAGACGATCGCTTCCGAACAATGCGAACATGCATGCCTCCCACTGTAGTGGATCACATCCTCGAGCGGTTTTAGCTTGCTGTGCGGTAATCAACAGGAGAGACAAGCAGTGCTGTAGGGCTTCGGGCCGTCTACATCTAAGAGACTACATAGACGTGTGTCCCAGCTCATTGTGGAGCACAGAGCCCTGTCACCACGCAGTGAAGTCGAACAAATCTCGACCAGAAGAGAAACCGGGGGGGACAGGGCTGTTACGAGAGACATCACCCGCTGGATGGCCATTCTTTACGACCGCAGAACAGAAAACGAATGCCTCAAGCTACGACTGCTATTTGGTACAGCGCATCCTACCTGTACGGTGTTCTCGGAGCGAGGCGAGCTGGATTCCCTCAAGCCCACGTCAATCTGCACGGCCGCCATTGGCCTCCATCACATGGTAAGACCAGAGAGAAGACTACACGAGAATGCGGATCACATCATCCGCAAGCCAGAGGCGGGGCGGCGGACATGTTCTCTTGTTAGTCGTCCGGCCGTAAGGCTTGCCTCGCTGGGCTCGCCACTGTAGCCCCTTCGCATCATGTAGTGACGCCAGACGGGCACTACCTTTGCATGGCTAGATCGACCGTATCTCTGTTGCCCCTTTCCGAGAAGTCGCAGCAGCATGTCTCGCGCCCAGGGCGACTCCCACGCCGGGTTTTATTGGAAGCGGAGCCCAGCAGGAATGAACGTCTGGTTGGAATGCGTTGTTCCAAGTTATAACAAACGTTGACTTCTCTATGACGGACTTTGGGGCGTAGGGTCCAGAACGCTCCGGAAGCCCCGGTCTTTCCGTTGTTCCTTTCTCGCAATCCAAGCTGTGGTGTTGCCATCACTCTGATGAGCGAGGAAGGTGCTCCTCAGCTCCGACACCCCCCACTAAGCCGCCGGTCTATCGCACCAGACAACCTTGTCCCTCAAGGGGGTTGGCCATTACGTTGATGAAAGTCCCCTCAGCCTATTCCAGATAGGAGGAAAGTAGCATAAGCGCAGCCAACTCAGGGACGCTAGCACAGGGGTCCTTCCCAGCCTCCAAGTATTGCCAGCGGGGCTGGGCGTGTACCGTTCAAATGTGCGAAGGCCAAGATCGCCACAGGCCCCTGGGTGTAGAGCGTCCATCGGTGGGCCCTCCGAGAAGCGTTTCGGAAAGGGCTCGGCATGGCGGAACCTTACCCACCATCACCCTAGTACACATTTTCATCTTGCTTTTGGCATTGTACATCTGCAGGTGGAATTTCCGGCCCACGGACTGCCTATTGTCCGAAGTAGTCGCCGTACATAGTAGTGTCTAGTATCAGGTATGTGGGGTAGTCATCTGATGGACACGCCCAAGCCAATTAGCAGGTCACGCTAACTATTTTGAGCAAGCTCGGGAAGGTTTGGAGTACCCACACTAATTGTGCCCAAGGCCATAGCTCAGGAAAGAGTCCCAGTGGTGTGCAATTAGCTGGAGTCCCCCCACCAAGAAAGCCCGTTCGAATGTGTGCAAGCCACAGCTACCCCTCCCTTGTTTCCATATGTCATCCTACAGCTTCGGGGAAAGGGTTAGATGGCGTTCGAGACCTGGCGCTATAAAACTTGTGGATACACTGATATCTCCATAGGGGTAGTCTGATCGACTCGGCCAAGCCTTTATCACTACTCCCGGAGGGGTTTACGACCTCAACTTGAAGGGGACGAGCGCGCAGCTCGCCCGTCTTTTTTCAGACTCAATCCATGATGAGCACAGAAGCAATCGTTTCTGTCAGCGACATGCTGGCAGTCTGCGCTCACGACCATTAGCAGGAGACAGTCGGAGTGCATCTAGAGGTGGGAGGAGCTGACGCAGGGGCGCAGGTAGCAAAGATGCTACGTTCCTGTATCTCTCAGATTACCCAGAATCTATCGTCTTTATTCAGACTATATTCTCGTACTTGTGCCTCTCACGAGATTCAGTCTTGGGTTTCTTCGACAATGGAGTTCCTAGAGTGGCCATCTTGCGAAAATTGATACGCGGCCTCGACGGGTGAATACTTGCGGCATCCTCTTGTTTCTCACCGCCCCAGCCTGAAAAATAGATATCCCGAAATTGAACATCTCGCACGTCGAACTCGAAAATCCTAGACTAAACCCTCACGAGCCAAGTCGTGATGACTTTAATATCCTACCCTTGGAATCCTTCCTCAAACTACTTGGAGTTCGTGTAGCACGCCGTGCTGTAATGTGGTCTGCATTGTAATCTGCGTAGCAAGATTAAAGAGTGATCAAGTCTGTTCCGTTCCTGTATCTTACATTTGTCACAGCACTGATGTACGATAATTTGTGTTACTCATTACATTTCGTAAGCGTGACGCTTCGATAGTTCTGGTTCGCCGTCTCGCCAACTTCGCCTCGGGATCAGACTTGAGCCTGGCAAGGAACCGTCTCAATCTTATTCGACCCATGCCTTCACCGAATTCGGACCTGGGTATTACGATGTTCTTATCGAGCTCGATGACCACCTCCACCGTGAATATTTTGATGTAGACGAATGAATGGGTGATTTCCTCCAGCTTGATTTCTGGATATGTTTTGCTTAAGCGAGAGATTTCGACGCGGTTCATTGCTCTGTACTCTTCCAACTCGGACATGGTGACATTGAAATTGATCACTCGATGCATTGCGAACCATGCGAACCACCATGTCTGCCGAGGTCGCCTCGTTTTTTATACTTCATGCAAGCGCAATCCCTCAAAGTAAGCGACCATGCCAGTGGCCCTGCCAACGAGGCTTAGGATTGGTGGAAGCATCATAAGGTCCGCCTCGAACTGGGGTTTTCGATGGTCTGAGCACACCTTACCTCACTTGTGATTGTCACCCTGCCCCTCTTGAGGGGCTGGCCTCGGGATGCATCCCCTTTGGATTGCTGTAACGATCGTCTCACTCTGAGCCGCGATCTGTAGTCTGGCCGCTGCTCTGCGTGGCGAGGTCTCTCTGTTGAACATTGTTCTCAGCACATAATAACGAATAGTCCTCCAAGGATAGGGCAACACCCCGAGGGATGCCGGCGGATAGATTCTCCCCGCCACCACAAAATGGCGCTTGGCATCATAGAGTATTCATCCACATGTGTCACGCTTATTGGACTTCTCGCGACAGCTCCCACCAGTCCCTTATCGGCTTTGAGCTATGGTCCTATCGCTAGTCAGATTGCTTGTATCCACATTTGCATTCAGTACTGCTCTTGAGAGGATCCGGAATTCTTGAGAGTCCCACCCCAGGCTAGACGGCTGGGGGTGGGGCGAACCAGGCTACAGCTTCGCACTCCAGAGGGTGGGATGGTGCTGGCTGGTGGTGTGGGAGTATTCATGAAAGATAGGCCAGCGTGAGACCCATGCCAGGATGAGGAGAAATGCATACTCGTGCATGACACCAGGGCGCATACCTGTCATGCTAACCTTCTCGGGGCAGAGGTCATGACCTCTGCCCGGTATTGTACTAGCGTACGCTGTGCGGCCATGGATTGCATTCTTCCAGCGCTAACTGTTTGGGGGCAGAGGTCATGACCTCTGCCCTAGTAGAGACTAGCCTATCTGGACATGGCCCGTTCCCTGCTCCTGTCGTACGCTATTGTTTGATGATCAAGGCCTTGTTTTCTACCCCCTATGCAGGCCCCAGGTACTGATGATAAAACACACACCCTGCCATCGGTGTAACCACCCTCAATCACTACGCAGAGGGGTTCGATCGGCTCTACTGTGGTACCTGCCACAGCAGTTACTAATGGAGCTGAAAAATCGATCTTCGGGCATGTCCACCCCGCCCTGCTTGGCATAGCAGTCTGCCCGTGCTGGTTTGGCCGACGCGTCTGGTCATCTCACCTAACAGTCCCCCGACTCGGCCTCTGACAGCTGTTGTTCTTCCACCAACACAGTCATCGCCTGCGTACATACTTCCTCAGCCCAGTCGTGCAACACCATTATAGCACAATGAGAGACAGACAAGACAATGCTAGCGTCAGAACACGGCCTGAAGGCTTGCGCAGCAGTGTCAACTATCGCCAACCCGCGTCGGGCGGCAACATATCCAATCGACGTACAGCACTCGCCGTATCCAGCGTTGCAAGCCCTGCCCCGTGGCTGCCTTTCCCTTCGAGGTGTTCCCAACAACAAGGCCCTCAATTTAGGAACTACCGAATTCAAAAGCCCGCAAAAGAAAAAAGAAACCACCTCCAGACCTTCTGCCAGAAAATCCCACGGACTCTCGTGGCTTGGCAAGAAAAGAGGCGCAATCTTCGTATCACCACTGCAGACGACATTCGGACATTTTTCTATGACATCATCTCACCAGACGGCCCGTCATCGTCGACGACACCGGCAGACCTGGACGACGTCAAGAAATACATTACAAGCAAACGTAGGTCCCCAGGCAAAGCCAGTGACCAGCGAGATGCTTGCCTGTCTACGATGCAGGAACTCGTCTTTTTTGGGGAGTGTCTCGTAGCTTCGGTTCTTGATGTCAAGCCGGCCGATGTGCATAAGGCCACCAGGCAGTACTATTCGGATTCCTCATATGAAGAATGGAAAGCACGGCGTTATCGGCGTGCGGCGTTGGTGATTTCCAATTGGATGGGCCAACTATACAAGGATTGCAGTTCTGCCGCCTTTGAGCTATTTCTTCACGGTATGCATCTCGAACTAAGGCCGAAGGAATCACCGCTTACCAGCCGCTTAGTCGGTACTCTGTCCAGCTTCGAGAATTTGGTAAGATCTAATAAGAACAACAATACCTTCCTCAGCGTGGTGCAGCCGCTGATACCAACCGAGCTGTGCGTGAAAGACGCTTCGCCTCATCCGCCTCATCTAACGTTCTACCTACCCTTCCTCGTCTGGGCCAGCATCTTCCTCAACGTAAAGGTAGACTGCTTTGACGAAGTCCGCAGCGCATTCCCGTCGGTCAAATTTGGTCGTTCCGACTTTGTGCAGTGTCTCTTGTTTCTCTCCGAAGGCCGTCCTGAAGTTCCTAGCCTGGTAGACCAACACCGTCCCGCGGCTGCTAATGTCCCATACGACGGAGAGCAGGGGTTTCCGGTGTGGCGCGACAATATCCCTCTCTCTTCCTCGCAAACAGCCGCCTTTGGACATCTCATACACTTCGATGCTGGTATGCCCGCCATCGGCCATGAATTGTGTTTCCCGAATGATGCGCAGGCCACAGGCGATGTAGGCACTGCCGTCGATTGCTACGGCCTCGGCCGACCGGATGGGGGCTCAGCCGGCATCATAGACAATGGATCTGTCGGAGCCGCACTGGCCTGTATTCCGGAGGGTCTCTCCAACCAGTTTCCATGGTACACGGGCGCGTTGGGCAATGGTGCGGCAGTAGATACGGTCCGGGTGGAGATGAACACCGGTTCGGGACAGATAGGCGGCGTCCGGCAGTGTTGCAAATTGTGAGTAGAATGGGCTGCCGGAGTCTTGGCTGAAGTATCTGGCTCTATTGTAATCATGATCATAGTAATGTCACACTTTCGAGGGTGTATTGAAACGCCTTCGCGTAATTGATACCCAAAGCCGGGACCCCATTCTTCATCGCGCGACACATCTTTATGGTTTGCAGGTATGAAATCGACTGTAGTCTCTAGGCCGCCGATCGGAATGAGAATGTCGGTGACGCCCAACGAAGGGTCTGAAGTCGACGAAGACGTGATAGAGCTGCCGGCATTCAACGAGACCGCTCGTCTCGTTGACTGCACGCGACTACACCGAAGGAGTCCTTTCACCGTCGGACCCTAACGGCCATTCCGTCAGCCTTACGTCTTAACGGAGAATGTATCTACTCACACGCTGACCCATTACTAGCTCACACACTTCGCCAAACGGTGGTCGCCAGACGTAAGAGACGCCACGCGCGCCTGACACAACTCCGTGCTCTTCGTGCCGTGGGAGGTGTTTCTCGAAGATTAGAGCCTCTTCTGATTCAATTGCGAGGTTGCTTGCCCCGGGGGTCAGCTTGAAGCGCTCGAAGTTCTTGTCTTCCATCTTGGATTTGCATAGTCCGAGTGGGACGACCTCTTGGGCCGCCTTGTCGGGCGAGGGGCAAGTGACCGGAATTTTCGCGGCATTGATAAGATTGGCGTCAGGCGGACAAATCCATTGTGGGGTCGGAGCGGGGTAACGACCATCCGAGCCTTCTCGGAGGCAGCGGCGGTAAAGATTGGCACATCAATCCCGAAGAGGCAACCGCTGTCGTGTGCACCCCGATCCGAACGAACATCCACATCAGACGCCAGGCCGTCTTTAGGCCAGCAGCGGGCGAATACTGATACGAGAAACGAAGCGTCGTCGAAACATTTAGTGATATGCTTTCGGACGGACTCGTTCATCAAGTCGCGACTATCCGTCAGCGAACTCCCCAGCGATGAGACCTACCGTACGGATCGGAAAGTGGACGCCATGCCTGGCACAGCCGAGGGCAACAGACGTAACCAGGTGTCTTGCCGGAGCCCTCGAATTACATGTCATGTTAATGCTGGTGTCGAAGGTGGATAAGGATGTCTATGGGACACGATTAGGCATGTGCCGACCCCCTGAATATCGTTCTCGTCCGGTTGCGCGAAGAATCAAGAAAGGCACCTTGATGCATTGCCACACGGCTGCTCGCTGAATAACGGTGCTGCCGGCGGTGCCCTGGTGGTCCGCCGTGGTTGGGGAGGCCAGTCGCAGGTCCGCATCCTGGCTGACAAAGAGACGGTGTCCTGGGGGAGGAGGAGGAGGAGGGCAGCTTCGCCGAACGCAGATACACTGGCCCGGCACCGGAAATACGCAGACCACTGCAACTGAGGTCTTCAAAGGAACAGCTTTCAGGCAAGAGGGCCCGGACATGAAGTTACTCGATAGTGATTCGTTGCTAAGGCGCAAGCTATAGGAAATAGACGGAATGGATGCCACCCCAGCAGGTGCTCGTTCAAACCCGATTCTCCTAACCAACGACCAGAGTTTGGTTGCGTATGCGAGAATTCGGGTGGTTCTGTTTCCGACAGGATCTAGAGGCTACTTCCGCAGGCTTTTTTGACCACCGTTACCGTCTCTTCCACCTTCGCAATAACACGAGAGCCTGGTGAACATTAGCAACAGTACCGCGAAGCTCAAGATCGCAAATGTACCTTTGGATTCGTTCATTTCATAATTCAGTGCACACCACATCGCCAGGAATGTCACCAGACGGTGTATTCGTAGATGGATCTGGTTCGGACATATTGCGGTTTTCAAAGATTGAAGCAAAGGGTCAATTGTCTAGGTATGTGGCGTATGTTTTTGTTGGTACAGAACTGAGATGCGAATAGGGCAGCCGTATAGATATTTGCAGATCCAGATGATTAATCGGCCTTTTATATCTTGAGCTTTGTAATGAGAGCATAGGACAATACTCGACACCAAGAAGCCGTCGCCCGCATCACACGGCTCGATGCAATGGGCAGCCGTCAAACCTGGCCGCAGCATATTGCAGGAGGCGTTGTGCCAACCCCTGTAATCCTGTACGCCGCCAGCGTGGGAAGATCGCCCAGCAAGACCATGAGGTCCATGTGTCCCTTCGGGAAAGTGTATTGGTTCGACTCAGGGGCCGTGGAGGAACAGCCGGGGATTGAGGTTGGCCGTTCCGTATGGAGAATGACAGCGCACAACAACGTCGACAGTGCGGCTGGTTTCCATGGGGGCTTTCACAGATACGACCATGACTTGCGTCTGGGTAGCCAACAGCTTTGAATCCTGGATAGTACAGTCGGAGTCAGTCATGACCGTTTGTCGCTTGCTTTGAACACGTCAGTAACATGGCCGAGGCTCGCATTTGAGTCGCTATTCTATTTGACCCAGAATTTTACCGTGTTTCTATACTAAGACAGGCGTCTTTGAAGAGGTCACCTTCTATCTCGCCCGGGTTCGTAGACAATGTGAGCCCAAAGAGCACGTCAATGACTTGAAGCTATCACTATAAACAGAAGTACCTAGGTTGACACCGTGGAACAAAGCAGACCCATGCTTCAAGAACTACCAAGGCCTTGTTTAGCGCGGCGAAGACCTCAGGTAGTTTTTACTACCATCAGCGACGTTGTCCGCCTGTTCTCGCAACTCAAGGACACAGAACATCGACACTCACATGGTTTGCCGGTCTTTGATGTGTATCGCAATGCCGCCCGTGAAGGTAACCGTCCGCTGACTTCGAGCGACTGCGCATACACAGTCGCCAAAACATCCAGCACAATCATTAGCGAGGCCTCTTCATGCCCAGTCTAGAAGTAATCTACAGGGGAAATTGACAATGGGCCTCTCATGCGGCCAGATTGTCATGATATTGAGACTTACCCTATTCAGTGGCGCGCCGCTGATGATGATGCAAGCCGCCCGATGATGGCTACCATATCATCGGAGAAAAGGCGTATTAGGTGTTTGATCAGAGACAGGTGTTGGAATACCACATATTGCTAGTAATTCCATCAATAACGATGGTCATCATTGACAAGCTGAGCTTTGCAACAGCTGGAACATGGACGATATGGCATGGATATTTCATAGTCATGTTTTGGGTATCTTGTAATTTCTGCATCGTTGCATGGCCTTGTCGTCGAATGAAAGCAGCGATAGACACAATATGGCTTTCGCAAGCCACGACAGCATGTATTGGCAGACATCTCCGCGATGCACGCATAATGGGTCTGAATGCTTGCGTTGGTTGGCTTCGAAGACTGTCTGGCTGTTTTGTGCCATAACGGATGCCACATGCTCTGGACGTCTAGATCGGATCGCGGGATGTCAGGACACGGATGCGGGGCCACGAACAGCGAGAAGTAAGAGTCAAATTTATTCTTATATTAGAATACAGTTCTTCCTACCTTCATTGTAGCCTATGCCAACTTGAAACTCTTTGCTCTGCGCGACCAACTAAGCCGAAGATAAACTGCGCTAGTAGCGCCAGTTCCCTGCGTGGCTTGGTGTCACAACGGAAAGCAACCCCGCTCTCTAGTTAGTGGTTGGTTAGTGGTGAGTGGCGATGCACCAAAGACATGGACGGAAGTACGTCTGTTGGACATTACGTATGAAATGCACCTCCAGCACCCCGTTCAACCCCCGCACCGATAGCCGGGTGTTCCCTGCGGTGCTGTCGAGCGAGTTGGAAAGTACTACGTAGAGCAACAGCCATCGTCCTTGGCGCCCGTCTCGTCGCCGCTTGGTGACCGGAAAATCTTGGTTGAATGATGTTGGCTAAGGTGACCGATCGTCGTGTCGGGTATTGTGCCCTGTGCAGCTCACTATCTGCGGGCTGGGGTCCGGTCTGAGACCCCGGAGAGCTGATTACTTCCAAGGTTTATGCAAGGGCCGCCGGCGCTGTCACTAGCCAACCCCAAAAGTCCGTCCTCGGGTACGGATGGTCGTAGCTTGAACGGGTTGCGGACACCAAACGTTTTTCTCACGCCCCTGCTGGAAAGCACCCTGTGGCGTCGTTCGAGCCAGAGGCACCGCACCGTTTTGTTGCGCTGAGCTTGCGCCCTCCCCCAGGGCCCCAGCGGAAGGACGAGTCAGCGCACTGTTGCCCACTAGCCGGATCAGGATGTCGTTCGCGGACCAATCACATCTGCCGCAGCCGACTTCATCGCCTGCTTCTGGGCTATCAGGCTTCAGCTTTTCGCGCTCTCCACCCGCGTTCACCTGGGCATTGTCAATATCGACCTCTCCTTTCTTGCCCATGCCATCCTCTCCTTTCTAGCCCATGCCATCCTCGAGAAGCTCGTCACCTTCCATAAAGACATGGACTTCAAGATCCTCGTCCATAGAGTAGACGCGCACTCCAACAATGGAGATGGCGTTCCAGGGATCAGGCAGATCCTCCTCCTCAGATTCGTAACGCTCGTCATGTCTTTTGGGCGGTCCTGCAGGAGTGAGGCGTGGCTTCCTGACCATGTCATCGTCACTATACAACTCTTCCCAGTCTTCGATGGGCGAGTCAGACGAATCGCCGTCCGAGTCGCAAGACTTCTGCGCTGGTGGTTTGGGAGCAGGGGAAGGGGAAGGGGCAGGTTTGTCTTCAGGCTCATCGTCGGCGTCATCCCGTTTGACTTCATCCTTGGACTCTTTCTTAGGCTCTTGGCTGGACTCCGGCGTGCCTCCGTCCTTGGAGTTTTCCTTGGACTCGTCTGTGCCATCTGACATGTAGTCTCCTGCAGCATCAATCTTGTACTCCTTCTTAGATGCCTCCTCAGCCTCGTCCGCAGCAGCGTCCTTAGGTATGTTTTCGGATGTCGCCTTGTTATTGGCGACCTCAGCCCGGATGGCTTGACCCTCGGGCTTCTCTGTAGAGACTTCTGTTGTCCGATCCGAGAAGGCGAACCCTGTCGATGATGCAGCCCCGTATCACTAGGATATCACCGCCATCGTTTAACACCGTCTGCAGCACCGTGTCTCCAGATGCGTTATGATCTTTGTACTGTTGTACAGAGAACTGGGTGACCAAGGTACTACATCTACTGTTAGTAAGGCCCAACTACTATTTTGCTGTTAATTCGTTGACAACACGTAAGATGTAGAGTGAGACATGGAGTTGGAAGCTGGATTGAATCGTAGCTATCTCGTGACTGAACCTTCAGCGGCGGGGGGAAGCTTTGAAGCTGACAGGTAGTGAGGCAGTCCTTTCTGTTTAGATAATGGCAAGCCGGCAATGAAGATAACAACTTGCAGAGCTTCAATTGACAAGATTGAAGGTAGTCTAATGCATTAGTCTGCCTCCGGGGTGCAGGAATGTGATGTAGACCTTGGCTAGAAACATGCCCAAGAACTCCTAGAGCACCACTGCCTCGCCCAAGTTATATATGTTAGGTTGTGTTTAGTTTATCGCCATGCGCTGTCACACTTAACTCTAAGCTCTTTTCTTGGTTTAGAGAGAACCTAATTAAATGCATGTGTCAACTTGATATCAGGTGTCTGATGGGAGCCACAACAGAGCAACTTGCTGCAGCACCCAAAACATAAAGTACTTTAACAATAAAACGTAACGGATTCTCAATGATAAACTGCTCACCGAAATCGTGCTCATAGTGTGTTCATAGGCCCACCATCAGTTGCTCGCTAAGCGAATTTAAACCTGATGACAAGAACATCGAATGACGAGGGCCGCCTTTCCTCAACAACATCAGACCTTAGCAAAAGTTGGATTCTATTATTCAAAATAGAATACTGTTATCGTGAATGATGCCACAACTCCTCCTTACGCCTCGCTTATGATATCGATATGGATGCGAAACACCTATAAAATCCAATTCAAGCATTGAGTAAACCACAAGATCCCAAAAAATATTGAAAGAATCAGGGAAGCAATGAGAAATAACCGTCATGCCAGTTCCTCAACAATTGGAGTGTTCCTGTTCCCAAGCTCTGCATCATCCGCTCTCTCAGGTTGCCTGTAGGTCAGCCAGAATCTATCTGATAATCGACGTCGAAAATGAAACGTTAGACCACCTCCATTGGAATTCGTTGAAGATGTGTCTGTGGCAAAGCCTTGAGCCACGGCCTCACCAGTTGGTCGCAGCGCGACAGCAGAAGAGTCGCTCGAGTTCTGCGTAGGCTGCACGACTGGCAGCCCTGGACCTGCATCCAACGCATTCTGTACCCTCCGACCCGCCCTTTGGAGCCAGACGATAAGAGCGGCTACAATTGTGATATTGATACCATAGGCGACAAGAAGCGATAGCAGAAATGATTGCCAATTCCTTGTGAATGCGATAATCCCGTCTGCGCTGAAAAGTGCAGTGGTTTGTGGGAAAGCCTGCGTCAGCTACAAGAATTGACAGTCTTAGCCCGCTCGAGATGATCCAATCTGAAGCCTTACAAATGTGCTGAATGCAAGTACTCGAACCTCGTCTCCATCTCTAGGTCTGACTGCAAGAGGTTGGTCATTTCTCAACTCTTACATGATGTGCCAGTAATCAAGTGATAGGCCTGATTCTCCGGTGATCGGAATGTCTTACGTTTCGGAACTTATCCATCTCCACCTGCATACATGCACGAAGCAAACCAAGCTACTAACTATCAGCCAAAGAATTCGAATTGCATAGTCACTCTACTTACAGAAGTTTCAGCGAACCTCTCTTCTGAAACCGGCGAGTGGTTCTGAAGAGCATAAGCCGTGTTAGCGATGTCAATCCTTTATGTAATGCTATCCAAGGTAGGGGGACTCACACTTCTCCTAGAAGATTCACAATGCCGTATAAAGAAGCTGCATCTCCCCTGGTATTTTCCCAGTCGAAAGATAAGCTGGCCAAGCTCATTAAACCTCCCACGGATCTCCGTGAGATATGGGTAGCACTCTGCGGCTTGTCCCGGTTGCCCGTCATTATTGAGAAAGGAGTTAACCTCCGTTGACATGAAAGACGCTCCAATCTTCACTAATCCGTGCAGATCGCTTAGAAGATCTTGAAGAATATCCCTGGACCCCATCATTGTTTTTTCCAAGCTATCGATTAGATACTTACTATGCTGCTGAGTAACAGCAGATTCAGGCGACAGCCTGGACTCATGGAGAAGACGTTTATGTTTCCGGTCCTGGACGTACATTATTAATCGCCATTACTTCGCTTGCCTCTGGGAATGGTGTATCAAGGAAAGGGGTGGAGCGTTGCCATACTTCTCTCTCAATACTTTGGCCCAAGCGGTGGCAAATTGACTCCCATTCATCCTTGATCTTATTGAGACGAATGCCGAAGATACGTAGAAACCAAACTCGCGGATACCAGTAAGGTCTTTTGGCATCATCTTGTCCGCCGCTGCAAGGATCCCACTCGAAACCATCTTCTCTGTCATTGACGTAGCGAGTGACCTGATCGTTGATGCCCTCGTCTTCGTCGAACCAGGTGTCAATTGCGAAGTGGGCTTGCCATCTCCAGTAATCATAGCCGCTAACAAGCACGCCATGTGGCCCGAGTAGATACCGTGAAGCTGGCTCTCTCCATCATTATCTCCGAGAGGCATCAAGTAAGTGAGATTCCTTGATGATCGTAGAGCCTCGCTGTCTGACCTCTTGATCCGTTCGTCCTTGAGAAGACCCTTCGTTATTCGCCAGACTCGAAATGGCAGGTGGAGCTCGAGAGAGAATATCTGAGGACCCTGAGACTAATGGTAGACAAGGAGGACTTGTTAGCACACAGGAAGATGTCTGCAGACGGAAATAGCTAGAACGTACCGTGAATGCGACCCCGATCGAAGTTCTAGAACATAAGTGCTTGTGGAAAAAGTCACCAAGGAGTCTAGCCTGGGATACAGGGGCGGTCTTCACGAGAGCGAGGATACTCCAACAATCAATGTTCGTGAGATAGCTGGAATAGGCATTAGTCTCTTACTCGGGCAGGAACCTTGACGCGCTTGGAAAAATCAATCTCTTACAGCAGGCGGCGTTCAGCATCAAAAGTTTGGACTCCCCCACTGCTAGTAATCTCTTGTGGATTATCGACTTCCTCGCTATTAGCTGTGAGAGGAACCCGATAGCGCTATCGAAAATGTTAGACGATTGCAATTAGTCCACTATGCCATCACAGGTTCGAGACTGACTGGTTGTAATAAGGCTTCAGTGAGTTGGCGAGCAGTCAACGCCCCCAAGCATTTACAAAAATTGACCTGTTCCTCATGGCGCTGACCGTCTATGAGCTAAGCCACTCTCTTTTCACCGTCAGGGGCTTCGATACTGGGAAGGTCGTGAAGGTCCATATTCTGGCAAATATCGAGGATGGGACGCACACGCCCATGGTATCTTACGTCGTCGTCATCGAACCCGAGAAAAAAGCTGGTAGCGTCTCTGGGTGAGTTGAAGTCTTCTTGGCAATTCAACCACGGCTTATTCTCGAAATCCTTCGCTATTGGCCCCCTTTGAGAGAACCACTGGGGCCAATCAAAGCCACTGCGAAGAGCTTGTGAGATCTGGCCAGGGACTACAAGGGCGTCTTCTGATACGGCCGTGTCAGGCGACACGACTATCTACCGGTGGGTTGACATCTCGAGGCCAGGCACAGAGTGAACCTTTATGCAAGCGTTAGATAAAGCGTGCAACACAATCTAAAGGCACGAATTCCTAATAAGTGCATGTATCTTGTCACCAGTACAGCTTCTATAGAACAAAGAGCAGCAGTCTGTTTGGGTATGAGAGAGCTTACGCAACAACTCCAAGCGCCACTATTCCCGAAGTCCCGGTCGCCAAAGTTCGGAATTGGTAAAGGCTCCTTGAACTACTTCAGATGTATAGAGCTTCGGGTTCTGAGTCTGTCCGCAGAAGTTGAAGCTTTCATCGCTACTTAACAATGTAAAAGGGCCCAATGCTTTTAGCCGTAGATGTACAAACTCGCAAACTTTGTATCCTTGTTTTACCTGCGTGCTCCTTCCGACTTTTCCCAGACTCCAGGCAGGTATATCAGGTAGAACGGTGATGATGACACGATTGGTGTTAATGGTCGTGATTATGATGTCTTGTCTGCACTCTCTCGACGCGGCACCTGCTACAACGAGGGTAGCGACAGTTGATACAAGGGTCCACACTCACTTTCATGCCAGACTGGCCACAGTAGCACTAAGTCGCGTCAGATTCGGCGGTCGAGGGCGATAGAACTTGGTGACTCGGCTCAATTAATTCGGAGAAACGTACGCATGTCCACATGAATGCGAACTTCTTTCGAGGGGGAGGCTACAGGAAGACCGAATATGTCAGATTTTGAAAATCAAAGCAGAGGAAAATCTCGCAAGGGGTGGCTTTTATCTACCATAATCTTATGTAGAAAGAAGTCCGGCTTGTTGTCACACTCCGAGAATCGCCGAGTTCGCAGACACTTTCGATAGGTCCTAGGTCAACTTGGTTTTGGGTATCAAGGCATTGAGCAAGGTTGTGAGCGAGTCTCGAGTGGTGGGGAGTGAAGAGATTGGCCCGAGAGGTAGTGGTTGCCTACTCTGAAAGGAGGCGGGTGAGAGAGAGGCGGACAGTACTTCTAAAGGCTGCTCGGAGAAGTGCAAGTAGAACCTAATTGAATGAACACGTCGACTATCGTGAGTCTAGAAGCAGAAGATTACTCGTGAAAGGCTGCACGCTGGCAATGGTCACCATGCTGCCAGTGGCCGCTTCCAAAGTAAAAATTTCCAGCTCCATACCGGCTGCGGAATGATGATGTTCCATAGAAATGCCCGAGAGCTCGTGCGCTACGTACCCAGTTCAGGGAGTCGCAGATAGCAAGGTAGTCTATATGTAGTAGTAATGATGCTTTCGCGAGTATCTCGCATTTGCAGCTCTTAAACATAAAAAGAAAATCCGACCCATAGCGGAGGACTGGCAGCGCGATTGACCACTTCAATCGGGACTCCACTATACAAACGCTGGGGATTTTCAGCTCACTTCTCCCTAATCCCTGTCACGGTCCGTTACAAAGCATTGAAAAGTTCTATGCAAACCCCCTACTTACTTTACTCAAGTATTCGCCGTCGGAACGCGTCGAGATACGTCCGTCCGTGTACAACCATTGGCCCGACCCTCCGTCGCTCCACCCATCGCCCCCCTGCCCGACTTGGAAATCCCGACGCGTTCCCTGGGGCCCCTGGTTGGCCGATACCATCAGTTACGCCCCCACTCGCTGCTTCAGTATCTCTCGTCTTGCAAAAGAAATCTCGACGCGTTCCAAAACCTAGCCACGGTAGCCACCCAACATCATACACTCAAGTGCAGTCGCATTTTTCTTTCAGTCAGTCATCGCACTTGGTGATTAAGAAAGATCACTCGGTATAAGACGCAACTTACCTGGCCACGGTGGCCTCCTATTTTACTCAAGTATTCGCCGTCGGAACGAATCTCGACGCGTTCCAAAACCTCCTATCTCCTGCCTAAATAATTGCATTTTGCTCTAAAAGAGGAAAGCAAGTTGGTCGGCGGCTTTCGCTCTAGCAAGCTGTTTCCAATCTTCTTGGCGAATTAAGAACAGTAATCGCATACTAGTTATACACGGCTACATGGCTCTCTCGTCTCCCCCTACGACCCAGCCTATAACGCCGCACGGCTTAACAGATAAGCAAAGCCGGCGCCTAGAAGCCCTACGACTGCGCTTGAACGAGCCTGAACCGGTCCTCATCTGCCGGCCTTGCGGTTACGCCTTGAAACCGTTCGGGGAGCGGGTGAGCCGTCACCTGGCCGAGAAGCACAACATAAGCAAGTCCCAGCGCCGCGGGCTGAGCGCCCTGGTGAGAACTCTCGGCCTAGGTGATCCGAACGACGTTGCTCGATGGCCTGCCGGCGCACGAAGGCCTGACGGTCACCCGCGGCCACGCTTGTCGCCGCTGCAGCTATCGGACGGCAAGCGCCGACCTGATCTGCCGCCATATCTCGAGGGCACACGGCATCAAGGACTCGCGGAAGGTGGGCGGCTGGCAACGTGACCATATCCATAGCGGCGTCCTCCTCCAGAGCTGGTCACAGAACGGTACGCGGGGCTTTTGGATAGCACGGCCGAGAACGTCGGAGTTGCCGCCACTCGGCGATATGGCTACACTCGGTGCTGGCGATGCATTCCTGCAGGACGCCCCCGCTGCCCAACAGGCCCTGCTTGCCGCGGCGCATCATGCGGAACGAGCCTACCTGGCTGGCAGTCCCTGTGTCACTATCACCGCCACGAGCCAGGCCGATGTGGCTTTCCAGACAGGCTGAATGCGTCGCACCGGCTGGGATCTCATGCTTGATGGTGCCCGCCGCGACTTGCTCGTAAAGATGTCGCAGCTGCCGGCTTTTGGTCGGGATCGCTGGGAGGCCGAGAACGATATGCCCCATGCGAGCTCTCAAGAGGATGAGGCTAGACTGCAGTATATTACGTCGGCCGTGGATGGCGTTTTTGACCGTTGCGAGGACACAATACGCCACACTGATGTCTCCATACGTTGCTGGCTCCGCAGCTCGGAGCCCCACCGCCCGTATAAGGCGCCGTTTGAGCTGGTCGGCCGGCACTCCTCCACATACAAGTACCGCCGATCGGCGAAGAGACTTCTGTGCTTCTGCATCTAAGTTCGGGGGTTTTCTTTTTTCTTTTTTCCCTCTTTTCTTTGGGCAGATTGGGTGTCCAGCCACGTGCCTGCGTGCCTGTGTGGGGGGTTAGGAATAACTTTTTTCAAGGATGGAATGTGCACGGCCATTGGTTTGCGCGCTGCTGGATCCTTACGAGTATTTGCCGATCGGATGAGCGAGACCATGCGCCGCATATCAACTACATTGGACGTCTGCACAGTACTTGTCGTGTACATACGTCCGCGTCAAGCACCCTCGGGAATCCCTGAAGACGAGGAGACCTGGAGAGTGGGTGACATTGCAATGCAGCCAATGCAGGGGCATCAAAACATGAGGCGGTCTGCCTTGTGGATTGCCTACTGATGCACAATCACGCTGAGGATCTGGCAATTTTCAGTAGGCGCCAACATCATACCGCATCAGCGAATAGCGCCTTCCAAGTGTGCCCCATCAAAATGCGCGGTACTTTTCAACCTGCTACGCCCAAATAGCCCTCTGAGTGTGTTGGCAGTCCAGTGCATAGGTTCTTACTGTGACGCACAACAGTATCTTGTCGAGTCTCGAGGGGAGCCCGAGTGACAAGGATGATCATCTGAACGCGAAGATGGCGTGGAAAGCGAAGACGAATGACGATGACAAAGTGGAAAGATTCGGAGCCGCCGACACTGTAGATAGTCGGACTTTGGCTGTCTCCGTTGCTCGATCTGGCCTTTGTCTCAGTAGTATAATACCACAGACTCATAAGACCAAAATCCGGAGAAAAGTGGAAATGGTGCAGGTTCGCGCTGGACGCAGTGATGCTGTGAAGAAGGGTCAGTTTACCCACCTTCCATAGAGCCTGTTCAGCTCGGCAGAGTAACACAGGGAGGGCATGCCACGTTCATCGAACAAACACATGTGGCTTGCACGGAGTTGCTATGGCCAACTATCGTTGCAGTAGAGTACACCGTTCCGATTCTATTTTTGCATTTGTTCAGTAATGTTGAAGATGTACACGACAGTACTTTACTGTAGATTGTGCCCGGCGCTGGGTCTTGTATTCTTTCTTTCATACCTCTTCTTTCTCCCGATTTGACATGGGATCTTGTGCCCCAGAGTCGTCACCCAGCAATTCGAACAGCCTAAGGGGAAGCAGCGGCCCCGTCGGACCCTATCTCATACGCTTGAGTAAGGGCATCTTTCCCTAAGATTGAGGCCCAAAACTTCCCAACTTCTCCCTAACCCCTCCAATCTACCCCCCCGACTCACAGACGTCGCTGCATAGCTCATCCTCCAACACAGTAATACTCGACAGCAAACATCCCCGAGGTTGGGAGCGATTGAGCGAATTGTGGGAGTTATCATAGTTCGAGTAAGCAATGGACGAAATGCACGACCTATCGTTAATCTCTCAGCGACTGGCCGAATACCGCTGCAATGGTTTAGCTCGCGACTAGATGGTCCAGGTGAGATTCAAACCTGACGCCGTTTTACCTAGCCAATGCCTGGTGACATTCAAAATATCTCTCGATATCAGTCAATGGATCCGCAAGGTCGAGGAGCTGATCTATGCTCAGGGATTGATCCATAGAAACGTCCTCCTTCAGGAAGCTTTACGTCAAAGCCGTGATGATCACAATCGCGAGCTTCGATCGCGCCGAACGTGGCAGGACAAAGCCAATTGTCTGTATGAGGACTCAGCTTCTCTTCGCAGAGTAATGGTGCGTTCTCTGCTCAACCCATCAGCGACTCCTCGAACTCATCGACATTGCGAGGGTCATTCGGCTCAGTGTGCAGCTCAAATTCTGATCTCGCTGTGAGAGTGGAGAGAGACTGACTTACCATACAGGAATCGAACTCATTCGTTTTTGTTATCATTGACGGCGATGGTGCCATCTTTCAAGAAGCTTTACTGAAGAAGGGTGCCGAAGGTGGTGCCGAAGCTAGCCATCTCCTGCGGACAGAGATAAAGAGCTACGTTACCGAAGCCTACCCCGAGGTTGTCAGCCAAGACTGAAACATACTCGTACAAGTGTTCCTCAACATGGCCGGCCTCGCCAAGAGGCTCCATGCCTCCGGTATCATTCCTTTTACCACTACAGAGAGAATTCTCATTGAGTTCGGACGCGGCTTTGGCCGCGCACAGCCTCTGTTCAGTTTCATCGATGTCGGCACGGGAAAAGAGTCCGCCGACCATAAGATCCGTGAGATGCTTCGCATCATGGTACGCGTCGGCCAGTGCAAGCACGTCTTCTTCGGCCCTTGCCACGACAACGGCTACCTGACGGTCCTCGAGCCGTACAAGCTAGACGATAAGGTAGCTCCAAAGTTCACTCTCATCGAGACGACGCCCGCCGAGGAAGGCTTCAAACAGCTCAAGTTCCATAGAATCATGTTCAAATCTGTCTTCATGTCCAAAAAGCTTCTCGACAGGGTCCGGCGACCGACGAGAGCGAGCACACCTCTCCCTCTATCTACGACAACAACTACCATTCCCCCTGCCGCTATCCCGTCGCCTGATCCTTCCCACATCGGCTCTGCCAGCAACAGCGCTCCTCTACAATCGACGACGGCCATACCGATTCGCAACACCAATCCGCCTTCCAGCGGCTCTCAGACGCCCATGTCTACTGTGCCTACACTTACGCGCGTCTCGACGGCGCCCAAGCCCATTGACGTTTTTTCTAAGAAGAAGACGACGCTGCCGAAATACTACCTGATGCACGCCGACGACCAGCGCATCGACGAGCCGCTACCAAAGGTCGACCCTACGGTAGAGAAGCGGTTCAATATGCGCATGGCGGGCCTGGGCAAAAACCTTTGCAACGACTACCACCTGCATGGCGAGTGTAAGCACCCAGGCTGTACTTACGTCCACGGCAACAAGCTCAGTGCTAGTGAGATTATACTGTCGAAGCAAAAGGTGCGCTGTTGCTCAATACGCAGTTTTACAGTGTCTTCCGTCTTGACGATCGGCTAACAATGGACACAGTCCCGCGGCATCCCCTGCAATGTGGGTTCCGATTGCGATGACGTAAATTGCACATTTGGCCATCACTGTAGATGGCTCAAGGACTGCACTCATGGATACTGCCGTTTCGAGGGCTACCACGATATCAACCTTAAGCCGCGGACCAAACACTTTGAGGATGGCAGTACGAAGATTGTTGATAAGATTTAAGATAACACCGATCATTTATCACTCAACTATATCAAGAAAGGAAAATAGTAGATGTAGTCGGCCATCCTTCAATCTCGTCGTTGTCTCTATGGCATATCACCTTATGTATGTTCACCAAAGTGGCCACTCAAGCTATGCAAAGTCAAGTCCATCAACATTGTATGCACGATGTGATGGACGAGCAGCAGTCCCCGAGATTTCAGCCCCCACCCTACACATGGGACACGAACTTTAGACTCATGTCAACTATTGCCTGAACTGTATAGATTGGCCAAGCATCCTATGTGGCATCGTGCCACAACAATCCTTCTTCCCGCATCTCATGCTGATTCTCGCTAGTCAGCCTTCGAAATTCGCTGCTGGTACAAGTTTGGGAAACAACCACTGTACATTGTGTGAGCCAGTTCCTCCTCGTGATTACTTGCATACATTGGACTGCCATACAAAGAGAGAAGGAAACCTGACTTGAAGTCCCAAGCCCGCCTCCTCTGAGATGCCCTAGTTAAAGAGCCATGATTCCTTCTCATCATTTCAACCAGGCCTGACCTACCAGGTAACAAAGCCACTTCTCCTCTTGCCGTTACGAGGAGGTTGAGATTATAGGGCATGTGCAAGACTCCAAGGTTTGAAGGTCTCCGTGTACTGAAAGTCTTTGAGACGTATGCACGGTACCCTTGTATAATTTATATTCTGAAGGCCGTTTGTGAAACCGACCTTTGCGGAGACGCATTAGGACATAGCGAGTATTTGCTTTCCTGGCGCCACTTACTATCAAGTCCACAGATGAGTCCGCCTCAGCTCTTCTCGCCAGGGAAGTCAGACTCGGAGAAATCCTTGGTCCGAGTGATGCCACCCATTATCTCAACATCGCTTGTAAATGCGCCATGATCAGGCGTGAAATGAAGTTCCGCGATAGGATTCTCGGAGATCCAGTCCCAACTTATGTTTCTTTCTATCTCGCGCAAGCAATTGTCAACGACGGACTCGAATCCACCCTGATTTGAAGAGGCTGCGGTGGTGACGAAAACTTGCTCATCTCTGTCATATGAAGCATTGTGTCGTCGGTGAACGTCATAAGGCTTTTCCTGTCTCGAAGGAGAAGTCGAACCCCCCATGGACTGCAATGATTTAAGTCTCATCCCAAACATGTCAAAAGATTCTTCCATCACGGAATGAACAATGCCCTTGAAATAGACAACATTCCTAGTGGAGAGTTGTCTTGTTGCTAAGGATCGCGAAATGATTTGGTCTCCTTCATGCCGCCAGAGAGTCCGTAGTAAAGAGATGGTTTCTTCTGCAAATGTCCCCATGGAAGGACGATCTGGTCTTGGCTTTGGCTTTGGCTTGAAGATTGTGTCCCAAACGGTATACCACTGTTCCGATGCTGTAGCCCTTCTGCTCACTTTGGATTTGAGAAGGTCTTGGGCGTGCAGTGTTACAAAGTCGAGACCTCCTTCCGCCGGAGAGCACTTTCCAGCTGACTGATCCGAAATGTGACGAGACTTATCCATCTCCGTTTTGAACTTCTGGTAACATGTCGGGCAATAGTGTGACGGCTCTGCGTGTCGTCTCCTGAGATGTTGTTTGACATCTCGAATTCGTACCATTCTAAGACTGAAACAATCAATATGGCGCATCGCATCATTCCTGTAAAAAGGACATGCAAAGCAAGGGAATTTTCCTGTCAGAGATGGTCCCTTGTCTTCAGTGCCTTCGTACATATACGCGTCCAGGCTTTGCTCGTGATCCGAGGAAGCCCCTACGGTTTTCGAGGAAATCTCGCGGATTGGGAATCCAACGTCGTTGACGTCTGAGCCAAAGCCGGAAAACTCGTGGAGCTAGGAGTCATACTCTGATCGCTTTGTAGACTACCAAGCCGTGTAAGTGCACAGTCATTGCGCTTTGTCGTCAGCTGATCACCCTGGTGTGTCGGCGTCTCGAGATTCAGGAAGTAAGGCAATGTTTCCAACTGAGTTCCTGGCTCATAGAACAATGGATGAAAGTCTTTCACCATAGATTCGGAGAGAGCGACCCGCGGCATCGTGCCCTTCGAATAAGGAGTATCCCAACCTTGATGGCGTTCTGCATTCTGCACAGTCTTATAGGAAGAGAATGTACCATTCAGGGGGTCTAAGGATAGGTTTCAGTACATTTCACTTCGATGAGCTAGAGACTGGCCATCTATGTGGGAACTGCTGGGCTGAAAACCTATGGTGGAGGAGAAATCAGCCAACCAGGGGCTCGTATCGGCGAGGTGAAACGTTGGGTCGCCCAAATTGCTGGACAGGTATTCCCAAAGCAAAGACAGAGCTGGAAATGCGAAATCCGGTGATACACCATGAAAGGCGTCATCTCCAACTGGACTTCTTTGAGGCCTGCTTCTCGATCTAAGTATTTGTTGAGGCAACCGCTGCCGCAGCCGTTTATCGGGCGAACACGTATGTGTCGGCATGCCATGTTGTCCTAAAGACGTGAAACTGTCAGCCTTAAAGGTCTCCCTCGAGGCGCCCTCGATGGGCAAAGCATCTTGTGTGGGCGAATATACCGATGCGACCGCTGAGAAGGATTCCTCTACCGAGTCTCCGTCTGATTGAATGTGTGGGTGACACCAAAGGCTGTCAACAATACTTCTGCTAATGGTAACTTTTGCAAATTTCGTGAATACGGTGTTTGATCGTTCGCGAAGGGAACATTTAGCTCCAAGGTATCGTAAATTCATCAGCGTGATGTTTTACATAATGAAGCATTCAAGATCAAAGCAGGTTGACATGCATATGATTGAGGAGTCTGATTGACATGTAAGCGGGCTGAGAACGTGTCGAACGCCAATTTGAGCAATTGTGAGGTAGGGAAACCAGTTTAGTGCCGTGTCACTGCCCAGGCCCCAGGCTCAGTTCCTCGGAGAGCACCGTGGGTGGCCGCATCTTGCTCCGCAGCGGATTTGCAACGCGTCGAAAGTCACTTTGCGCATTTGTGCGGTTTGGAGACCGACTGATTGCCCGCTTTTATTATCTATATTTGTGTTATTGAGAACAATTGCCTGTCATCAACAGAAGCTACTTTCAGGATGCATTAGAAGGACTGATTGTGCCCGGAAGCTCTGGGTGTACTTTGACTAAGGCATTGAGTGCGTAAAGTCATCGCTAGTAATGCGTGCATCTCGTGCAGGGGATATCGTAGTCTCAAGTTTTGTTGTTTTTTCCCTTTGCTCTTTAGCGACACACCGGTCCGTGCATCCACCTTCGGGAACCCCGCCCCCGTTGAAGGCTGTTATCCGTCCCAAAGCGTGTGACGCGGGGGAAGATATATCACAACCTCTATCCGTAGCTTCGAATGATGAAAAGCACAATTAAAGACGCTGTTTCCTGCCGACTTCCGAAACTCGCCATGCCTAGACTACGCACATCCCCAGTGTTGGTGAATCAGGCCGTGGGGTCCCGTCACTCCTGTCGATTCTCAACAGCGCAGGGGAACGTAGCCACGAGAAATGAGCATCCGTACTGCTTGAAGGTGATACGGAGACCAACACTGAGATATCGCCAACCCCGTCTATCAAATATAGGTCAACGCCCACATCCATTATTCGTGTCTTGCGGTTGCCGTCACTTGGTCGTTCAAAGAATCTACCATTGGGTGCTAGTGCTTCATGACGCCGAATACTGTTGTATCGAATGTTCGAGCTTCCGAGTTGCAAACTTCGGCCAGTGAGACTGGGGAGGGTATTGAGCTTTTCGTGTGATGGCGTCAAAATGCCCGAGTTTGTTATCGATGGGGACCCTGATGAGCGACTGCAAAGATCTGAGTTCTCTTTCCGCTTGACGGCTAAACGAATTTTGGACCAGAGTTGATCGCGCCATGAAGTTCTCTTGGTATTCGCCATGTCCATGCCAGTTCACTTATATTGCTCTGGGGCGAGACGAATCTCAAAGCCGCATTGATGATACGAGTGACAACGCTGATGGCAAAATCATTGTAGCCCAGTAATTAGAAGACGTGGTATTTATACCCGATCAATAATTAGCTCATTGTCATCAACTGGCCTAGTCAGCTGCTAAGTCTCAGTTCCTTGATTGGCGAGGAGACATTGAGCCAATGAAGGGTCTGATGCGAGCTGTTCCGATATAAGAATAGGCCGAACCGCTATAGTGAGAGGGTTCATGCAGCATTGGATGGCATACCTCCTTTTTTGCTTACTTGTTGTGTTGTGAATTCCAATCCCAGAATTGGGTCCCGTTCTGAAACGGATTGGACAGATTCAAAAGTCATATCATAGTCGTTTAGACCGAAACAAAATTAGCTTTTGCCCAAGGGCAATAGGCAAAAACAGGCGGTATCAGTTAAACCACTCCTTAGTTCAGGTGTACAATGAGATCAGATGACGACCTAGGGCTATTTCGTGGCCCATACGTAATGATGAGGCAACTAGGGTCATTCCTAGCATGTGGTACGTTCAACTATGGGCAGCGAGATACTATAGCGAACGAGTAACTATTGAAGTTAGAAAATAGCTACGAGGCCCTCTCATAGATTTGCTAGACGGTCGGCAGTGGCGCAACGAATGTCGGATAAGCGTTGTTGTATTCCTTGCATGCCAAATCGTCACAATAGGGGCATCGTCGTTAGATGTAGAGAACGGTTGTTCATTCAAATTAGGAGATGGCCACGAAGCTCACCCTGAAATAGAGGGTGCGAGCGAGTATGGACCTCGGTGATTATGTAACTGAGGCAGCGTGACATGCGGTGAGGCCATGGAAGGTTGAAGCCATCACGACGTTACATCAATCTGCTGGGCCTGCACTGGATCTATATAAACTACTGACATTTGTCTCTTGTAAGGCATCTCTGGTCTGAATGTGTGAGTGTCGCCTAAGTGAGGGTATCCCAGATTCTGGCCTGTATCTAGCGGTTTCACATTGCGAAGTCTGATAGCTACTGACCCCTGCCGAGGTATGAGAATCCTGGCGAAGGCCACCGCTAGTGTATTTAATTTAAGCTGACCGCCAGCAACGCATCTACGAAATGACTTGGAATGTGTTCTACATCGTTACGACATGAGACTGTGTGCCTCAATTTCGATGGTGGCAGCGAGGCAAAGTTTGAGGTTATGATACCTAATTAGAAGCATTGAGAAGCGACATTAGACTACGTATACCTATGGTTAGTTGATTATAACTTGTGCCACTGTAAGTTCGTCCAGAGAATCTGTCTCACTCATGGTGTTTCGAGGAAAACATAGCAGTACGATATTGTCACACAAAAACCGAAAATGGGGCTGCCTCGCCCGAACTTCATTAGACATTTAGAAACCTTGACACTATAGTACTTTCATCTGCTTTGCTTTATCGCGGCACAGTAAGACCAGACACTCAATTGGTATTGGAGACACTACGCCATTGTATCTTTCCCGGGCCCAAATTGTGTTGAGGGCAGTGCGAAAGACGCGTGAGAACTGGATAGCAGCGTCTGTCGTCTTTTGACTTAACTGCTCGTCTAGAGAGAACTGCTGTTGGTGAGATGTAGATCGAAGCGTTCTTTACTGGATTCACTCAAATATCGGCTTTGAATGATTTGATTCGCCATGCACGATGTCGTACAGGTTCACCGTACGCATTTCCTGGCTGGCGCGGAAGTGGCTCGAAATATTGGTTTAACACTTCTTCGACCCTTCGTATCGTCTCGCGAGATTGAGGTTCGGGAAGTACAGGGCGCTGCACCAAGTCAAGAATTACTTGATTTGTGACATGAAACCCACAACCTGGCCATGACAAGAATTGGAATACTCGCTCAAATGACGGCCTCCCGCAATTCTGCATCTGATGCATAAAATTCTTTGTTACGATCGACCATGTGGAAGTCTACACATGGAAAATGAAATTTCCCTCGTTTTATGAAGTTTGTGGCCCTACATCAGAATTGCCCATTGGATGTCTCATAATAGCATACAGCCTACAACTCAACTAGTCGCCAGAAGGGCACAGTGACAATATTCTAACGACAAGAATGTAAACCGCCAAATTCGAATTAACCTTGCTCGAAGATTGTATAGAATTGTCACGAAGTCTTTGACCTTTTTTTCAGGTTAAGTGTTGGTGTTGGTGTTGGCATTGCTGAGTTAATGCTGTTCATCACTATACATAACTTGCTGGTAACGGCACCAACGACTTCCGTGGGTTTCACATTGACAGCTAATTAGGTTCCTTTATTTGCTTAAAAACTTCTAGCGGAAACAGGACGCTCTGGCGCTGCTCTATACTTGTAACATTTAGCCCAAGCGTCACGTATACTAAAGTCATCTATCACTCGCCCTATGTGGACACAGACTACGACTGATCACAAAGCTGCTGCTTATAGAGTGCGAAGTACTCTTTTGACCAATTTTGACTCTTCATTTTTGCTGTGGAAAGATCGCGAGTGATCTGTTGAAGGAGAGAGATTTATCTCTGTGTACTCGAAGGCGCAGGTGTTAACTGCTTCTATTCAGTCAAATGGCGGCGCATTTCTTTTACGGATCATCCTGTTTTTGATTGAGCTTCTGAAGATTCTAGATTTTCTTAAACTCTTTGTGCTGCCCCTGCTCAACTTTCTGGGCTTTCGTAGCTGTGATCATGGTGGCGTCGCAAAGTTCCATCATAGGCTTGGGGACGATCGCGATGACACATCTGCTTACGGAGCATTTCCGGAACATAGCACATTTACCAGTACTATATCACGAGTTCTCCGACGTAGTTCTAACGCTCTCGGTATAAGATTCAAAGACATGTAAAAACGACATCCCCAGAATGATCGGAGTGGAAATCAGACACATTTGAACGCATTCATATGACATGAAATGAATAGAGGAATACTGCATCATAGTTTGATTTGTTCGAGTGTTCAATCGAAGGATTTCGACTTTGCCTAGGCTGCGTCATCGACTTATGTTGTCAATATCCAGCTAGGCACAACGCTAGCGGTAGCACCGGTACTGTTTAGTCAACGGATGTCAGAGCTCCTGAGGATGATCAGCTCAAGCCGCCGTAGCTAAACACTTGTCCCCTCAACTTTCACGCCAAAATTAGGCACTTTCTACTAAGGTAACGTAAATGCGGCATGGCTATCACCTACAATATATCTGTGAGCATCATGTCTAAGCTAGCGTGACTTCACTTTGATCACACATGCTGAGTAACCCACCCTCTGTCGATAGTATGCCACGGCTGTCGATGCATCTCTGTCTCAACGCACCCTGAGCTCGTCGACCATATATCATCCAACGGGACGTGTCTGCACGACATTCACCAAGCAGCAAAACCACACTTCGCACTAGGTGATCATGATCCACCCACAGGGGCCTAAGATCCTCTGCAGGGGAATGTTCAGCATCCAACGTTTACTTGGGGAAGGAAGATTCGGCAAGGTTTATCTCGCCCGAGAAACGTCAACTGGCTTTATCTGTGCACTGAAGGTCCTCTCCAAGCAAGCCTTGCACATGGCTAAAGCCGAGAAAAGGGTGTTTTACGAAGTCGAATGCCAACGAAATCCCCGCCATCCTAGTACCTTACGCTTATACGGCCACTTCCATGACTCTCAGAATGTCTACTTAGTGCTTGAGTACACTTGCGGAGGAGACCTGTACGATCACATGCAAAGCAGCGGCCCCTTCAAAGAGGACGAGTGTGCACGGTTCATGGCGCAGATGGCATTCGCTGTAGATTACCTTCATCGCAAGCGTGTCATCCATAGGGACATCAAGCCGGAGAACATTCTCATTGGCCTACATGGCGAGATCAAGATTGCAGATTTTGGATGCAGTGTGACCGGTACGGGCAGGAACACTATTTGCGGCACGGCCGAGTACTTGGCCCCGGAGATGATCACGGTTCACATGGAGGGTGGGCACTATGACGAAGAAGTCGACATCTGGAGCCTAGGCATTCTCATGTTCGAGCTTCTTGTCGGTCTTGGAAAGGCGCCACAACTGAACGTTGACCGCACCTGGAGGGTCGACTCGGTAACACCATGTGACGTTCACTTAGCTATCCCGCCGTTTCTCAGTCCGGAGGCCCGGGACTTGATGGGGCGAGTAAGTCTGATGTTGACTTGATTTACGCCATCTTAATGCTCACTATTACTAGCTGTTGGTGATCGAACCAATCGAGAGAATTTCTTTGCGGGCAATACAATCGCACCCTTGGATTCTGAAGCATTGCTTGGAGAAGCTTCGATAGAGTATCGGGCACGAACAGCTGCGTCACGTCGGCAACTTGGGTAGGCAATTCTCGCAAAGGCCACTCACTTTGCCCCCGATAGTATAACGGACGTATCAAACTGTTGCTGCTTGGCCCATTTGAGTTGTTCATAGATACACGTAGTATACATGCACGCACGAAGACTGATGGAGCGGCATTCGTTCCTACGTACAGTTGATTGAAGTCATCAAGATCGAGAAACCCATGTACAGCGAGCCATAGATCGACACTATAGACAAACGAGCATGTAGTCAAACCAGACGCTTCCCGCGATAGAAATTGCTGCGCGCAACGCCCCGCTTCCCTGACTGCTAATCGCCATCCTCGAAGTTCTGATGGCCCCGGGCCCATTGCTCAGTGGCGCTTGCATTGCAGCAGCGGCAGCAATCTCTTGGTTGTGATACCCTCATCTCGGCTCCTCATACTGCGATAAGACGACTTGACTGAGTGCAACTAGGCTTTCATACTAGTGACTGTCTGATACCAGTCAGACATGACCCTCACTGCAGAGGCAACGAGGACGCGTTGCCGTTGAAGGCGGTCATGATTCGGGATGTTGACCAACAACGAAACTAGCAAGGATACAGCGCCTGCAACGGGTATTTCTGCCATAGCGGTGTAGTTTCCTGTCGGTCTGAACATATCTAAATCCCCTTCAAAGCTTCTTGCAAAGGCAGCGCTGCCATCGCCGCCATCGCCACCATCGCTTGCTAAAGCGTCTGATGAGATTTTCGGTCACTGGCAAAACCTCTCTTGTCAAATCCGGCATTAAAGCTAGATGTAGTTGTCACCGTTTGACAGCATGCACTTGCCGGATTCTGTCATTGTCGATGTTAGTGGCGTTACCGTGGTAGCTAGATAGCTAGCTCAATTTATTCAAGTCATATTGAATATGCAACTTCGATAACTCAGTCATGTATGAATATAACCAGGTCAAACAAGGCCACAAATTTAGTTATTCGTTGAAGGTACGCTACGTAGTGGCATATTTCTTCTTCGGCAGGAGAAACATGTAGTCAAGTTTAACGCAAGTAGGTCCGGTACAAACAGAGGCGACTTTCATCAGTACTGCGCCCGGCAAAGCCCTTGGGCAGTACAACAACATGTGTCTGCCTACGCAAGAGACGGGCCTTCTTGGTGAAAATTGAGTGGGCTCGCCTGTGGGTAAGGGCGTTTCCGAAGCGACTCATATGAAAATTTTGGCAGAGGATTATGGCAATATCGACACGCCCGGGTATTTAAAGAGCCGCTACCTTCTATTGGTAGGACATTTCTGGGCAGTTTAGGCACTCTGCTAATGTACCATCAGATTTACTTCTAGTGCCTACGAAGCGGTAATGAGTAGTGCGACAGGAAGGTACCAACGGCCTAGCGTGATAGGAGCGCATATCAGTAATGGCATGCTCAGTCCTTCCAAGAACGAGATTGGTTTCTTAAATTGTGTTAGGTCCGTTTATCAGATACGGAGGATGAGGCACAAACAATTGATTTCATTAATTTCAATAATTTCATTAACTTCATCGTGGCTTTGCGGTTTGCGGACATGTGCATCTAGACGAAGACATCCGAGGTAGCTTGGCGATGTTCATCCCTAGATCAACGTCATAAGATCCGACGTCTTCACATAACTTATAAGACGGTCACAAACATGGCTGTCCATCGATACTACTTTGAGCATGACAAACGCTTGCCAAGAACAAGCATGACTGAGAATAACACGGCCGTTGTCGCACACAACGAGAAAAGCCTGTGAATGCTGATCCGATCTTTGCTTCTTCTCTTTACTCCTTCAAAACGCCAATCACCTCATCAATGGTGCAATGCCTTATCTCACTTTAATTTCAATTTTTCTCGCTATAGCTCGAAGACTTGGGGAATAGGGTGACCTATCTCATGCTATTGAAGAGTAAAAGGTGATGCGGCGGTCTGTTAAGACAATCGCTTCGGCCTATTCAAATTGACCTCAGGGTCTCGATATAGTGACCGAATATGGTCGTCTTAGGACACTTATCTCTGCCTAAACTCTACAAGTTGTCTTTGATTCAGCTATACACGCTTTACTAATTCGACAATAATCGTATATCAAAATCCTTGGTTGAATGTATTAAACCAAGCTCAGAGTCACGCGACGAACCTAGGTTAGTGTTTACCTTATAGTCACATTCCTTGACTCCCTTTATGTGCCTGTTATTCCTGATTTTGTAACAGCAGCGCCGACTATTAGTAACGAGTGGAGTACGCATCTTTGTCACACGATCATTACTGAACACGCTACTAGCCCTATTTAATGCATGCGCAGCTGCAGCCTCTTGAGTTGTTGATAGTAGCGACAAAGGGCCAACGTCGAATGCTCGACCATACCACTATTAAGCCCATGATTCAAGCAGCCTAGCAGCGACCCATTCCAGACAGAAAACCCATGCTAACAGCCTTAATCGCCCGAGTTGACGTAGACCTGCATGTTGCCTGGGCCCTTGAAAAACTTCACATGTAAGGGACGGAATCAAAAGCGGAAAGTCATGAAAGTCATGCTCAACTCATGAGACGTGGCTACGATGAAAGCTCTATACGATGGGCCGAACGAGAGCGAGTTCGCACGGCACATCTTCCCCGAAGCTTTCATTGATTTGTCCCCACCGAAAGACTTCATCAGATGTGCTCAAGGAACATAGGAATATCAAGCACCCCAGACCTCATTACAGCAGAGCTGGTTGAAAAGTGATCGACGAAAGATTTCGGGCTCTCTTTTCTACTTCGAAGCATTGCTTGGTAGCTTGCTTCCGGCGTTGTAAGCCGCTCTATGTATTCGCATGAGCCTCTATTACCGTATATCTGCCTGCTCCCGTAGACGGCTCCTGACCCTGACGAGCGACTTATACTCCGCGTCGGCCATCCATTCTCGCACTTCTGGCTGACTGACAAAGATGAGTACCATGTCTGCAGCCGCAGCGGCTTCGCTCTGTGTTATGCGGTTTCCCCTGCCCTTATAGAACGACTTCTGTGGTCTGTTAGGGGGTTTCCCACGTCTCCCACCTCCCCTATGTTGCGAACCATCCCCGTGTCCTACCCCTATCGTCTCTTCTACTGCTACATCCCTATCTTGCGACGGCGTCTCTCGACGATAGCCCTGCTCTTTTGGCCTCCTGGAACGTCCCTTTAGAGACGCTTTCTCGAACAATGAGCGAATTTGAGGGTGCTCCTTCTTCAATCGGCTTAGCCTCATCATTAGAGCAGACTGCTTCGAGGATGCCGAAACGCCGAAGCGCTGCTGGAAGCCAGCTGTAAGTGCCTTCCAGGGTTGCCGTTGCAGACGTCGCTCGATGATATATTGTTCGCCAACATCAAGTTGGAGGAACTCGACTAACGCTGGGTCGAGAATCCCATCTCTGTACTGATTGGGCTCGACAAGGTCGGGGAAGACAGAACTGTCGACGCGGTCGACACCCGGTGGTGCAGAAGTGTTGGGAGGTGCCTCATAGCAGGGAAACGAGTCTCGTCGGTCGGCGGTGCCATAAAAATCTTGGAGAGACGGCGCCTGCCAGGCTGAAGACCATGGCTGAGGCGAGGTGACGAACGGATCTGCCGACCTAGTGGAAAGCGGCGTACCTCGACACACCGGCACAAGTGCTTGCTGGTTGACTGGAGAGCATGCCATGCTGTCGGAAGACCGCTCTCAAGCCTCAAACAAACACAACGTGTTACGATGACCTCCCTAGTGAGCTCCATGACGCTCAAGTTATACGTGCACAACCGCAGCAGACATACTACTAGAACTGCGCCGCTCAAGAATGCGGACTGGAGGGAAAACCAATCTTTCCCTGATCGGCACCGTGTTCGCATCGACCATTGTTATGTTGGAACTTAGTGCAGGACGTGATGGGCAAAAACGTGCTCGTTGGTTATGTCTTGGGTGTGAAGACTGATATCACGAACCACTGCGCTGGGAACTGGGCACCAGGGGGGCGAGCAAGCAGGTGGCAGGCGAGTCGTTCTGCTGTTGGTGAAGACGGACAAGACCGTGGGCACCGTAGCCAGATGTGATGAAGGAAACGGCCGCCGAGATGGCAAGTCTTGAGCTTTTGGTTAGAGCAATAGTGCTTGCGAACGAGTCTGTCGAGTTTTGGCAGAGGCATCGTCGCCAGCAAGAGACGTCTTTCGAATATTCTTGCAGCCGTCCGTGTCGTTGACTTGGCTTCTCACCTGACCTCGACTATCTGCACAACGCGCATCGCATACATCGCAGCATGCGTCTTCCGAACAGTTGGGAGCACAAGTCCCAGGGATCGGGGATCAACATCCTCTCCGTACGTAGTAGTGCTGCACCACCGCTGAACCGTTGCCGCGCCTGGACGAAGCGAACGCATGCTCTGAACGGTCGATTCGGACGTACGATCGCCCAATTCGGAAAAAAACGGTGGGGGCCCCGGGGTGGGGCGGTTATATTGTATGGTTACCTGGCCATCTGGAGTAACAGGCGCTAGATGGTCGCTTTGGTTGCATTTTCGTTTTCGTCGATGCATCGGGAACCCAACGCTTCACCTGAAAAACTTTAGATTTGGTCCAGGATGGTTGCTCATGACTCGGTCTTCACAGTCACGAAACCAACCGGTCCGCGGACCTAAGAGTCCAATGCGGACGAAAGCGATTGCGAAGTGAAGAGCAATGCCCTTATGGCGAAGGAATGTTCGAACGATTGTAGGCGCTAAATGTGGAAGAACCTTATGATCCGGAGCGCAGACAGTTCAGTGCCCCAGTCTCCGTGGTTGCGGCGGCCGTCACGGGTAGGTCAACCGGATAACCAGACCACTGTCACACGCCCGAAGGATGCCGATGCCGACATCCCGACTGGGTCTGTGGCGGTTGACCGCCAGCGCCGAGTGGTACGCCTTGGTGCCAGAGCTTAACACGAGGACCAGTCGTTTGACTTGCCATGATCGCTTTTGGTTTTTGTTTTACACTCTACGATGGTTCAAGGAGACTGTCGACTGTCTGTGTCTTTCGATGTCGTCCGCGATGCATAGAGAGCAACGGGAATCATGCTTAAGCCTCCAATCTCAGCGGTTATCTTTGCCGTTACTGTTGCGTTATTTGTATGTTATGTTCGTCGTGATTGACCTAACTGTTGAGCCCCACACACCTAACACCTCTTCCAAATAACCAGTAGTATGAGTGCCGCTGAGAGACCCTGCCGCGAACTTGGGCACCACAAATTGGTTTCTTGAGTTCAGCCACAGTCTTTGCCTTGCAAAGGTAGCGTTATCTCCCGCTGGGCACCACCTTATGGGTGCATCGACGGGTTTGATGGAGTCGATCGAATCCGCGTCAGGATTAGATTCATATTCCATGTCCTAGACTTTGTCTTCGCGGGGCGGCTTGAAAGAATCAATCTCAGTAGCATACAATGTCTCTGAGAACCTAAGATGTCCCTGATGAAATGATTTCTCATCATGGACTATCCGCACCGCACGCACAGTTGCCCGGGCGGCAAGTGACGCGTGAAGCCGGCCGAGGAGTTGGGGCACGTTGGAGACGCTGCCCATTTTCTAGATAATTGACTGGATGAAGATAGGGTTGATATGACGGGACGGCAAAGCATGGGTTTAGCACCCTGGAGCCAACAGTCCAAAGGGCACAATGCTCCACATTCAACCGAAGAGCTTTGCGGACTAGACCATTTCCACCAATCCCACAGATCCAGTCCCGCTGTCAAGTCAAGGTTTCTTGAGCGCAGAATATTGCAGCAGCGCCAAATGAATGTGCCTGTCATTTTAATTTTTTCTCCAGCTCCTAGCCAACGCGATCCTTGACAGAAGAAGTGTCAGCACTGAGACTCCAAAGCTTTGCCGGCAAGGTGGGGCTTTGCGAAATTGCTAGAGCCCGGAACCAACATTGCCGAACGTTGATCTTGACGTCCACATGTCTAGTTAGAGGAGGACCACCGAATACCCCGCCGTTCCTTCCGACAGTTGGGAGAGCCCTGCACTACAGGAATGTCATTCAAGCTGCGAGCTCTTTCGATGCGCTTCCTTATTATGGTCCCTGGATGCAAGTGCAATAGCATCATGCTTCTGGCATTGTTATCCCCTTGAGAGCGGGCTGCCTCTCAGCCTACGTCTTCTACATAGTCATCCAGACATGTTCGTTCGAAAGTGGTCTCGAAGTGCTACAGGGCGAGCGCACGATGATCAGCTTCGAGCCATACTCGATACTGTCGTTCAAAGACTTGTCGCCCCAGCCCCCGCACTTCGATGCATTAGCAGCTCAAGAGGTGACAGTCCCCAAAGTGTTCGTGCGTTGGGACTTCATGACGCTGTGTGGGTCTAGGATGATGTTCCTCTGCGAAGATCTCGCTAGTTCCATTTTGGAGCCGGTTAGGCGTTTCATTACGGAGTTGGGTTGCTTTTCGCAACGCGGGGGCCGGGCGATATTTCTTTGGAGAATTTATCACAGTATGAAGCTTTTGTTTCGGAAGCGGGGTAACGTTCACATTCGCGAACCCAGTTTGCTTATCGAGAAGCTTCTGCTGAAGCCAGGAAGGTGTGAATGTTCAAGCTTGCTTTGGCCAATGACCAGACTGCCGGGACAACTCATGTCGGCCTTCGGACTTCGTCTGTTTCGAGTCTCCGCTTGTTGCTCGTGCCTTCAGCCAAAGTCCTCTAGTGTAGATACGACGCAGATGCACCCAAGACCACCATCAGTAAGACCGAAGCCGCTGAGTCGATCAACCTCAATGTCCAGTCCCGGAGCAATATTTGCGCCTCTATAGAATTTCGGCCTTCGTCCTGAAAGACTGACTCATGATGATAGTTGGGCCTGACTATTGGGGATCCAGGAACGGTGCAACACTGAGCAACATGGCACCGCATGCAGATAGATTTAAGGCCTCAGGGAGCGTGAATAATAATATGATGCGTATGTTTCTTACTATCGACGACGTCCCAGAAGGATACGTTAAGGTATCTCTATCAATGCTTCATAGTGCTACGATGGTGCAATGAGGTGTGCTTCTGGCACGATATCGTCCTTCTAGTCTACGTGCCTCACTTTTTGCGTCGACACATATGTGCGTATTTATCGATGCACTTTCCGAATATGTCAAAGTGAGCACCGCTCGCTATAGCTGTCGTCCCAAGGCTTCAAGCATCCGAGGCCAATCAGAATGGAGGCAGTCATGTCGTCAACCGTCTCAACAGAAGCAGCTAAGAGTGTCTCGGCAGTGCACCGGAAAAGTGACATTGAATAAACGTGTCGCGACATTACTTGTGACAGTTCTCGGTGTATTTCTATGTCTGTGACAAACCACTCACTACTATGGAAAGACTGCCCATTTCGTAGGGTACATATGTATGAGACTCTGCAGCGGCCTCTTTAAGAGAAAACATATTGCTACGAACACCTACAGCTACTTTGGACTCGACTCGTAAGCAGCCGTCAAGTCGAATAGTATCGTTGCCATCCAGCATTTCATGATACGCTTGCACGACAAAGCAGAAACTTTATGTCCGCTCCAGGGTTGGTTGTGTTCCTCCTAATCGAAACCCAGGGCTGCCGGCAAGTGTGTCGAATTTGCCTTCATTGACTAATACCGCTCGCCTTCATCAATTACTTGGCGCTTCACGTCTACTGTTTCTTCCGTATTAGACTCCAGATTCTCACGACCGCCTCGAGATCATCCGGAGCTATCATCCCGCCTGCGTGCGGCTGTCCCAAGAAGTCCAGCAAGCTGTCAGCAGCGACGGCGGCGTCGCTTGGCGACACACGGCTCTGCGTTGTGTCTTCAAACCTCCCTAGCCCGATGTTGTCGTCGTTGTACGGTGCCTCTCGTGCCTGTTCCGAAAGATGCTGGCCCCATCCCCATCTGGGCGCTTCATCGGCCTCAATGACTTCAGTGTACCCGCTCCCCTCATTGCCATCTCTGCGAGGTCTGCGTTTTTTAAAGGGCTTCCTCGTCGGAGTTTCCATGGGCAGTGCCAGAAATGTCGAGTTTTGATAGCTACGTGGATTTGATTCGTCGGCCCATAGGGAGTTTGACGAAGGCCCCGTGGAGCCGTCCTGCGACGCCCGCGCGCTTGACCCAGTAGAGTGGTATTGACCATCCTGGTGAGGTTGGGTGGCTACTCCGTCACCTTCGCCTGTGCCTGAATGAAAGAGTAACGATGGGTCGACGAGTCGCTCGTCGAATTGGAGAGGGTCTGTGTAGTCAGATAAGTTGATATCGCCAGCCAAATCGAGGCTCCCCGTCTCAAAAGCGTCCAATACTATCCTGTCGGGAGAGAAGCTTCCAGGTTGAGTGCTGCCATGCTGATTGGGGAAGCTCTGCGGCTGAGATGGAAAAGGGTAGGGGTACTGTGAAGGGAGAACTGAATCTGGTGCCCAATTTGCAGGTGATCTGATTTCAGAGAATGGTACTAGCGATCGGTCGTCCATTGTGCGTGAGCGTCTCTGCTGGTCTCTGAGTCACACGAGTTGATTGCGACCACTTCCATGGCGACCAAGTTATATGTGCAACGCGCAACTGCAACAAATACATCCACCTGCGCCGCTCGAGAACCCAGACTTGCTGGAACACCGACTGTTTCTTGATTGCTACCGCTTTTCCGTAATAGGCTTCTGTGTTGGAACTTAGTGCGGGATGGCTTGGGCAATACCATTGTCGTTGGTTATGTCGTGGTGGCAAGGATAATGGAATCATGAACCGTTGCGTCGGGAATCGCTGACTAGGCGGGCGAGAAAGTAGGCGGCGGGCGACTCGTGCTCCTGCTGATGAAGCCGAGCAAGAAGGCGATTGTCGAAATCGAGGCGCCTTGAGCTGGGCGATTCCGATGTCGACTATTAAGGTGATGGTATCCGCAATCAGCTTCGTTGGATTTTGGCGAAGGGCGACTGCTCTGTTAAGATGTCTCGCAGCTATTCTTGCAGCCGTCCATGGCCTCGACTTGCCTCTCACCTGACTTCCTTTGTCTGCACGGCGTGCATTGCAGAGATGCTTCTTCGGAACCAACTAAAGCATGCAGGTGGGCATCGAAGGCCTATGCCGCAATGCTGGACCAATGCTAAACCGTTGCCACACCTGAACGAAGCGAAGGCACGGTTTGGATGACCGGTTTGAGTGAACGATCGCCAGGGGCTTCTACATCCAGAACGAACGGCGGGGACGCGGTTGTGTTGTGTTGTCGCTTGGCGCTCGGCCATAACAAGAAGACGGATAACAGAAGGCTCGCACTGGAAACTCCGCGCACTATGGACACTGGAGCTATTTTGATCAAACGCCAGGACCATTGCGCGTGCTTCTGATCTGCCAATGCCAGCGACGAAAACAGGAGACTGGTCGTTGACATCCCAGCTCCAACAGCTCGGTGTCGACAGACTGAAGTTTGCGAGGAGACGAGGAACCGCGGCAATCGAGCTATCGAAAGGAAACCCCACCCGCCCCGAGCAGGCGCACGTTCCAGCGCTCAGTGCAGTTGACTGCCGAATCGAGATCTCGACCACTGTCGGTACGCCCGCACGTCCGGATTCAGGTCGCTCGGCTACTAAGCAAGCAGCTGTAGGCAAACATCATGAACGTGGAGCAATGCGGTCTTTGTCGCTGGAAGACGACTGGGCAAGGCTCCTGAGTGCTATTGACACGGAACTTGATTGCGGTGCAAGGTAGAAAGGTGAAGCGAGGAGACGTATGATAGGCTATGTTGTTGCGTCTGACCCTCGTTGCGATCGTGTTGGAGCGGTCGTGTTGGAGCAAAAGATACGATATCGGAATAGCTCTGGCCTGAGCATTGGCTCCTGGCGGCCGCTTGTTGTGTTGGAACTTTGTGCGCCATGGCATGGTCAACACCATGTTCGTTGGTTACATCGTGCAGTGTGGTGACGAGGTGAACCACTGCGTCGGGAATTGGCGGTCAGGGAGGACGATAAAGCAGGTGGTGGCGAGTCGTGCTAGGAGGGGATTGCGACCGAGGGAGATGTCGACCCTGAAGCAATCGCCAGGACAGAACCCCTTTCAACTTGTTTTTCGCACCCATACACATCGTCGAATTTGCCTCCACATGATCGTGAACATCTGCGCGGCGCGAAGCACATTTGCTTCCCGAACCATCAGAAGCACGTGTTCCGAGGACCAGGAATCGAAGACCTGCATCGCAGCCCCAAACCACTGGAACGACCTGCATTGATCGAGATGATTGATTTGGGCGCACAATCGCCAGAAGTCTTCGGGCACGGTCATCTTCTGCAATCGCTTGGCTAACGGCTGTACCGGGCACAGTCTCTACCCGTTCTTCTCATCAAGCAGTGGGCCGCACAGGGTCAAGGGACCTTTGGTATCGGCCAAAACCACCGCCGACAGCTTGGCGTTGCCAGTGATGTAAGCAGTAGGTCTGCCGCTGATGCCAAGTTCCAACGGCAACAGACTTAAGTAACTGCGAAGCGTAGCGACGGATGTCTATCAGCGAGGAGACGAGGGATGGCGGCGAATGTCCAGGGCAAATTGCCTCAGAGGGCTGCGAGGATCACAACAGGACGGTCGGGCCAAGAATCGGGCGCCGGATACGCCCGCACGTCCCGACTCCGGTCGCTTAGCTCAGGTTCGTTGAACTGCTGCAAGGGCAACCTTCCGTCGTCGTAAATCAACAATGTTCTGCGATGTTCTGCCGATACTTTGTGATGTTGTGATTTCCGTTTTGGCTCCACAATGGCAGTGATCACCTTACAGAACTCGAGGGCTTCGGGCTTTGAGTCTGGAAAAATCATGGTGTTGACAAATTGGGCGAATTGCTTGCGGGGGCGGTGCAGTTGCGAGTTGCCGCAAAGTGATCGCCATATGTTAGCGTTGCATGCGCGGGTAATGGCCGGGGTTTGTTTGTATCAGCTCCAGGACCAACGACGACGGCGTGTGGTTTTTGCGTCCAGGCGGCGTGACAGTCTGCATGCCTCGCCGACACACTCAAAAAGAAGAAGTAGAAATGGGAACAATCACCCCTGCTAACGTTCATGCAAATTGTCCGCGAAACGACTCCCCCCCTTCATATGCAAGATAGGTTGGTTCATCGCGAGACTCGCCAAATTGTGTAGCGAAGATACGATGAATGACAGGCGCATGCAGCGCGTCGGCTAATTGCCCTGGTGTTCGGTTGGAGGGGCCTGTTCGGAGCAAAGAAGGCGGGTTCGAGATGTCTCTTACGACAACGCCGAGGATCGTGGCAGCCGCCGGAATGCCACTAGGAGGAACGACCTTGTGGGAAGAAAAAGGGAATGGTGTATAGGAACTGCGTCAAGCCCTGTTCGTCTGGGCTCCTGGCAACCGTTGCCGTTGGAAGTAACAGCAGAGGTCCTGCAACAGGCGCGCTTCAAGACTCGAGTGCCAACTGACTGGCAAAGGGGCATTGCGCGATCGGCGTTTCCTCATCGAAGAGCGACAAATAACGTACTACACAGCGTTAGCGAACCCTTTGCGGTCGAGCGGTTATGGCTGTTACCGAATTTAACGTTTAGTATCGTAGGTAGATAACTGCGTGCTGGCCCTGTCATCTTAGTCTCTGGCGCTTCGTTAGTGCTTCCTTAGCAACTATACAATGTCTAGTTCCGGGAAAGAAAGTGCCTTACAACAACTTCAACAGCAGCGCTTCCGACTACACTTAGGCCCTTCCGTGAACGGCCGGCCTTATCCATCCATCGTCCCCGGCGCCGTTCCGCGGGTGCACGGGTCCGGCCCTGAACCGACACTCTTACTCGTTTTGATAGGCCATGCTCGCTTGGCCTTCCTGACAACGATGTTAAGGCGGGCGGTCGGGGCGGCTTCTCCAGTGTTCTCTGTGGAATTAAGCGGGATCGGCCACGGCAAGCTTGTTCAAGCTGCGAGTCCTTCGATGCGTTTTCTTGTCATGATTCCTCGACAATGTGGAGGGTTTTTACAGCAGTAGCCAGACAGGCAGGTGGCGTCAGCTAGAAATACGGGTAATCAGAAGTGTCACTCTCAACTTGTAGCGGGCAGAACTTCTTTCGCAAACAAACCGAGGAACTAAGCAGTGGGGATTGGCTTTCCAGATGACCTCGTATCGACCCTCTGCGCACCTCTGACGGCGTTCAGCCCGTGCCTCGCATTCCCCTCCACCCCACAAAAAACACGCCCTTGATGGCAGCACATTTAACCAATCCCCAAATTTAGATAACGAACTTAGAAAGTCGTTCAAACAATACGATTCTCCATCGTCATTTCTATGCAGACTCGCAGCACTAGTACTTGTGAGTGAATGGAGTGGATCAGATTCTCATTCAAAAGACCAGTTAATTATAACGACCAGCGATGCGCCGTCAACCCCGGCTATCAGACTAATTTTTTCCCGTCTTTCTTTGCTTTGTGACACGGCCTGACCTCCTGGGAGGTACGCTACCCACTTGGGGTTTCGTCTGCCTGGTCTTCGCACCACCGACAGTAGCGGCGCCAGCGCAGGATATGCTTATATCTTTCAGGATTTCCATCCCTCGGGTAGTGTTACCCTCCAATGACGCCACTCGCGTTTCCATATTCCTTATTGCTTCCAGCGTGAGTTCCACCTGCCCAGCCAACTTCGCCGTCATTTGGGTCATAGCTTTGACTGTCGCTCAAGCCTGTCCAAAACTAATTTGGTCTCTGCTGGTGATCCCTGTTTTTCCATAAGACTGCGCTGGCTTTTCGGCCCTGCGATGCACGCTTGAAATTGACGGATGAAGTTTGGGTCATTAAAGTTTTTTTGCAGAAGGTGCACCCATCGTTCGATGATTTGGTTTGTCTGGTCGTTCATTAGGCATTGAAGAAACTTGAGAAGCTCCATCTGCTGCTTTTGGTGCTGCTGCTGCTGCTGCTGCTGCTGCTGTTGATATTGTTGCTGTTGTTGTGGCGGGCTTTGCTGGTGTCGTTGCTCGTTCCGTTGCCGGGGTTGCTGTGGTTGAGGATGATGATGCTGCGCCGTGTGCTGCTGTCCCATGCCGGGTTGTGGCACGCCTTGGTACCATGCTCTCCTGCCACTAGACGTGCGACTTGCCATAGTCACTTGCAATTTTGTGTTGGTGACTGAATAATCTGTTTCTGAGTTTCCTTGAAGCGATGAACAAGATGCTGTTGACTAGCTTTATATGTAGCTCCTTTCCTCATGGTTGGGCCGTCTTTCTTTGTGATCATCCTCACTGTTATTGTTGTGTTGTATCATGTTATGTTGTGTTGTGTTATGTTATGTTATATTAACCTCGGACTCAACGCCAGCCATTCATGGTTCATCAAGGGGTTGCAAAGGCGCCGCCGCCATGCTTGGCTCCTAGGAGCTCAAAGCAGCAATGCGTGTGTCCTATATCTAGATTTCCTTCGAAACCAAGGCTTGGATATATGGTGTGAGGAAGAAGTGTTCTGAGCAATGGACGCAACCCGGCGAATTGTTGCCATGACGCTGAAAGCACGAAGCTTTGGAGTATGACCACAAGGACGCATGCCGTTGGCGGCATCTTAGACTATTGCAGTGTAAGACAAGTTGTCATGTGGGCGGGGTGCTGAACAGCTCGGTTAATCACAGCAAACACAACACTAACGGCAAAAGTAACCGTGAGTAAGACTGACCGTTCGAGTGTGATATATCACTCCTCACCAAATCACTAACGACACCCATAAAAGCACCGCGAATTATCAACTAAATCTCAAAACCGACCATGCCAAACTTCGAGGGGCTCTTGTAGCAGAAGGCCGTGGTACGAAGGCGTACCACTCAGCGCCGATAATGAACTAACACAGCCCCAGCTGGAAAGCGCAAACGGGCAGCAGAGCGCGGCGCATCACTTTCCGCAAATGTAGCAGTAGCACTGATATGCGAAAATCTTTGTTATGAGGACAAATAAGAAGGCATGAACGCTGTCTTGAGTTGACTGATTGGGCTTTTGCCTGCTGCCACAAATGATGGCAAGGGAGGGGGATCCAAAGCGCAAGCCAACATCCCAGCTTAGATGAAGGCAGCGAGCAAGTGTTGCCAAGCAAAAAGGGGCCTAAATCAAGTCGACATGTTAACTAAGGTAATATGGTAATGCTCGTATCATTCGGCCGGCCTTGAGCTCCGTACGTTGCCCGCCTTTCATCTGAACATTATTTGCAACGAAGTTTTGTTGGGCCGCACTTCCACGCTGGACGAAACGACCGCGGGTTTACGGACGATGTGACGAACAACCTCTAAACATACGCTAAGTCCGGCGCCCCACCTTGTTTTCCATCAACGCCGGTTTGTCGTCCGGTGTGATCCTTGCCGGCGCGGGAAAGGCTCCCGTTGGTACAGTTAATGGCCAAATTGTCTTGTCATTGCCCCATAATTGCCCCTGTTGTAAGGGCTGGATTGTCTACGCAGTGCGTAGAAACAAGGCAGCAACGAAATAGCTTCAACGAGGCATGTCGAACCCACGATAAGACACACTCCCTAGACTGTGCAACTACTGTGCAGTATCCTCCAGTGTAGCAGAGTCGTGAATTGGTTGAACGAGCTTGCAGCTTGGCTCGATCAACTGCTGGCCTGAGATACTTGGTTTTGCTGTTCGGGGTCATCTATCACCCCATGTCCGACCTATCGCCAACCAACCGGAGGTCAGTAATGGGATCCCCGACGGTATGGAGGCCGCCTGATTTGGGCACAAGGCGCAGGCAATAGGCGCCGATGCAAGGATAAATGATGTGATTAATCGGACCCCAGCCATGTGCCACGATTCGCTTTTCACGGCGGCACTAAATGGCATTGTAAATGCGGGCAGCCGATGCGGCTTCCGTATCCGCCCAGGCTGTCGCAATACTGCCGAGACTGCCCGACCCCTTCGGACATTACGAGGCCGAGTTCCTTAGTGCCGAGCAGGCCGAAGACGGCGTGATCAGCTGCCTATTGCACAAGACATGTGAACTTTTGTTTGCCGAGACACTTAGTATGCTCACGCAACTCCCCAATGCTCTTAAAATGCTTGCTTGAAGACAGGTAAAGAAGTGTTTCAATGACAGTTGCTCACGGCAATGAGACTCGGCAAACTTACATCGAAGAGTGCTCTGTAGAAATTTGTGAACGCCACCGTCTATAGATGACCCTATAGACTACTTGATCATTCGAGGGGGAGGACAAACGAGACAGCAGCAATACTCGGTGGCCGGTAGTCGCCAGTAGGTGGGGTCAGGGGTTGAACTCCCAGTCCTTAGGAAAGTAGTTGTTAGGAATATGTTGTAGAAACACGTGCGCATCCAGAGCTGCTTGGCATGAAGAACACCGCCACCTCCACAGAACTTGACCTCTCAGTCTCGTTTAGACGTGACGATGGGTGCCGTGCATCTGAGAAAGGACCAGGGGAGACATCAATCATGTTACACCTCAGAAGTTGCAGTGGGCCTTTCATCTACTAAACCTGGTCATAGATTCTAATCCGACTTCTGACCATGTAGTAGGTAGATGTTACTGTTGGACGGGATGGCTGATGATAGGGCCTGAGCGAAGGATTACACAGTAGTGAACAACGATGAGCGTAACACATCATACGATCAAGGCTAGGAACCATTATGCCACATCACGCCTACCAAGAGTGAATTAGATGGTATTGATCAGGAGCAAGACAATCGCAAATGAGCAATGCCCCATACGAGCAGATACACACAACGACAGCAACACATCGAGGGAGTTCGTGCTCCTACACGCCATTTTGGTAGTAACATCGTTGAGCAGGCTACTTTCAAACCATTTCCATCACATGCTAAGGCACGGAGCCACTCGCCAGTTAGCGTTCTCGAGCCTTATACTCCGCTGCCCCTATCCCGCCGCATAGTTCGTTGGCCAAGCGCCCATGATAATCACAACGCCTCATTTTGAAGATTCGTATCTCGTTTACCTCATCACACCAACAAACCTCTCCATTCCTGCGACCAGGCCCATCATCCATCACTCCGCAGGCAGGGATAAGTCCTTGTAGGATACATTTGAGTGTGGCGAAAACAAAAGCCGGCAGTCTGCTTAACGAACTGACTGACATATCGCTGAGGAGGCTCTTCCTACGCAGACCAATCACGTCAATTCAAGCGCGGACGGGGAATAACGCCTTAACAACAGTAACAACGACCATCGAAACATCCCCAAATCCACTTCATACCTCCTAGGATCCCTCGGATTATCATCATGTTATTTGCCTTCTTATCTCTTATTGGAGTGCGATGTTGGCCCCGTATTAGGGTAACTATATTTCGCAACCAACAGTATAGTCCGTAATCTGGAAGGTGGCAAAGACGCTGCGCTGGCGACTGGTGAATGACCTAGGGTTATATCGGTTATATGACATTACCATTGCCTGCATATCGCCAGTGCACCGCTAATTGAGCCTCGTTACGATTGCTACGTTCAAACACAAGTCAGTTCGTCGTCCTCGTGTAAGAAACACTATAGAAAGCTGGTTGTTACCACCAAGCCTTTATTTGCCTCTAGCCTCTCTTCATCGGTCATTTGAATTGCATTTGTGCATACTTTCCTCACGACTGCGGTCAGCCACAATCATCAAAATGTCCAACCAAACCAACAGTGGGAATGATGTTGAAAAGAGAGAGCCGGGCGAGAACGTCAATACGCGGCAGCCCTGGAAACCATCTAAGCACCAAATGGTCATCATCGTAACCCTATCGATCATGTCTTTCGTCATCGCTTTAGACGCCACCGTCATCGTCACCTCTCTCTCGGTAAAGTCTCACTTCTTCTCGGGAAGCTGGTATCTGGGGAAAAAAAAAGGCTGACCAATACTCTGAACCAGTCCGTCATCCAAGACATTCGCGGAACGTCTACGCAGGCCTTCTGGGTGGGCACTGCGTACTTGATCTCATGCGCTACTGTCATGCCGTTGCTGGCATCGCTCAGTGAGATCTTCGGCCGGCCTGTCATTTTGATCGTCAGCTTGGTGATTTTTACCACTGGTACAATTCTGTGCTGCGTTGCTGATAGCATCGCACTTTTGCTCGGCGGCCGTGTGGTCCAGGGCATCGGCGCTGGCGGGATGTATGTGCTCAGCCTGGTGGTCTTCACCGACATTGTGCCCCTTCTCCACAGGCCCAAGTATTATGGCATTATGTGAGCATCGACATTCCAGCAGGCGATCCGCAGAAGAGATGTACTAAGAAACGAGACAGACAGCTGGCGTGGGCGGTCGGTTCGCTTGTTGGTCCCGTCATTGGGGGCGCCATCGCCGAGCACACCACGTGGCGGTGGATCTTCTACATCAACTTCCCCATCTGTGCATACTCCCTCATCGCCGTGCCCGTTCTTCTAACTCTGAAGCCTCCTACGCGCACGTTTGCTGAAAAGCTTCAGCTTGTCGACTGGCTTGGCGGTTTTCTTTTCATCGGCTCTATGGTGGCGTTCCTGGTCGGTCTCTCCTGGGGTGGCAATGACTTTCCTTGGCGCAGCGCACAGACGCTGGTGCCGGTTTTCATTGGCGCCGCCGGGTTGATGACCACGCTGTTCTACGAGCATCGTTTCGCCGAAGTCCCGTTCTTGAAGAGGACACTCTTCACAGACATCAGCTCCATCACCGTTTACGTTCTTGGTCTCCTTCAAGGATTTATCGTAAGTGGACACATAACAAACAACGGAAAAACCCTCAAGACCCGCTGACCCTGGATCAGCTCTATGGCCAACTCTATCACGTCCCGTTCTATTTCCTCTCAGTCAAACAGAAGACGCCGACCATGGCGGGCGTGGCAATGCTTCCCGTAACGCTTTTGCTGGTTCCCGGCTCCATCATCTCAGGTGTCCTCGTATCTCGCTTGAATGCTTACCGCTGGTCTATCTGGATGGGCTGGATTCTGGTAGCGGCTGCCTCGGGCCTTTTCATCAGTTGGAGTGTTGATACCCACTTGGCCGTCAACGTCGTCACTCTCGCTATCGCTGGCATCGGACACGGCCTCGTCCTCAACGCGCAGACCTTTGTGACGGGCGCCATCGTCGATAAAAGTGATTCAGGTGCCGCGGCCGCCATGTATCTATTCCTACGCATGTTGGGGTCCGCTGTCGGTGTCAACATCGGCTCAACAACATTTCAAAACGTCATGGCTGCAGATCTCGAGAGGAAAAGCATTGCAAGAAG